AGTGCTATAACAGTGGTGCTGCCTGAAAGGCTGTAATAAGTCTTCAAAACACAAGCTTCTTAATAAGGTTGAACTTTACTAATCCTGGTTTCTTTCCTTCTTTCATTCCTCTCAGGAGATTAGTCAAAGGTAAAGCAATCAGAGAATAGTTCTTGATAAATTATTAATAGAAGTTGCAGAAGCCTAAGAAGACTTAAATATTATAATAACTGTAGGGTTCCTCCCATGCAATGATAGTTTCTACCCAGCTTATATCCATAGATATACCATCAGTTGAGATGATATACCCTAGGAATTTAATATGATTTTGGTAGAAGGTGTATTTAGAGGGTTTAGCATAAAGTTTTGCCTTCTATAGTCTTTCTAAGACTTAAGAGATATGTTCAGTGTGTTCTTCTCTTATCTGGGAGAAAATCAGGATATCATTAAGATAGGCTACATAAAAGATATTAAGAATATCATGTAAGGCGGTGTTAATATAATTCTGGAAGGTGGCTGGTGCATTCATAAGGCTGAAAGGCATAACTATATACTTATAGTAGCTATATTAGGTACAAAAGGCTGTCTTCTATTCATCTCCTTCTTTAATACAGATTTAATAGTATGCATCTTAGATATTAATTTTGCTAAAGTATTTAGCCCCTGAGATTCAGTCAAGAATCTCTAATATAAGGGGTAATGGGTACTAATTCTTTACTATTATCTTGTTAAGTCCATAGTAATTAACACATAGCCTTAGTCCCCCATCTTTCTTTAGGATAAAAAGGATAGGAGCTCCTGCAGGGCTTTTAGAAGGTCAAATTCTTCTATATATAATGTTCTTGTTAAGATACTCCTTTAATTCACGAAGTTCCGCTTAGGATAAGGGATATAGTAGGCTAAATGATGGTGATTTATTGGGTTTTATTTTAATAGTATGATCCTAAGAAGAGTAAGAAGGTATAATCTTTGACTTTTCTACTAAGAATACATCATAGAACTTAGCTAGTTCTGGAGGTATATTCTTAAGAGAATAATACTTCTTATCTTTCTCTTCCTCTGAGAGCCATACCTCTTCAGGTAATTTAACTAATGCAAATACTGTTGCATAGTTATGACATAGTTTCTCAAACTTTTGAGGGTTAGTTAGGGAAAAGGTTGATGTCTTAAACCACCATTAGCATTTCTATGGTGATAAGTAGATGCAGAGGTCCTATAATATAGTTATTAAAAGAAGAATAGGACTTCCTTTAGGTCATAGGTCTTAATTAATAGCTATATAAGCTCATTCAAAACTTCATTTATTACCCCTAGAATCATGGGCAATGATAGGGACCTTCTAAACCCTATAAGTAGGGGTAATAAAGTTATTAACTGCCCTAATAATAGGGGCAGTAAGTTTAGCTTGCTGTAGCTTTTATGATTTTATAAAAGTAATGCTAATAATATCAACCTTAGCACAGCTATTAAGATTAGCGTGCGTTTTAAGGCTGTTAGCTAACTGTATTAGAATATAGAAATAAGTAGTAGTCCCTACTGCTGAGTGGGAGGTTGGAGGTATAGGTTTTACTCTAACCCCTTATTATTTTCCATAATTAATTAGACTTTAGCATCCCTTGTAATGCACTAGTTAGCAAGATGTTCTTCACTACTATATTTATAGTATTTTAAGGGATTCCCATCCTTGTTGAGTTAGTTTTATTTAGGTTTCATAAACCTCTCAGAATTCCTTTAAAAGTGTTTTGATGGGTTACTATCTTAAGATTTCCCTTCTTAAGGCTTTCTAATATCTTTTCTCTTCCATTTCTGTCATTTCTGTAAAAAGGTGTGGTATTTCAAAGCTACAGACACTATTTTATCTCAAGTATCTGGTAGTTTATTGAGGTGTTCTTAAATATAAGTATGTAACTCTGGTGTAAGGCTGCTGAAGAAGGCCAGAGCTCATTGCTTTTTATCTTGTTAAGGGAAATGTTGTTCTAGAGAATCTAGATAATAATGAAATTCTCTAGGGTCCTTATCTAGGTGTTGATGGGCCTAATATAATTTAATAATAACATCAGCCTCAACAGTTTCAGTGTCTTGGATCAAGCTTAAGGTCTAGTCTTTGAAAAACTGCTATAAATTCTTAGTGTTTTATTGTTTCTCTATTAATATTTCATGAACTTTAATGTACTATTACTGCCTGTAGGTGGAGTCTATTTGTGTAATAGCAGTAATAATTTTGAACTTGTTAGGGGCATATTTCTTTAGGGCTTCTTAGAATATATATTCCATATCTTAGAGCTATTCTTCTCTTTTCTGGAGTGAATATTTAATAGTAAAGATAGGAAGATTCTTAAATTTAATTTCCTGCCTATCTTCTATTGAAGATGTGTTGTTTTGATAGGAAAGCTGTTCAAACTCATTAACTCTTTGAATCTATTGAAGGCGTTCAAGTTCAGTAATTTATTATAGGATTTATTGTATTTCAGCACCCTTCAACTCTTAAGTTTGATTAGTAGGGGTAGAGGAGTTGCTTGGATTAGGAGATGTTTCTTTAACAGGACCATGTTGTTCCACTGGTGAAGGGGTAGAAGTAATAGCTCTATAGTGAAAACCAGCAGGCATTGTAACTAATACTTAAGTAGTCAAAGAAAGAAGGATTAGAAATTGTAAGGATCTACGTCTCAGGGTAGATGGCCTGTTGACTAGGTAAGAATTGATGATGATAATTAATAGAAGAGGATGATAGAGAGTAGTAGATCATATGAAAACAAAACTAATCCTTGTCTTCTTAAATACCAGACAAGGGGCATACTATTTATCTTTGCTGTCTATCCTAGATGCATTCAGCAATGATTCGAAAGCGGCTCAAGGTGTGAAAGCAGGAGGTTGAAAACAATTAGGAAGCAAGGGGTGGCTGCATAATTGAGTGGCTGGGCTACAGCTGAGCCTTTACAATTCCCTAGCCTATTTACTTAATAGATAATAGAATTATAATTTATAACTTTTTATAGGATATTCCAGCAAACTATTATTAGTTAAGTAATAATTATAGGTAATAGTCTATAAAAAGGCTTTAGTATTAATATTATATTTATAAATTTAGGACTCCTATAGGAAATCCCTTCCTATTCTATCATACTTTATGGGAATCCCATCCTATAGCTAAGAAAATATGGGATTCTCTAACCTAAATCCCTAAGGTAATGGGTTTCCTATTTCCTATTCCTGAGAAAATAATGGGATCCCTAATTAATATGGGAGTCCTATATTAATTTCCCATCCCATTCTACTATAGGATTTGGGAGCCCATCCCATCTAGATAGGCTAGGGAAATCCCATGGGAATCCCAAAATAGGAAGGGAAATTAAATGGGAACTCCCATTTCCCAATGGGAAGGGATTTCCCACGGGATTTCCCTCCCACACGGCCAGCCTAATTTCTACTATAGCCTAATAAGCTATTAGAGCCTTATAGAACTATTAATAGGAGTACTATCTCTCTCTTATATTTAGCTCTTAGAAAATACTATAAGTATATCTAATAGGTGGTAGAAGAGGATCCTCTCCTACCATCCTTACTTACTTACCAGCATGCTAGGGAGTAAGATATCTATATAGATATATTATAGTAGAAATTAAAAAGAAGGTATATTATATACCACTAATATATAACCTCCTAGATTACTATAGTAGATAGATCTTAGATAGCTAGGTGCTATTAGAAGAACTCCCTATAATAGGAGAGCCTATATAAAACTAGTAATTTATTATACAGCATAAATTATTTATTTAGTCTAGCTAGGAGAAATAAACCTGGTTTAAGTATATAATAGTCTATATTCCTCTAGTCTATTTATTAAAACTAAGTGCCTAATTATGATGAAGGTATATAATAATAGACTAGAAGATTCTTAATTAGGTATTTAATAAGTTAAAAGTCCTATAGATCCTCCTATAGTACTATATAAGGTGTAAAGCATCATCCAGGTCATCTAGCAGTTTAAAAATATAGATAAGAATTTTAATATGGAGGCAGAGTAGATGATGTATTATTACTCTAATAGGGTGCTATAAAAGGTATAGCAGCATCAAGTATTAGTTATAAGGATAGAAACTAAGATATATAATATTAAAAGCTGCTAGTGCTTTTAGGGCCCTATATCTTTAGTTAAAACTATATTCTAAAAACTAATAGTCTGGTCTATAATGTAGGTTAATGTTCAGGAACTTCAGGTATATTTAGCTATATTTATAATAATTATTACTCTATTAGAAGTCTTAGCAATTAGTAATAATATATAATGGGACTATATATGTAGCTATACTAAGACATATGTGCATCACACCAGTAATAGTACTATTAAAAGAGGGCATATTAGCAGGATAGGGGTTGAGCAGGGTCACTGGGTGTATAGTATTAAGGTTCAGGTGGTTTAGCTAAACTTTAGGTAAATAAGGCTAAAGAGTGTGAAGATAAGGCAGCAAGGGTGCTAAACCTAATAAATTAAAAAAAAAATAAGGTGAACTCTAACATACAACAGCTGGGATTTGCTGGTGGTCACCCGCCTAACTACTAACTGGCCGGCGTGTGGCTTAAGTATAGCTGAGCAGATGGGAAGCCCTATTTTCCACACCCTATGGTTGTATGTGGTAGGATGGAGGTAGTATTTAGAAGATATTGTGAGTAAAGCAAGGATTGTTTGTGTATATAAATTGTCTATCCCCGCATGGGATCGTCATCCTTCTGTTCAGGCTTCCGTTCTGGAGGTTTACCATATCGGGTAATCATAGCATTGTCCGATAGTGACTTCGAATGACTTGGCCCTTGCAATTCTCTTACCTGGGCATATGAAAAATCGCTTCAGTCTCCAGGCGGGCAATTGAGTTCTAGTCACTGTGACTCCTCAGTCAATTCCAGCAGAAGATCCAGCAGCTTCATCTGTACCATGGCGCTCCCGCTGTACATCCTGCATTGCATTCACAGGCCGGCCAGTATCACCTCCCACCAGCTGACAAGCCGCTCAGAATCCAAATTGAATGTCCGTTGATCGCCATTCAAAGGCTTCTGCCACATATACCGTGGCGTCTGAATCTTCTAGACCGAACATTCCCGCAGCCAGCAGGCCCGGAGCTAGCACGGTTGACGCATCAAAGACATACAGACGCCATGTTTCTCTAGAAGTCCCAGGTGATTTGGTGGGGAATAACTAGGAGCTCTACTCCATCCTTGAACTCGCTAAACCCAAAATTCATAACGCAACTTTTTATTCCATGTCGTTGCTTCTTCATCTTTGACTGTTTAAGGTGTGAACTGTGTGACATTAATTTCAGCGCATGTGTCTGCTGTAGCACCTAAAACGATCAAGGAAATAGGGGCTATGAATCAGTGGATAGCTACATATGCAATTTCTTACAAATTAATTAGTGGTTATCTGGCAACACAGTTATTACTAAAACACATTCTTGATGTGCAATGACAGAACTACTAGCGTGCACGTGTTCCCGCATCTATTATCCGCAGGATTCCCAGACACCTTGCCTTGATTCATTCATCAAATCTGTCAGATCCTTCACTCCGATGGATTCCTCCGCAGATGGCCCATTTTGGGGCCCCCAGACATCCTATCTCAAGTATGTTATTATTACTATCGAATTCCTACGTTTTCTGGACTGACACGCTTTAGCTTCTGTGAAGAGGTACGCCCGGAGCAATCCCGCGTCTGCCTTATTTGAATCCTCTTCCAAACACTAACCCTGGGCCTGCTCCCAAATATAGGACTATGTAATAACCCGGTACATTGCCGAATTTATAAACACATTCAGCAGCTTGATATTCGGTATGTTTGAGACGCATCCGGGGAGTCCGTAACAATTGTCTCATAGCCCACTAATAACCTCTGCCAAGTCCTCTACGGAGTTTACGGTCTGGTGAAACTCTACCAAAAGCAACATGCCACCCTCAGCCGCACAATCCCCTACTTTGGTCTGATGGGCGTGGGCGCCTGCTCGGCCGGATACCATATGACCCTGAAATATCACACCCAAATGTGTATGCACCCCTGCCTGTCATCGCTGCCGCCATGGTTGTGCTTACGCAGAATTCTGTCTGTTTTCCAGCGGATGAAATATCAATGCATCTACTTGTCACGCCTCTTCTGTACCGGATCTTTACTATCCAGACTAGCCCGCAGCACACCAGACTCATAGGCATCCTCCTCCTCACTGAGTTCACTGTTGTGATGGTGGTTCACATGGTCATGAACGAGTTCCTTCTCCATGCCGTGACCTTCGGGTTGGGGGTCCTTTTGATAGCGACACGGACGGTCAAACTGGTCTCCCAGCGGGTCCCGGATCCTTTCACTCGGAAGAAGCTTCGGAACATTGGTCTCTTTGGCGTCGGTATGTTTTTCTTCCTCCTCCATCAGAAGCAAACCCCGATTAATCCAACTGACAATGAGCTCAGGTAGCTTTCTCTTCGGCTACATGGTCTGGCTGATTGACGAATTCGCTTGCAATCCACTGATTCACATCAGACACTCGGTCGGCTTGCCCTTGGCGTTCGTGTTCGAACTGCATGGATGGTAGGCTACTTCCTAATATCCTTTCTCCATGGGATTCTAGATCTAGAAACATGAGATGCTGACTCGAGAAATCAATCCAGGTGGCATGTCTTCACCGCAATTGGTGGCTATATCGCAGTGGAGGTTGTGGACATGATCACATCGGGTGAAGTTCACAAGGATCCAACGGATCAGCTTGCTTGGCCCATTGCCGATGTGGCAAGATTTATAGGGGGAGCACCAGGGGCCAAGAAATTGAATTGACCATAGACTTTTGGTGGAAGAGTAGCGCTGTTTGCCCCATAGAACTCTCTCAGATCGAAGGTTATAAGTTTGTCACGAACTGAGACACGACCTTCAAATGCATACCTGCTCATGATACAAATCGGAAACATGATACATGATGCTCAAAGTTCATACAATACCCCTTGCTGGGAGATAATTCCTTTAGCACACAGGCAGGTTTCTGTACGAAAAGTTTCGATAGCTTACATGCACTTAGAGATCCGCTGCTTAGCCCAGGCAAAGCTGATATTAGACAACTGCATTTTAGTCGGCAAGTTCTCACGCCTCTTCCTAAATCCTAGTCATGGGTGTTACACCTTATCAATATCTTTTCGCGTCAACCTCGCACGAAAATACCAACGTTCTGTCCGTTGGAAGCCTGAGGAGCAAACGATTATGTTCATCCCCATTTTTCTTATCCCATAAGTCCGAAGCCCCTGGTACATACGACCCAAGAATGTGCAAAATAGGCTTGATCGGATTTTGATGGAAATGTTGCTCAAAATGATCACGACCAATGGAGCGTTGCCACCATTTCAACCACCATTTCCTTTTCAGATCCTAGGCTTGATCGTCCTGGCGCCGGTCCGGAAACTTGGCTTCCTCTTCTGGACGTCGTCGAATCAGAATGTCACCCGGGTCAAGCAGCAGGAACACGCCTTCGTATCGAGGCTTTGCAGTGACCCCCTCCGGAAGCTTAATATCATAGTGCGTCAGAAGATAGTAAAGAATGAGCTTAATTTCAAGATCTGCAAGGAACCATCCAGGACAGGCCTCCTTTCCCAGACCAAATCCAAGGCTTTCAGGGCTTGTTGCGACGAAGGCGCCGATCCGGTTCCAGTATGGGTCTTGCTCGGCTAATTTCAGATAGCGATAGCCGTCGAATTTCTGTGGGTCCGGATAAATCGGCGATGCTGGGCCAATTGTGCAGGACGATCCGGATGCTGACAGATAGCCCGGATCTGGTGGTTGGAGCATATCTGGAGAAGGACGGGAGGCTCCTGTAGGAGGAGTTAACATCACGTCGTGTATCTACGTAGGTTATTTGTGAGTTAAAATCTTAATGTCCAGAGCGCGAAGACAGTCTCGCCTGACTATCCCCATGGACGGGGCCGAGCAGGGACTCTACAGTCTTGACTGTGAGTTATTAACCAATGTAAAACGAGTCAGATTTAATCAATTAGTTGGGAATTTTTGCTCTTCCCAGAAGGTTGAGCTCTATAGTAGTATCCTACTTTTATGCATTATGGTTGGCAACTACCCCTGCATCAAGGACGACCACCGAACCTGCAATCAATTTGAAGATAGATCCACTCTAGCGATATCTCTTATAATAGTATTCTTTCATATCGTCAGGCTGCCTCGCCCAACGGGTGACGCGAAGATTGTAATCAATATGATAAAATGAGTGTGGTACATATAAAAGTGAGTATATAAAGACATGTTCGGCAAATAATGGCATAAAACAAGATAGTGGCGATATAAAAGTGGGTATGTACAGACTAGCTGGGACCTTAGGGCAGTCGTATGCTACCACAAGCATAAAAGACAACAAGTTTCAAGACATATAGACAGCGACATAAGCGATCTCCATCATGCTGCCGTAACCGTCGAGGGTGGCTGAGTTAGGATAACCAGGCTATAAGGGTTAAAGATAATACATGTCAGCACTCCTACCTTCTACACATTCGGAAAGGTGCAAAATTTAAGGAGAATCTCTAAAACGTACCCAGGTGCCGCCAACAGCCACGTTGAGGATGAAGTACAGGGGGTTATGACACAGCGTGGCCCAAACGTTCGAGTCGCCGATCTGGGAACCAGTGATCTGGTGAAACAACTGGCCGTCCATGTACCAGGTAACGGTCTCGGACTGCCAGGTAGAAGGGGTGCGGTCCCAGATGATGCGCCAAGTATGCCACGACTGATCCGGGATCGTGATGCTTCCCCCGCGGCCATTTGGCTCATTACAAATACCGCCTGGATAGACGTTGCAATGGGCGGTGCCGTAGCCCGTCAACTGGCCATTGATGGTCTCGAGGATGTCAAGTTCACCGCACCCAGGCCATGCGGTTCCTGAGCGGATCGAGTTGCCCAGGAGCCAGAAAGCAGGCCAGATTCCCTGTTTGGCAGAGGTAGGGTTGCTGCCGAACCGGATATCGGCCTCGGCGAACGTGATCCTCCCTGCGCTAGGTGTGAAGACGTACTTGCTCTCGAGCCGGCCTGATGTCCACCCCCGGACACGGAACTGTCTTTCCAAGGCACCAGCTGCAGAGTGTCGCCGCCGCTCAGCTGAACGTTCCTATTCGAACTGGTGTACGTCTCCAGCTCGCCATTCACGCCCGGGTTCCCTGTGATGATGTTCCAATTGTTAGAGTTGGGAAGTGTCCCTGCCGAGCCGGCGAAGTTATCGCTCCACTGCAGCGTGTACCCTGAGTACGAAGGGGGCGCCCAGGCAGAGACCAAAGAGGCCAGGGCTGGGAAGAAACAAGCATATTGGCAGCGCATTTGTAAGGAAGGGGATGGTACAAGGCAGAAGCAGGTGTGTATGTACAGTATGGGAAGGTGGGAATTCAGGATACTACGTGCAGGAGGAGAGTATGTACAGTAACCAGAGGATCAGCGAAACAGCATCGGCCAAACGAGACTGACAGCAGCGGAGATTGTTTATATAGCACCTCAAAAGCCTGGCGAGGGACTTCAAATTCAGGTGTCCAGGCTGACTGTGGCAGATGATGTTATCATGGGCTTCGTATATATATTATGACGGGAAAACGACGATGCTACCCTCCAGGTAGGCAGAGTAAAGCAAGCTAATCAACAACGGCTTTCTATCCCATCGTGTTATCGGCTTGGGCCAGCTGATGACTCCTGAGGCGGCCATTGAATGAGTAGATACTGATTCCGCCCTACCACCATACTTCCATGTATTTCGGGACGGAGCCAAGTCAATCAACCAAGAGGCAGACCATATAGTACGCCTTTTCACTTACACCTCAAGACTCCATGGCGGCATATCCAAGAGATTTCGGCGGAAATCTCCATGTCCACAAGCAGTGCCGCGTGGCCCTGGCATAATGGCAGAAGCATATACTGGAATCCCTACGACTAGGACGTTTAAGAATCCCCCGTAAAATCTTTAGCGACTCGTGGCCGCCACTCCGCGCCTGACCAAAATGAGGACGTGGGCATGATTGCAGCAGTGGGGAAGGCTGAGGCTAATAAATCTTATTGCAACCTAGATAGAAAGTCGGAGCGAAGAAACACAAACACCTACTGGTCGCTGCGTGCGTCAGAGCTCATCAGGGGCTCAGATGCCGAAACACCTGAATGTGCCCCTCGACAAATGCCGTGGAAGTGTAGGTGCCAAGTACCGGACCATGTGACCCTAAGATATAAGATAGGTAGCCTGCTGATATCAGGGTTAGTGGTCAGCCGGTAAATAACTTTGTCGAAACTTTAAACGTGCTAGCATGGGGCAAGTAAGGCCGAGTTATAAGCCAACCACAACTCAATTTAACTATAAGTTATGGATTTCAAGTTGACTAATTACAACCTATAAGGTAACTTAGTTAATATAACTCGATTACACCATTTCTGTCTGCCCTTCGAGGAGTCAACTAGTATCCAGTCATGTCAAAGTCAAGGTATCATCGCCTAACGCTAAATTTCTAGCTTATACATAAGTGCGCAAATCATACACTTCAGCCACGACGGTCACTGTCATCTGAACAGAATCATTCCTTTTCAACCCCTCTGTAGACCCATCCTTAGTTGTGGCTTTATAGCTTCATTTCTGCACTTGCAGTTGACCCGAAAATCAGGCGCCAGGCGATAGCGGGTGTCAGTTGGTGAGGGACGGTAGTCACCTTGATTGATGTGATTATGCAGATAACCAAGGACATCATATGTGGTATTTCCTTTAGATGACGGACAAAGTCCCGATAATGTTTCCATCCTGGTCACTTGCATCTTCGCTGGTCCGGAAACTCCCATGACCGCATGCGAGCTTCTCTCAGTCCCCTGGACATCATCCGCCCTCTGTCCTGTAAGGAGGGTTGACAAAAGTGCTACCTCTGTTCTGCTCTGCATGGGATGTGTACCCGGCCACTGGCATCTTCTATGAGGCTGATTGAGCGTAGGGTGTAAGGATGGTCTGGTCCATAGACCGTCTGTAGGCCTGGTAGAGCTCTAGAAAGGGAATCCAACGCTTCCCTATATTGCCGCTCGTGCATGTAGGCAATGCCCATCCACTGAAGTGTTGATAGGATATTCTTATCCTCTTCCTCCAGAAATTTCTGCAGTCCTGGCAAAGCTTTTGAAAGGAATAGAAGTTCTTCTTTATACTTCCCACGACTTATATGTACAATACCGATTGCACGTCGGACGAGTATAGTATTTCTATGCTCTTCTGCATCGCGTTTCTCCAGGCCTCCTAAGGCCTTATGAAGGGCTTCTAGCGCTTCCATGTGCTGCCCAACTCCCGTATATGCTATAGCCATATAGTAGAGCTTATGCGGTTCGTTGACCTTGTTTTGTCCGAACAGCTTCTTCGATGATGATAGGGCTGCAGAGAGGAATGGCAATGCTTCCTGATACTCATGAAACTTCACATAGGCTCGGCCCATGTCGTAGGAGACGTGATGATAGAAGTCGAGCTGTCACCTAGGTAGCTTCTTCTCATGGCGTGAAAAGACTGTCGTGAAAGAAGACAACGCATCAGTATATTTCCCCAGGCGGTCAGATCTCAAGCCTTATACTAGACTACAGAAAATAGAATTATAGTTATCTAACAGGTGGAGCTCCGGCATATCTATGCTGCGTATCTTTTTCCTATTCTTTTTTGACTTCGATTCTTGACGTGTTTGACTTGTTTTGATTCGGCTTCTTTCTAGATGCAGCTCGGTCATTTCACAGCATAATTAAGGTTGTCTGGTGCCATGAAGGGGTGCCATGTAGACTTCCCGAGTCTCCGTCGTACCATAACAATTGTATTCCAGTGAAGTACACCGCCGCTCGAATTAGCCGCAGTGAATACATTGATCATTCTCTACCTGCAGAAAATCAACGTGCTGGAACTCTTAGTAAAAGAATCTCATTCACCGCTACTCTACCTCTTCCTTCCATCTACCAGAAAGTTCACCATAAGCAACTCCCCTTCTTCAAGTTTCCCATCATCGAGCACAGAAAAGCTCCAATCTCACCTTCTACAAGATCCTCACTAGACCTACTACAGTTACCAATCATGCCTGACTCCAATCCTACCGGGACACGCAAATGCCAGAGCTGCAAAAAGGCAGAATCCGAAAGTGCTCCCTTGAGGAACTGCTCCCGCTGCAAATCAGCCGTCTACTGCTCCCGCGACTGCCAGAAAGCTGACTGGAAAACTCACAAGAAAGTCTGCGCCAGCAATGCACAAGCAAACACCGGCTCCGGCAACCAGTCCGCAACTGACACCAACGCCACCCAATCCACCAAAGCTCTAGATGTTGACTTCCTGAAGCCATTTCATCGCCTCCACGCAAAGACCTGGCTCCACGACCGCACCGAAAAGGATACCTACAAGTTACTAATCGACACCTACCGTCTCCGGCTAGACGACGACTACACGTTCACAGGGGATATTCAAGCGGATAGCATCTATGGCGGGGCGACTGATGGCGGACGCGCTGGATTCCGCAGGTTCCTGAAGCGCGTTGAACGCAAACCCGATCTCCTGCCGAGGTGGTGGACCCCAGCCAAAGCGGAGGAATGTGTCCGGTATGGCACGGATTCTGCAAACTGGAGCTATCTTGGATATGCGGTGGAGAAGCACGACGTTGTCGAGCATTACGGAAACAATTTGATGCCGATGCAGCTGCGCATGTTTGGCGAGCAGGTGCTTGGAACTGGACCCGGTGGGCAGAAAGGGGCTAATATGATGAAGATGCAGATGGACGTCGAGGGCGGAAATGGCGTAGTCTCTCATCTGGACTTCAACCACCTCTTGAGACATTGATCAGACGTTGTATGTTAGCAAGGCTGCTGTCAACCAGAGCGTGGTCTGCAGACATTCATTTCAAGGCCTCTGATGGAGAAAGTTCTTTTGCGTGATGGACCTGTTGTTATTTCTTCGCCGACTGTGCTGTCTCACGATCCGACCGACGCGCGGAATGACATATCACATTTTCTGACCACTTATGGAGAATGGCGTTGAGCCATTGAATCTAGAAATAGTGCCAGCTGCTTATTGGTGGCTAATTAACTTAGTATCGTTTTGGTTAGAATACCCGCTATTCTCATGGAGACAAGGCGGCAACCACAGGGAAAAAAAGAATAGTGATGATTGGGCGTGTCCAAAAAAAAAAGAACAAGTTTGACCTACGCAGGATTCGAACCTGCAATCTCTTGATCCGTAGTCAAGCGCCTTACCATTGGGCCAGCAGGCCTTGTTGGGAGCATGTTTTCCTATTTTGCTACATGGCCCAAACAAGAGCTCTGCACCTTCAACAACCTCTGTTCAGAATATCATCTACGTACTCAGTCTTCATTAACATGAACTTGCTTTTTTTATTATATATCAGTGCCTTGAGTTGTCAATTTCATCATATTCTCGTTCTGGACCGCGATTTTCATTTTTGCATGACTGTGAACCTCAGAGAGCCAATGTCCGGTGAAAATATATATATCTTGTCGTACCTGAAGACAGAAGAACCAAGGTCAACAGAACATGAGCCGTCACTCCAGATAAGTCATACGCTGACATAGTAGCCCGATGGTGTATTGTACTAGCAATTAGTCCATCAAGGAATTCCTACATTGTAATCGGCACCGCTCAGAGCTCGAATAGATCTGGCGAAGCTCTCCAAAACCAATAAATACAACCTTTCTGGTGGCCGACCTGTAGCACTCAATGCTTTTCTCAATTTAAAATTATTTACACAGCATCACCCTTTAGTAGGAGTAGCAACAAACGTAGGACACTCGCAGCTCGTCTGCATATTTCGGGACATGTGTGCGACCCGAGTTCACGGATTGCGGCCCTATCTCTACAGCCATCGGCATCTACCATACAATTCCCCGAAACTTGAGTTGGAGTTCGGCTTAGGTTAAGGTTTACATGCAGCGATTGAAGGCTCCTGCACCTCTATAAGAAGGGCCATCGCGTCTGAATGTCATCCTGATCGCCTGAAGGTGGCGGTGCCTCGCTTGAATTATGCAATGTAATCCTGCAATCCTTCTGACAGCGCCATCCCATTCCTTCAGACACAGACAAACACGCAATGATGTGACGGGGGGATCAGAGACCCTTTGAAGAACGAGTCTTTGATATTGTCAACGATGAATTGCTCTCATAGAAGTGAGTTCTTCTCAACTCTGCCGAAGAGTCAGGCTCAAGAAGGGCGGTGTGCTGATGCATCTTTGACATGGCAGGAACACCGAAAAAATGAACCCAGTGAAGGGGTGGAAGATTTTAGGGGAAAGTCTGAAGCGGCGAGTACGTAAAGTAGAACTTCTTATATCCTGTCATCCTGTCATGCCTTTTCTAGTAATGTGCTGACAGGGGTACGAAGCAACAGAAGCTGACTCAAGTATCCGGCAGACAAAGATCCTCCAAAAGTATAATTTGTAATCTGACCACTGGTTAACTATGACATCGCTGTATTGCGATCAAAGGACGGCGAAGATGGTGTGGTCTTATATCTAGAAGCAGCTGGCAAGAACCTATGCACCTCCATCCATCAGTAACATTGGACATATTACAGATGACACACTATTGTAGCAGACAATGCATGGTCGTGACAAACCTGGAGCGCCTAAAGCTTCCTACGGAATTCGAGCAATGGCCGATTTGGGAGGCTCATGCGAAGGATCGAATATCTGTACCGGAAGATCAAACTTGGTCATAGTACCGAGGAGGACGTGACTACGAGACAAAAGCGAAGGGACGCATCTTTCCCCTGTGGTATCCTAAGACTTGCTGATGGCTGCCCATGACAGGTAACCAGGACAGCAGCTGAGTCCCCAGGACCCGCGAACTTCTCCATATGTGTAGCGAGCTATGTCGGATCTTCGGAGAGTGAGATTGCATAGACGCATCACCTCACTTTCGTAGAGACAATGTCTTGTTATAATAAACGCATATTAATTCCCTCAAAACTCTCTGCAAAATAGACATAGGCATCTGTCGATAATGGCTCGCCAGGATCGTCGAGAGGGCGAACATTGGTGCTAGGAATGCCTTACTAAATGGATCTAGGGATGAAGAGAGTGAGAAGAATTTCGTTGCGCTGTCTGAAAGGAAAAGGGGAGGAATGATCGCTGCAGTTAATGGATGTACAGACAATTCACCCCCTGGCTTCAACGGAAGCGGAAAGAAAGTCCTGCGGAGAAAGGTGCATATGCATCTCAGAACTGAATCACCAAAGGACAGCAACAAGAGTCGACAAAGTCCACACCCGGCGATCCAGCGACCTGAGAGTCGAGTCCTCCGAGGTATGACCAACATCGGCGTCTCGGATGGTCTGCGGATGTCCTACTGAGAAGGACTACGGAGTACCAGGCGGGGATTATCCCACGTGCAGCCTAGCCTTCCAGTAAACCACAGCTATAGGTACATTTTTTGCAGTTACATCATAAGTACTGTATTTAAGACATCTCCTGAGACAGAAGTACGTAGCTCTCTTGGTGCAGATTTATAGCTCTTCAAGTAGATAGCCCCCATTACTGTGAAATGTTGTTGACCCTGAGTCGGAGGATGGATGCATTTGTTGCCCAAAATCGCTAGCTCTCCGAAAGTCATTATGGTCAATGACTACCATCTCTTCAGCGTTGCCTAGGACTTTCCTTCTTCCGGCATATGCACGAAGTTGTGACGTGTAAGAGAAACTAAAACGGCATACAGCAGCACTGTCAGAGAGGCCGTTAAACTGACATAACCATTATGTAAATAATTAGATGAGACACCTTCTGACTCCCTTTTTAGTTATTATTTCCATTTCCTCGACTGACGTTAAGATGAGGTCGAAGCACTAAATGTACACTATGGCTGGTGATCAGCCCGTAGTGTATTTAGTGCATGACAAGGATCAGTAGGATATCTCTCTCTCTCCGGGGTGGCCTCCGTAGCAGGTACAACATTGGGACTTCCACTGACCCCTATTTACGGAGTGGCGGTGTAGCCTGTGGCCCAGTCTGTCAAGTTTAATATTAGATCTGTTCTAGCGCCAGTTCATTCCACAGTTTCTACAGTAGTGATCGATTTCTGGGGAGGAGGAAACAGCTAATCTATGAATTGCACCGGCGCTGGGCACGGAGTGGGCATTACACACTTAGGGCATCTCCCGGCAATCCCATCCCAATCCCAAGGCCGATGTCTTAGGAGTAATCAATTCCCTAATCTCTAATTGGGTCTGAGTCTCCCATTGTGGGGAGCTCGGAGAAACATGTGGAGTACTGAACCGCAGGGGTCCGCAACGTATTGCCACTACGTACTGTCAACGTCGATCATGCCACTACGTACTTTGGGGATTCAGGTAGTAAAAGGGATGGGAAATGTCTTCAAGGTGTAACAGTCATATTCTGTGTGTTCTGTTTCAGAATGTGAGATCTATATCAAGGATGAGGTAACCATAATAACAGAGTATGAATAACCTCAATATTATCTCGAGGACCAGAGACCCACAGCATCAGGTTAACTGAGGTAAATTTCCCCATATTTCAGGGCAGTGGACCCACTATTGAAGTCATCTGAAGAACCAAATATAGCCATTGGCTAATGAAGCACAGAAGGTATGACCACATGTCCAGCGTTGAATAGGCTGCATGTCTTAGACAGTTGCTTGGCGATGTTGGCGCAGCCACTACCTCGTATCCTGGTCTCGACGTTGGGTATGGAAACCCTCGGATGCCGAGGATCTCCTTGAAGGTATAAAAGGCTCATTGCTACCCTTATCCCTGACATTCATCATCATCAACAACAAATCAATCACTCACAGCCCGTTCCAAACTCAAAAAACCTCGTTCTAAACCACTTTTTCTCAAACACCCTACAAACCACACAAAATGCAGATCAAGAGCTTCGTCGTCGCCGCTTCGGCCGCTGCCACTGCCTCCGCCGCCGCCTGCCAGGCCACTACCAATAAGTACTTCGGCATCGTCGCCATCCACTCTGGCAGTGCTGTCCAGTACCAGCCCTTTAGCGCTGCTAAGAGCAGCATCTTCGCTGGCCTCAACTCCCAGAACGCTAGCTGCGACCGCCCCGACGAGAAGAGCGCCACCTTCTACATCCAGGACGGTTCCCTGTACCTCTATGCCGCCTCTGCCACTCCCCAGGAGATCTTCGTCGACCGCTCTGGCATGGGTAAGTCACATCCACACCCGCAAACATGGAAAGAAAAAGCAGAAACTGACAGGAACTCTACAGGCCAGGGCAAGATCGGCTACACCACCGGCGCTCAGCCAGCCCCAAGAACTCCGAGCGCCAGGGCTGGGCCGTCGACGACCAGAACCACCTCCAGTTCCAGGGCAACGGCCTGATCGCCTGCCCCAACAGCATCGACGGTGCCTGGAGCATCTGGGCCGATGCCGGTGTTGCCAACCCCGGCGGCAACAAGGACTGCGTCGGCATCGCTGCTCGTGTCGAGGATGTTGCCAACCCTAACGGCTGTGTCTACACCCAGTAGATGACAACGTGAGGCTGGGTCTTGCGGTTTACTAATACAGTCGTTTGATTTGAGCGTTGCTTTTAATTTCTCTCACTGTTGCAGCTCCTAGTCAAGGACAGTGTTTTCCTGTACTATATCACTCATTTTACAATATATAATATCACTATTCAAAATATAAGACGTGTTTCTGGTGCATCAGCCAGAAACACCTTTTTTGAATCACATTATGACGACTTTATCTAGGATGCTATTGTAGGTTCTGAGATGATCATGTGAGATGCCTTAACGCCAATCAGCTATGGAAGCGCTGCCACATGCATCTTACGCATAAATAGTGTGCCTATCCCTGCTACCTCCAGCATGTTTGACGCCGAACCTGTCAGTACGCTACAAAGGGTTGCCATGGAGTATAATCTCAGACGAGCCATCATCTTCCTTTAAGCAAAAGTCTCCTTACAAAAAATAAGCTACCTTGCGTAATCGGCTCTTGATCATCTTCCTTCTCATCAGTCTTCGCCCTCGCACACAACAACACCATATCACGTCCGTCCGCAAACCTGCAAACCTGCAAACCCGCCACAGCGAATAGCGCCTTTCATGGCTCTCAGACGTTCCAGGACCGCAAGGGCATCCGAAGGCCCCTCGTACAGGGCCAGCAGCGGATTAGAACGTGCATGGACAGCAAACAAGGACCCCACCCCTACTGAGCAAGCATTTGGCCTGATCCTGGAAAGCTGTCCACATCATCGGGCAATCCGACGCCGGTCCCGCGCGAGGAGGCCCCTGGGTGCCCCTGCGGTAGGTAACAGATATCGAGTCACGTAAACTCGTCTTCGCTTTGTTCAGGGGCAGAGATAAATTCACACTGGCCATCCCAGGTTCAGGGTCGCCATGACGGCTCGGACGGCCTGGACGTCCTTCCCGCTGTCGAGATAGACAGCGCCGAGGATCGCCTCAACGGTTTGAGCCATCACTCCTGGGGACACGCTGGCCTGAGACGGATTGATGAGAATGAGGTTCTCCAGTCCAGCTTTGGACCCAATTTGTGCGAGATGGGGGTTGCTGGCCATCGACGAGAGCACCTCGTTGATGTAGCCTGTGATTCGATTAGTAGTCCATCTCAGGAACATTTGTGGGGCGCAACAAACCTCGACTGGCTTTGGCTTCGTAGCCGTCCATCACGAGGATCAGATGCAGGACCGCATCGCCGATTTGCGCCAGGTCCTTGTTGCCGTCGGAGCGATGTGCTCGCCCGGTCAGGGCAAGCGCGCCGGCGCTACGGAGAGCTTCGTAGAGGATTGCACGATTGGTGAAGTCGTAATGGATAATATCCTCGACGAAGTCAGCTCTCTCGTCTAGCGACATGTGAGACATGGCCATGGTTGATCAATGGAAATTTAACGGTCTATTGGGCGATTGTGGATAGAATGGAGAGTGTTGAAAAGAGAACTAGGGGCACAGGAGATGGAAGATGGAGCAAAAAAGATGGAGAAAAGAGGGGAATGGATGCCTATTTATAAACATCTCGTCTATAGTAATTTGTGATGTAAGAGCTGCGGCAGACGCTGCGCCGCAATACCAGGCATACTCCAAGGCGTATCGCCTGCATCATTCAGGCGGTTGTCGATTGGCTATGCCATGACTCTGTCAACCGTAAAACGACTCAACTAAAAGGCGTCTAGACACGATCTCCAGCGTATAGGAATATTAGAGAACAGGTTTGATAGAAGTGAAATCTGCAATATGACTGCGGAACAAAACGTCGGTCCACAGTACGTAGAAGAGCCAACCATGTCATATGTGCCTTTGTGAATGGCCAGCCGCTTCTCAATTTCTGGTATATCATAGGTCTGGATGACAGTCAGATCATAGGCAACCAGACAGACTCTGTCCCCATGAACCACGGTCGAAGTATGCGAGCGGGACCAGCCGCAGCAGAATGCTTCTCAACTGCTCCAAGCGCTCCAAGCCCTCCAAACACTCTGTCTGACTCTCGGCAGTATCAACTACTGGCAGATCATGGCTTAATCTTGAAGACCTCTTTGAATGGCTACTCCCGTAATATATGGCCAAGTATTTTCACTATGAAAGGTACTTTCACCCATTTCTTCCCTTCCACCAATAACCTGGTGTAACTCGAACTAATCATCCCGGACTATTCGCGCCTTCCACGAAACCGGACAACACGCGGCCTTGTACCATCCATTGGCACCGCAATCTGCCGCACAAAAGTTGCTAAGATGTCCTGTCGTTCATCGAACATCCATTTCAGAACATCGAAAATTTCTGCCACTTTTATAATCGATTGGAACTGTGGGCTTCTCAGGATGTCGTCTTTCAAATCAGTACACTGGTCACTTGCATCGTGCCCGCGTTGTTGTACTAAAGGATCGTCGTAATGTGGTAATGTCTTTTTGCAGGCTTCAAAATGAGCTTTGAAGCTGTTTGCCGAGACTAGTTTCGAAATTTCCCTTTCTATTTCGAGAGATAGTAGGCGAAACGTCTCTTCCCCAATGCACTCGTCGAAGAATTTCGCGAAGTTCACATTGTTAAGGTCTTTGTGGTTGGGATGTTTTGGCGGGTATTTAGCTTCAAATGCAGCTTTGAGGGCTGGATGCATTATTCGACTGGCAGGGCAACCTTTCTCTGAACCCACTGAAGGAGCTATTCTCCCGGCTGAACGTTCAAGGCCGTCAATTGTCACCCATAATCTGAACGCATTTTTCTTGGTCATTGATGGGACCTCGTGCGTGATGTCTTTGATTTCAAGCATCTGGTATAGGGCAGACATAAATTCCTCAACTGATTTATAACTCGCTTCCTCCGAGGCAGGTTGTAGAACCGGCCCTTGAGACTGCTGCTGGCTACCCCTGTAGCTGGATCGAATTCCAAGCTTACTCCAATGTTCCATCCTCTCTCGCGAGAACAACTCCAGTTCACGCTTGGCTCTCTCGAATCGCGCTCTGCTTCGGACTACAATCAGTAACCGAGCATGACTGAGTGAGTAGGAAGCGATGATTCGATGCTGCTCTCGACTCAGAGCTCCAATGTTTACCCTCCAGGCAACCGTTGCGGGCCATTTCTTTCTCCCTCTCTTCCTGCTTGGTACATCGACACTGACGATGTCCTTGTGTGGTGCATTTTTCAGCAAAGAATTCTCCGGGTAAGACACTTTGGCCTGGAGCATAGCATCTGCGAACGGTGACTCCCAGCATCGTGACTCGTTGCAGAATATAATGGCAACTTCCGGACTAACGGGAAGGATAAGATGTATCAAGTCTTCGCTAGTCATCCATATAAGCTGACATCTTTTTCCTTTCATCTCTGTACCGAGGTACGATTGCGTATCGCCCTCAAAATCAACCAGTCGGTCATTAAGAAAGAATTCGTAGCCATTGGCCGCTTTCCAGATCTGAAGGGCGTAATTCTCGACAAAGTGTCTATAAGTGTACGCGGCAGCGTTTTCATCTGGATTTTTAGCATCTTCTAGGATGTCCTCGTGGCTTGTTTCCAAGAGATACAGCAACTGCTCGAGCCAGTACTGCTCTGGTTCGCTGGACCGGCCACTCTTTCTGGACGCTTCAAAGTGTCGCTGGAAGAAAAAGTCGTTCTCACGGTAGGGGTTCTTGACTTCGTCTCTGTACCACTCCGACCGCCTAAGGGACAGATTCATGAACTGGAAGAGAAGATGAACGTCCTTCTCAAGGATATCGATATGATCAACACCGTTGCTGACAGCATCTGTAACCTTGTTGAATATCACGCTGGTCTTCGACTCTAGCTTACTGAACAGATGTTCTACCCTCATTGGGTTTGTATCCATCGCGTTGTAGTATAGGTTTTGGGTGCCGCAGGTCTTTGCAACTTCTTTGAGCCAAAATTGCTCACCGACCAGGTCGAAAACATGTACAATTCCATGCTCTGTGGAGCTATATCCCTCTTAGATGGTAACCTGGGTAATGGTCCGGTCATTCTTACTTCTTGCTTTTGGCTCTCGTATGCTCAAATCGCTTCAGGATGAAGCGGGGGATGTAGTGATGGTATTGAGTTACAGTTTCTGGAGCCATGATGCAATGTTTCGGGGACTATTTTCGAATAGCGTTCGTCTTCATACGTCTTAAGTTTATCTGGGCCGAGTTTGGACACAGTAGAGATGCTTCCACAAGCAAACAAGCGTAGCCACCTCAGTGCGAGGTTGGTTAGGATTGGGATGACCGTATCTCGGCAAAATAGACCATGTACTGCTCCTATATGGGCATTAGCACATGCTTTTTACGAGAAAGGTAGAAGTATCCGTTTAAGTAGATGTGGCAGCTCCCCCTCCCTCCCTTTCTTTTACTAATAATGTCCGCTGGCTACGCTGAGGTGGATGCTCAATAACAGGTCGACCAGGGTACCTGCTCTCTAGTCATGGGTTTTATAGGCGGTTTCAACTGCCGCCTGCCAGTGTGATGCCGGATGTGACTGGACTGATCAGGGTTCCCTTATCGAGGTCGTAACCATAACCACTGCCCAGGCTTCATTGGCCGCCCTGACAGCACAATGTACTGGTTACCACGATGTTTTAGGGGGATAGGGCGAGGACAGCCTCATGCACAGCCCTCTTCTTTCCCTTTTCGGACTATTGCATAGGCCAATTGGATTGTGTCCTGAGCTGATTCGTTCATTCCTTGCATCGAGGATGCATCGGTCTCTTCTTTACTATTCAAATTGGCATAGCCCCACGATGGGAAGGGGCTATGCCCATTTGAATGAACCGCAGAGTCGCTATAAGAGACTCCTCGTACTCTCCAGCTCACTCGTCTTTTCCTGTCGTTTGATTTTCCTTCTTGCTAGACACCTGATATAAGCCGGCCTCTCTAGCATCAGTCCTGAAGAGACAATTTGATCCATCTGGCGAGATTTTAGTGTTCTTCGGTACGATCCCATACCATGGAGGTCTTTTTCGGAATACTGGGCGCACTGCCCCTTGTTGCAAGTCTTCTACGGAAAGGGAAAAGGAGTGTCAGCGAGATGAAGCAGTTGCTACAGAATGAGAGCTATATGGAAAAGCTGGTTTCTGGCTTGAAAAAGCTATTGGATGGGCTTAAAGAAGCATCATTTCATGAAGATATCCCAGAACAACACAAAGAGCTTTATGTCTTACTGGAGGAAAAATGTACGAACTTATACGATAAGATGAGACAAATCAAAAAGACATTTCAGCATCACAAGAATCGTCAGGGCAATTCTTTTCGCGGATTTTCAAGTGCCTTGATGAATAGCCGGAAATTGCGTAAATTGCAGTCTGAATTTGATTCCCTTATCATGATTATTGTTCAGTTTGAAACCATACAGCAGTTCATGTGGGTTCTCTACTTTTATTCCTCATCACCCTCTTTCCTCCTTGTTCTATCCCATCAGTTACATCGAGGAGATTTGGCTAAATGATGAAGCCCCAGGCAACGGTCACGCGGCGTGAGAATCGAAGACCATAACATTGACATGTCGAAAATGAGCGAAATGATCAGCACTACCATTTCAGAACAGTTTCAGAATTTGAAGAAGACATTGCCCTTATCGCAGTTCAAACGATACGGAGAAAATAAACCTGGGAAGGCGTATCGAATCCAAAAGATGCGGGCATACAATCTTAAGTCTTGTCGGGTTTCTAAAGCGTTCGAGAAGGGTATTTATCGCCGGCAAGTGGAAGGCAGGTGTCGAAATTGCGGGTGGCCTGGACATTGGGAAAGGAAATGTGGCAAACCTTGTGGTAAATGTTCGTAACCAGAAGCACAAAACATTTGCTTCTGACGCTGACATCATATTCTCCAGGTCATGGGAGCGGCCATAAAGTGTCCCAATGCTGCAACGATGTGTTCTGCTTCTATTGTAAGTTGATTGTGGAATTTGTGAAGGAAGCTAACCATAAGCCCATGTAGGTGAAGAAGAAGGCCATTTGAAGGGTGACTGTCCACGAAACAGACACTATGACCTATTTTTCTGAACCAGAATGATACAAGTTCAGCCCTGACTGTGCTGCCTTTAAAGACCTAACTTGGAGAGTTCCTACATGGGCTGAGCAAGCACAATGTTTTTGGAGGCGTTAAGTCCAGTCATGCTTGTGCTACTTTAAGAACATTCTATGTTGTCATTTGTTTGATGGATTTGAGTTTAAATTGTCAATTTGGAATGCCCATTATACAGCTCACCTATATAGTCTTAACTGCACCTTATAGAAAGAGTCTACACCAAGTTTCAGTGCCATAATGATAAGTAGTTAATGGCCGTGAGGCATAATTGTTTATTGTGGCGGTTATAGCATTGATCTCTGAAAGCACAATACAAAAGCTCTGGTGTATCTGGTTCTGAGTATTTCTTCGGCTGGTCTGAGCTTCAATCCATTAGGAATTTGTTAGTATCTGACGCGTTTTTATATCTGTTTTATATGCCAAAATAGCATCCCTTGTAAGATAATTTCAAGAAGACAAAAACATCAAATAAAGGTCATTATTTGGTACATAAGGGATCTGTGAATCAATATAGATTAAGAGCTTCCCACATTGCTATTATTAATAACATGCAAAAATGAGTTGACATTACCTTGAATACATCACCTAAATCTTGCTTTTTGTCATAGTCTCCAACATGAAAAATAGGCAACTGAATATGATCAAAAGTTTCACCTATTAGTCCATAAAAAGTCCCTTCCAACTAGAAGATAATCATGCGTCTTTGCAGACCAAGGAAGCTCCGACCAAATCCACCACCCTACCACCATCCAACCACGACCAAGTATGCCATGCATTTAGTGTCACATCTATGCCTGGTCGGAAGATTCTGCAGGCAGTATTCTGCTGGAATGCTGTGAGCTGGGTGCTTGATGCGTAAACAACACCATTGCGTGCAACTGCTGTTTTGCCCCAGAGCGATTCAACGGTATGTTTGACACCATCTGCTCGAACCGCCACATTAGCATTGGCACCGGACTGGTCATTGGCAAGTTGAACAGTCACAAGGGGAGTCTCAGCGGAGGCGGTAGCTGAGAGAGAGGAGGTAAGAAAGGCAAGCGCAAGTGCAATGTTGATAGAGATCTTCATTTTGATTTGGATCTGTCTGCCAATTTTTCCTTAAGCAGAAATTAGGGCTTGTTCTGAAGGATAGGACGAAACCTCCTTCTCTTTTATAGTGCTCTAGGTTGCAGGAAATATTTCCTGTGAGGTAATGCGTGGTCATAACTATTGATCCTTCATCTTGATCCATTGCGCATCAGGAGATCAAGGGGGCGCAGAGCAATGTCTTCTATGGATGTCCAACTGCAGGTCCTGTAGATTGGTCTAGACAGCCTAGGTCGAAATCATCTCTGTCATGCAGACCCTACTGTTCTGAAATTGGGAGTCACCCCCTAGTAGCGCTCTCATCTATTGCCTCCCATTTAAGTTGAATTCCATTGTGTTTGCAATTTTAGGACGGTCATTGATATCATGGGGTTGGTGTTCCATGGTTCCGTAATATCTGAGATCTTGGATTGACTTTAGTAAGTGGCTCTTATCCGTTTGCAGCGGTCGTGATGAGGAGTATGATTCAAGATGATCATCATTGCATAATACTATTTATATCTAATATAAATGCACATCTAGTTGCAATAGTGACAGTTTGATTGGATTCGGCTGGTTTTCCCTAATCCCTATGTGCATGAATATATAGGACCCAAGTTTCCTAATATCTGGATCTGGCCCCGCATCATTTCTGGGCAGCCTAGGCCTAGGTAAAGCGCAGTAAGCTTATTCGGAAGTATGGGGCAAGGTTACTTTCTATCTAGTCATATTATTACCACACCCAGCTGAAGCGCAGACCATTTCGGTTGTCTCTCACCGGGCATGGCATGGTTAGTCAATTGTGGTAGCAACTAAAGTTAAACTGGGCCCAAAAATACCCTATTGCTTTTCTTTCATCAAGCATAGAGTTGCTACCCATAATGTTAACTAATGATGTGGTTCAAACCTATGTGTTCATTTGTCTATCGCAGCCGGTGCTGAAATGGACGGGTTTATGATGCCTAAAGAGTGACAAAGTTAGCATGGAGGGTATAATTATGTTGACCAGCCTTAAAAAGGTTCTATACTAGATTTTACTGACCTGAATCTGCTTTTCACATGCTGTCCATGATGTCATTATCTTGTAAAGTCTAGTTTAATAATACTACTTCCTAATGGAATGCCTCACTAGGGCTTACAAATATTAAGGAGTATATGAGGCAGACGGCGGTTCTGCAGCTAACTAAAATATAATCATAAGGGAAGAACTGTACTGGTGGTTCTTAGCAGTACACTGATATCAATCTAAAGACATTGCATTGCTTGATAGGAAGTTAGTGGTTGTGTCACACAATGTCATAGAGTTGGTGGGCGAGTGCCAGACTGTGCTGGCTAAGGATTTAGGCAAGCATAAACCTGGAATGCATCTTCTTATACCAACCCCTCTCAAGATTCCCCTTCAACTGCGAATGCCTCCTCAACCTTCATATCCAAAATTCTTTGTATGTCTTCGCCCAAATATTCAACTCCAACATGTCCAGTCGGAGTGATAATATGGAACAGGGCTGCTGCGCTCCAAGCTGACCAGGGAACTGGTCAACTAAGGGCGCTCCACGCAGCGGCGCCCTAGGCAGTGGTCCTCAAACAGTGGGTTAGACCAGGGTGGAAGAGCTTAGTCTTAGGGATTGTTAGATGTGGAGTGAATAAAGAACACTGATATGATGACCCCCATGTAAATCAAGTTTACATCACTATCCAGGAATATGTAAGGCTTGCAGCTTTCCCAGCATATTATTGCCAGCTTACAAACTCAGATAATAAAGATGAAGCAGGCAGAGCGAATTATGATCAACCATGACACTTAATGGCCTAGTTCGCCCGTTGATATGGTGTCGAAGTTTATAGCTTTGTGCTGGCTAAACTGAAGCATGGCCTTGGCATTCATTTGAGTGTTGGATAAGAGGAATAAGGAGCTACCGTAACATTGAATTTAGTGTCGGTAAGAGCACTAGGATTGAGTATGATGGAAGAAAGAGCTTGGAAGTAGGCTTTTCCACATGCCATTTTGCTGCTGACCGAAGATACTTCGTCAATATGCTATTATCTATCCCCGCATCAACGCAACTTTTCTCGGATACTGCCGAGTCATGCGAAAGGGTAAGTGCAAAGAGGCAGTATTATTGCCGGCCTCAAAAAAACTCAGAAGAATCACATGACGTCGACTGTGATGAACCAATGGCAAAGTAGGAATTGGAAGGATAAATGCCAAGTCTGAGTCACGTGGAATTCTGCCTCTTGATTTTTTTGCCCGCGGGTAAGATCTATTCCGGCAGCATAACACGGCTACTTTGAATATCCGATCCCGCCCCAGCTAGGCTGATGTTAGTAAGCTGGTTTGCAGCCGTCGAATCCCCCGCGCCAGTTGCCCTTCCATAACCGATCGCCAGCGCGGGGAGCCGTGTGTCTGCCTGCCTTCTCAGGCCAGTGGAGGAGACGGATATGCATATCTGCCAAACGTCCCAGTCGACCCGGCTGATCAATTCTTAGGATCTGCTGGCGGCCGCCGGTCGGGTCTTAGATTTGACAGTTGCGTTGCCAGAATGGTGGAGTCATGCAACCGATATGTTCTTAAATCTCTCGGCATGTAGCAACCGTGCCTGCTATTTATCTGACTCCCGACGCAAGGCGGGCCCCTCATAAACCTATGGGCCAGGAGCCGACCGTATTTGCCGTCGCCATCTGACCTCCTCAGTATCCAGATTCACCACACATATTGAAATGATTATAAGAGCAGTGATGTCTCTCTCTGATTTCTTCGGCAATCATCCTCCATAGACAATCTACTCTTTCTCGCACGTCCTCCAGTCGTGTCATTTCGACTCATCTTCTTCATACACACAAATACACAATGTCGCCCAAGCGCCAATTCGACCCCAACTTCACTCCCTATGTGATAAACTCTATGGGACCCAGAACCCCTGAGCGCGCTCGCGTCATCTTGGGATCTCTGATTAAGCACATCCACGACTTTGCTCGTGAGGTCGAGCTTACTCCCGCAGAGTGGATGCTCGGTGTCGAGTTCATCAACTCTATCGGCAAGATCAGCACTCCCGTGCGCAACGAGTGCCACCGCATTTGCGATGTTATCGGCCTTGAATCGTAAGTACAGCGATACAACATCAAGAATATAATAATCAATGCTAATGACTAAATCAGTCTTGTCGATGAGATCGCCAACAAGATCGTCACTGACGAGGGCCTGACTCCCACCTCCAACGTCATTCTTGGCCCCTTCTGGTCGCCCAACGCTCCCTTCCGCAATCTCGGCGACAGCATCATCCAGGATCCCAACCCCAACGGCAAGGTCACCTTTATGCACGGTGTCCTGACAGACATGGAAACCGGCAAGCCCGTCGTCGGCGCAGTCCTCGACATCTGGCAAGCCTCCGCCAACGGCCAGTACGACTTCCAAGACCCCAACCAGAGCGACAACAACCTCCGCGGAAAGTTCAGATCGAACGAGAAGGGCGAGTTCTACTGGTACTGCTACCGCCCTACCCCTTACTCTCTGCCCACCGACGGCCCGGCCGGTGTGCTCCTCAATCTCATGGATCGCTCTCCCATGCGGCCCGCCCACATTCACCTCATGATTACCCACCCCGACTACGCCACCATTATCAATCAGATTTACCCCAGCGACGATCCGCATCTCGACATCGACTCGGTCTTCGCCGTCAAGGATGACCTTGTCGTTGATTTCAAACCCAAGACCGACGACCCCAAGGCCGTGCTCGACCTCGAGTACAACGTCAAGATGGCCCTGAAGAAGCACCACCCCAACCCCAACTCTGCGCCCCCGGTTTCGTCCTTTGAGCGCTTCAACAAGGGCCAGAAGCTGTGAGGAGGTGTTTGAATGATTGATGCATCTTTTCAATTTTCTCTACTGTAGAAAACAGGGTGGCGCCGTCATCGCCAGAGCAATCCGACTTCTCCTAGACGGTGTGGTCTGAACTCTGTTTTTTTCATACCTTACCGCTGTACATATTATTTGTTTGATACTCCTGTTCGCATGTTTCCTGGGTGTTTAGTTATTAGCATAAGCAGCGATCATTACAGCTGAATAGATTCCCCGTTCTCATTTCTTTGGACCTTGACTTATCTCGTCCTTCACTATTTATTGTGACTAGTATCACGCGTTCGTACTACGAGACACACGCATTCACCTGTGTGGTGATGCCTGGGGCAACGCTCCTTGTTGATTGATGCCTCAGGCAGAACACTAAGCTGAGTTGGCAGCTTGGCATGAGCTGTTCTTATGTTCTGCTCACCGACCATTATACCCTTTGCTTATCAATTCAGTTTGATCAAGTCACCATAGCTTATCTCTCGAATCTTCATAAAAATATAGTCGAAGCTCTATTTCTCTCTAGGATGTCGACTACTTCCCCATCCGAGGCTCTGCGCTTCCACCTGGCATATAAACCGCAGCCTCTCAAATTTGGCACTAGTGGTCGGAGGGGCAAAGTGGTTGACTTGACGCAACTCGAGATCTACACAAATGTTCTGGCAGAGATCCGCTATTTGCAGTCCTTGCAGCTCTCAGAAGGAGGCATCCGCAAAGGGGACGACTTCTATTTCGCCCATGACCTCCGACCAAGCTCCCCTGGCTATGTAGAGAACAACCGCGGTGGCCTGTGTCAAGCGGTCGTGCAAGCCTTGAAAGATGGAGGCATGCGGCCTATCAACCTCGGGGCTATTCCTACGCCTGCACTCACCTTTTTCGCTCTTCAGAAGGGCAAGGGAAGTATCATGGTAACGGGCAGCCACATCCCGTTTGATCGCAACGGCTACAAGCTCAATACCTCGAAAGGAGAGCTCCTGAAGAAAGACGAGCAGCCCATCAACGAGGTGGTGGAGATTGTGCGCGAAGAGCTCCTCTCTCAGCCCTTTGCCAATTCTCCGTTCAATGAACAAGGCATGCTTCGCGGTTCCCCATCGGAGCTTCCGTCTGTTGCGCCCGAGGGTAGAGCTGCCTATATCCAGCGCTACCTTGATTTCTTCCAAGGCAAATCGCTCAAGGGCATGAAGATTCTCGTGTACCAGCATTCTGCCGTCGGTCGCGATGTTGTGGTTGAGATTTTGGAGAAGCTTGGTGCGGTGGCCACTCCCGCCGGTCGCAGCGAGACCTTTGTCCCGATAGACACCGAAGCCATCGACGAGGCGCAACTCAACACCGTCCAGAATCTGTACGATAGCACAGGCCAGACATTTAACGCGGTTGTCTCGACAGACGGAGACAGCGATCGCCCGCTCCTCCTCGCCCCGGAGGGCAACCGACTCCGCTTCTTCGGCGGCGACCTGCTAGGCATGATCGTCGCGGACTTCCTCCAAGCCGACTCCGTCGTGGTCCCAATCAGCACCAACGACGCCATCGACCGCGGCCCTCTAGCCGGCGCTCTCGAGCCAAAAACAAAGATCGGCAGTCCGTACGTAATCGCCGGGATGCAGAGCGCCGTGGCGAAGGGGCGCCAGCGCGTCTGCGGATGGGAGGCTAACGGCGGCTTTCTGACGGGCTGTGATATCGAGCGCGACGGCAAGATGCTCCCCGCGCTCCCGACGCGCGATGCAGTCCTCCCTCTCCTCTGTGCGTTGTTTGCAGCGCAGAGCCGGCAAATGACCCTCCCTGCGCTCTTCACCACCCTACCCAAACGATTCAGCCGTGCTGCGTTGATCAGGAACTTCCCTCGCGCTACAAGCATGAAAATCATCGACCGCTTCTCACTGCGTGAGGGTAGAGCGCAGTCTGCGGAAGAGCAGTCCCGTCGGATCCGTGAAGAGTTGGAAGGGATTTTCTCTGCTCGACATGGGTTTTCCTCAATCTCCCGTATAGATTACACGGATGGAGTTCGGATCATTTTCCAGAACGGAGATGTTGCTCATTTTCGTCCTTCGGGGAATGCGGATGAGCTTCGAATCTATGCTGTGGCGGATACACAGGAGCGTGCGGACCAGATCGCGGCGGAGGGGGTGGCTGAACCGGATGGTCTGCTACGGAAGCTGGAGCGGTTGGTTCAGGCGTAGCGGCATTCCTCGTTGTGTGTTGATGGTTGCTTACGAAAAGACCGTCATTGATTGTCGTAAATACAATTAGACTGATATGGCAGATTTTTAGCTGGAGAAACTGTACGTCGTCAATAGTAGTATATGACAACTCTTGGGGAGTCAAAGTGTGTGCTCTGCCTGACTGTAGCTCAACCTGAACAGGAACCTTCCACCGCCGCAAGTACAACATTAGAATAAGCATAGAGATTTCCATATAGTCATTGAGAATGAAGAATACATGACAGTTCGGAGAGCCTGGTGGCTACAGTTCTTGGACTCAGAGAAACTCATCTATGTCCTTATAGCCTGAAACGGGATTGGTCAAGGTAGATTGATCGGAAGACCATAGCCATAAAGGTAGGTAGTGTCAAAAGATCTCAATGGGAGGCAAATGGCCAGCACACGATGAACTGAGGCTAATTACGACAATAACCTCCTCTCTACCAGAAAGAATCGACACGGGCATCCATGTCTTACCAGGCCAAGACTACATCTACGGTATTACTCAATATGACAGTCCTTATCAAGCGGAGTAATTACTCCTCTAGCAAACCTCAGACCGAATATATATACAGCCCCGGACTCCACGGAGACAACAGCACGAGACACCACAGAATCCAGCCATTCGACCACCAGCACACCATGTCGCCGAGCCCTCCATCCTCCTATTCGAGCACAGCCGCAAGGCCTCCACCTCGGTTCATCGAACTCCGGCCAAAGGGAGGTTAGTAATTTGAGTCAAAAGGACCGGACAATTCCCACTGCTTCGTCTTGGCGGTTCCTTTGGGATGGACTAACCCATTTTCTACGGAGTACAGTGGGCGTGTTGATCACGTTCCCCGAGGGTGCTTCCGGCCAGGTCGATTCCAGACGCAAACGACATGCTATCTCGCAGAAGAATCAACGAGATCGGCTAAAGGCGGCGCTAGAGCAGATGGCTCGAGTGCTACACGCTGGTGGCGTTGGTTCTGGCCCCAGGGGGTCGTCTGGGACGAAGGTGCGTGTGTCTTGGACTCCTGCAGGGGTTGCTGTCTACTGAAGCTGGGGGGATTTATGGGGTGAATGGTGATTGCTGACTGTGTTGAACTCTACTTGCAGGTTGAGTTGATTGAAACGGCCGCGGAATATATTCAGAGTCTTGAGAAGGAAGTGAAGACACTGAGGAGCTCAGTCAAAGAGATGCCCTCGGTCTCAGGAGGGGGTGAATGCTCAGAGTCCGAGTGAATAGTCTCATTTAACGAATTGCATGAATTGAATGGTTTGTGGCGCTGGTAAACCTCCAAGGTCCAACTTCCAAGACATTTCAGGGAAAAGCAGATGCATATGGTCGTATCGCTGCGCCATGTGGCCGGTCAACCCATGTAAGATACGAACGGGCAGCTGCATCCCCAAGTGGCCTGTCGTCCGGTAGCATCGCTGTAAACATCCAGCACCGGAAATGCCAAGAAGCCAAGACCATTGGATAGGTGGGACCGAAGTCAGAGTAAGCTGTATCGCAGACCACGTTCCATCAGGTGGATCGGTGATTGGCCAAACAAGCTTTCCTGACTGAGGGCTGGAGGAGGTCTTGGCAGACGGCCGCCAAGAGTCAGGAAGAAGCAGAGAGACAGCGAGGGAGCCTGTCAACTGACTGCGGCGTCATCGCTCACGAGATAACGAGGCAGTTTCCTGCGAGCTGCAGGTCAATGTGAAAACTTAGCGAAGGGATCTGGACTGCCTTGGGTCTAGTTCGCACGCCTCTCTGTTTTCTGGAAAGGCTGCTGCTAATGCCGAGGGCTGTTGTGTGCTTACTATATAAGCACCATGCACGCTCCAGTACTACGCATAGAGACGACCTTACCTGAAAGTTGTAAGGACAAGATATAGGATATCCACACCTTGCATCGACAAGATGGCCCTCCATCAGTTCGATTACCTCTTCGCCCTTGGCACTATCTTTGCCTTCCTCGATGCATACAACATCGGTGCTAATGATGTCGCCAACTCATGGGCGACCTCGGTGTCGTCTCGTTCATTGCAGTACTGGCAGGCCATGGTCCTGGCTACTATCATGGAATTCAGTGGAAGGTATGTTGTGCCAGTACAGGTTTCGTGTGTCCATCGGATACTAACCATTCTGCAACAGTATTGGTGTAGGTGCTCGTGTCGCAGATACCATCCGAACCAAGATCGTCGACGTCAAGGCCTTCGAGGAGAACCCTGCCCTGCTGATGCTGGGTATGGTCTGTGCTGTCACCGCTTCCTCCATCTACCTTACCGTCGCCACCCGCCTCGGTATGCCGGTCTCGACCACTCACTCCATCATGGGCGGGGTGATCGGTATGGGCATTGCTGCTCTGGGATCCGACGGCATCAAGTGGTGGGGAGGAGACATCAACTCTGGTGTCGTGCAGGTCTTCCTTGCCTGGATCATTGCGCCTCTTCTGTCCGGTGCCTTTGGTGCCATCATCTTCCTCTTCACCAAGTACGGAGTCATGGAGCGTAAGAACTCGGTTCTGAAGGCTTTCATCTCCATTCCCATTTACTTTGGCATCACCTCTGCTTTGCTCACTAGTACGTCCCCGCGACCCTTAGGATAATGCTTGACGATACTGACTGGCACAGTGCTTATCGTGTGGAAGGGTGGTTCCAGCAGAATCACGCTCACTGATTCGGAAACCACCGGTGTGATCATCGGCGTTGGTGCTGCCGTCGCGCTGCTTGTCGCCGTCTTCTTTCTCCCTTGGCTCTACAGGAGGTTGATCAAGGAGGATTGGCAGCTGAAGTGGTACCACCTCTTCATGGGTCCTCTTGTGCTGCGTCGCGGCGACGTGCCCCCTGCTCCTGAGGGCTACAAGACCGTGCAGGACTACTACAGGGGCCACAAGACACTAGAGGAGCTGGAGCGCGAACGTGCTAACATTGAGAGAGCCGGACCTTCCGACGAGGAGAGCGAGCCTGCTGTGGGCGAAGGAGGCAAGGAAGACCAGATTGTTGCTGCTTCTGCCGAGGTCGAAGAGCCCAAGTTCACCCTCATCGGGCCTCGTCCTGAAGGAGCCGCCTTCAGCCCCGCCGTCCTCTTCTGGCAGTTCCGTCGCTTCTTCTTCCGCGGTATTGAGCAGGATGTTGTCGATCTGCAGAAGAAGCGAAACATTCTCTCTGGTGACTTGGAGATGGTCCATGCCCATGCGCGCCATTACGACAACAAGGCCGAATACATGTACTCCTTCCTCCAGGTCATGACTGCTTCTACTGCTTCTTTCACTCACGGTGCCAACGATGTCTCCAAGTATGTTCCTATGCATCATTCTTGTGATGGACGCCTGCTGACAGATTGATCCAGCGCCGTTGGTCCTTATGCCACCATCTACTATGTCTGGTCGACCAACGAGCTCAAGTCCAAGAGTCCTGTTCCTTACTGGATCCTGTGAGTATCCACCTTTCGCATTTTAGAGAAGTATTCTAATTAATCTTAGGGCTTTCGGAGGTGCCGCGATCGTCATCGGTCTGTGGACCTACGGCTACAACATCATGCGCAACCTGGGTAACAGAATCACCCTGCACTCTCCATCCCGCGGCTTCTCCATGGAGCTGGGCTCTGCCATTACCGTCATCATGGCCACCAGGCTGAGTATGCCATATCCTTTACTCTTCACTGATCCTAATTGTGCTAACAGTCCGCAGAGCTCCCCGTCTCCACAACTCAGTGCATTTCTGGTGCCACAGTCGGTGTGGGCTTGTGCAATGGGACTTGGAGAACCATCAACTGGCGCATGATTGCATGGATATACTTTGGCTGGATTATTACACTCCCAGTCTCTGGAATTATTTCCGGCTGTCTCATGGGAATCATCATCAATGCCCCTCGCTGGGGATTGACCTACTAAAAGCGATCAGAAAGACAGCTAGATTTGGGGAAGGCGACGAGATTGACAATACCACTCAACGGCATTTTAGCTTCATCTAATGATAATAGTGACTTAGTCAAGTGATACCTCGCAGTGAAATAAAAATTGTATTTTTAATATATGAATCTATACCACGCAGTCTACCAACTTTGAAAAATGCCTCTTTTCCATGCATATGACAACCACATTCAACCATCCCCACGCAAACAAGCGACCCGGCTCACTCTTTCCACCCATCCCCAGCCCCAACATCCAATTCACCCCGACCAACTCCAACTCATGCCTCTCAACCCACTCCGCAACCTTAAACGACCGCCGTGCAGTAAACTCCTCCCCGCCAACATCCTCCTTCGCCAGCGCGAAACCCTCCGGCTCTCGGAACAGCAAGAACAGATACCGATGCGGGCGGGAACTGCACCATTAGCTTTGTCCGTTTCATTTCAATCAACACGAATACAAATACTCACTCGTCTTTTGGCCCAGGCCCTAGATACTCCGTCAATGAAGTACCCCCGTTGGCCTGCTCGGCCTTCAATCCCGAGGCGACCCAGTGTCTCCAGAAGGCGAATTTGGGGTCGTCGGGTGTGGGGGCGTCCGGGTCAACTAGGAGGAGGGTATAGCTTGTGGAAGAGGGTGGATCATTCTCCTGTGATTCCGGTTAGATTGCGTCGGTGCTGTTGGCGGAGTATATCTACCTCTTTGGAAAAGGATACAGTGGGGGCTGTCTTGCATTCACTTGCGCGGAAGAGATTCCCCAAGGAAACAGGCTTATCGTTGAAGGAGACGTGGAGCTGGCTGGTGGGTTTGAAGTCTGGGGGTAGGAAGGGGAGTAAGCCGGGGCTGAGGTTGGCTTGGGCGAGTGATTGCGTGAGCTGCTGGGTGTGGGATTCGAGAGACATCTCGGTGGGCTATAGTTTCGACACTTGAGAACATGGTGCTGAATGGCAGGGTTACAGTGATATATAGTCGGTCGTATGCTTGTGGACTAAATATGGAAGATGTGACTGGCGGAAAAATAGAGGATGCGCCGTCTTGGGCAATTTTGGTGATACATGGTGTGCGGGGTATCTATGGAGAACTTGGTCTGCTCCATTACCGTTTATTTGGATTCATTCATAAGCACCATAGTCCTTAGTAATGACGAATGTATGATAGTATGTCTTAATCTTTTGAAGCTTCTATGAAACTCTGCATAATTTACATAGTCTAAACTCTAAGCCACTGTCATCACAGCCTTTTGCATGGGATTCTTTGCAACAGCTCCATCTTCATTCCTACACTATCCACCTAGATCTTTGAATACCTTGTGTACCCGAATAGAGATATAGACTAATATTGAGGCAATATATTCCAACAGCCAAACGAATAACACCGCCACATCCATCATTGTTACCATTGTGCTATGTAAGATATGACGTCATTTGTGTACTTCGCCAACATATAACTACCTCATCTCCGATATCAGGACACTACAAGTTCACAACAACTACGAGAAAACAAACCTTCTCTGTCTATTACTTTGAAACCTGCTTATTATCAGCTCTATCACAAAACCACAATCGCATCAACCACAAAGCAAATCACCATGCCAAACAACAACTTCTCCTCCTCCCAAGACACTGGCGTCACTGGCGCCGCGAAATTCGTCACCTCGACTCTGGGAAACACTGTCGGCGGAGTCTCTCGCACCGTTGGTGGAGTGACTGGTGCAGCTGCTCGAGGAGTCGGCGACACCATCACAAGTGCAACCGGAAGTGCAGGAAAGCCTGTTGGGGATGCGTTGGGAAGTGTCGGGACGGGCGTTGAAGATGGGGCGAACCGAGTTGCAAAGGGAGTCGAAGATGCTGGACAATGGCGGTAAATCAGGTACGATACTGTCCAGTCGTCTGGGTCATGATAGGCTGAATGTCTGACTTGATATGGTGGTGGATTGCAGTGTATTAATTAGGGTTTAAACTGAGTTTTATTCTGTCAAGTGGCGCTTATAGGTTATAAGTCCAATGAGCTTTTTCAATATGGTTTGTTCATTAACATTCAGCTAAGAGTGCTGTAGCTGCAATTCCCATACTTTATTGCGATAATCTGATGCTAGTCAGCTGCTCTGGTACGAGCTGGATTTGTGGTCTTCATATGTTAGAGAGTGGAAGAATCGGGCATCAGGTGGTTCTGGGGTATGATGATTGATATCTCATTCAATATGCACTGAATTATGACATACCTTATCAATACCAAGTCCTCGTCTCATGAGTCATGTCTGATACTTTTAAATGAGCTTATCAGATCATAATTTATCGTTCCTGTGGATCCCGGGTTGCATGTTCTAGTTAGACCAATCAAAGTACAGAGATTGGATTGCTCATGGAGACAACAAGAGTCCAGCCAATCATCTCAGCCATTCCAACCGGCTTTACCATTCTCCGTTGGTGCAAGAGGATCCAGATTGATAACTTGGCAATTCCCCACAGGGATGATCAACTCATCCTTCCTCATCGCTGCGACGCGTAAAGACTACCCAGCCATGGGTTGGCCTTATCACATAGTCAAACTCAGTCCAGAGGAGAAGTCACAGCGTCGAGAGCTTCTCGATCGATACGGATTATACTCTCAGCTGTCCGTCTTCATACCGATTTTGTGCTTTTGGCTGTATCAGCTAGGGCATTGGGTCTATCACCGTTCGACTCGGAGAGACGGATATAGTGCAGTTACTCGTCCAGCAGAGTCAAGGACTTCGAGTCCCGGGAATCTTGTGAGGCGATGGCGGTCGATAGTGTGGTGGCTCGGAGATGAAGTCGCTCCCGGCTGGGGTGCAAGGCAGCATTGGATTTCTGGGACAGCATGGACTTTTTGGTCGCTAACGTTGTGCATAAATCAGACAGGGACTGGTGAGCTGTATTCCATCAACTGTCACCCAGGCTTCTAAAAACAATCTAACACTATTCAGACTATCTTCATGTAACAAAGCGCTTTGGCATAGTGGCTGTGGCGCAACTACCCACACATTTTGTCCTAGCAGTCAAATCTCGATACAATCCTTTAGCGTTGCTCTTTAACACTTCGTATGAGAGACTGCTACCATGGCACCGGATATCCGGTAGACTGATATTCCTTCTGATCGTTGTCCATGCGACGTTGTACCTGAACTACTTCATCCAAACGGCAACGCTGCAAGAGCACCTCACCTCGCTCAACATCATCCTTGGCATCACAGCATTCATGTCCCTTTTCGCCATGATGAGCACCAGTATTGAGGCCGTCCGTTGTCGTAACTACCGGGTCTTTTATATCACACACTCGATTCTTGCGTCCCTCCTTTTGCTCTTTCTCGTCTTTCACGCAAAGTCTCTACGCTGGTACATCATTGAGACACTGGCTGTCGCGCTTCTATCTCTACTCAACCGACTAGACACCATCACCGCGTACGCGACCATCTCGCGAATCCCCCGAACGAACCTCATCAGCATGCAGATCCCTATTCCTGCATCCAAAATACAAAGATTCCGAGCAGCGCCGGGCCAACACGTCTACTTATCCTTGCACGCGGAAACAGCGATGAAGATTAAATCTCCGCTCATACAGAACATGTTCCTCCGAAATCCTTTTACTGTCGCGAATGTCTCGGAGAAGAATGAGATCACCCTCGTTGCGCGGGTACAAGATGGTCCGACGTCTAGAGCCTTGGATGCCCTGGCAGATTCGGCGGAGAAGCCAAGTCTGGTCGAAATCTACGGACCTTTTGGGAATATCCCACGGTTCGCAAAGCTGGCAAGGAAGTATGATCGCATACTTGTTGTCGCAGGTGGAGTTGGCGCTACTTTTGCTTTGCCGGTCTACCGCGATCTGAAGGAGCAAGTTGAAGCGGAGGGCAAGGGACACGATAGGATTACATTTGTGTGGTCTATGAAGACGCTGGAAGAGGCTTCGTGGGTGATGGGATTGGCGGATGGGCAGGCCTTGACGCAAGATGAGAACGTCAAACTATACCTGACTCAGTCCTATCATATGCGCAGGCAAAAGCCTTCCCCGGACGAGAGTGTCGAGCTAGAGGAGTTACAAGCGCAGAGAGCAGTTGTATGGTCGTCCGCGGAAACGGGACGCCCTGACCTGGGCAAAATCGTGGATGGTGTTCTCGGCGAGTGTGATGAGCGCGTAGCAGTGCTCTTCTGTGGACCACCAGGGATGGAGAGGGTCTTACGGGAAAGTATTGGCAGGTTTGTACGGGAAGGACGAGAGGTTTGGTGGCATACTGAAGCCTTTGGGTGGTGATTCCAAATGGAAGGAGCGAGTTTGTGATCAGACGTGGTAATTCTCCCTCTGTGTAAGCATCCACTTCATCGCTTCCTCCTTCGTAGCATTCTCATGGTTAAACTGCCATTCCAAGAGGTCATCTAATGCTTCCTGCATGAATGGGCCGCCCCTTTTGAGCTTGAATAACGCCATCAATTCATGGCCGTTGAGTATGGGCTTGACGTAAGGTGCGTCCTCCAACTTTTGTTCAATTATATGCTCCACAAACCTCGACCATTTCTCAATCAAGGCCAGCTTTTCATTACCGTACCTCATCTGACGGACATCATCTTTCAGGAGCGCGTACAGCACTTGTAATCTCCAAGTACTGCCGCACATTCTAATCAACAGTCCGAGTGTACCTCGAGGTAGTCTTCCGGGGAAAGACCCATCTGCCGTAGCCTCGCCCATGCAATGCCGGATGCGATGATAATTTCTCATTGACAGAGATACAAATCCCGGAACTTGTACTTCTCGCTCTGCAAGCTCATCAAGACAGCCGAATCCAATCGGCACAAAAGCAGTCAGCAGCCAGACGTTGTCCATTTTCTCGGGCTGGAGCAGAATATCCCTAAGTGGCTTTGATCCCCCGCTCAACAGGAAAGCCACAGTTTCAAAGGTGCGAGCCCATTCACTGTGCCATGGGCCATACCACCCCGACTGCTGAAGAGCCCAGCTTGCGTCCTCGTTCTCACTATCTCGCAACCCGCGGAGAAAGACTGCATTGTAAAGACGGAGTTCATGGATCAATTGAAAAGCCGAAAGCGTGTTTGGGTCTTTGAGAATCTTTATGAGCTCTGTTTCTACCCGCTCACGGCTGACCTTCGCGCAGAGTTGTTCCGGCTGCTCGGCACTTCGTATCGCTTGCACTGTCTCTCGTTCAATCCGAAAACCAAGCTGAGTCGCGATCCGGATTAATCGGAGGATTCTGAGGGGGTCATCATCAAAGACTTCGAAGGGACTTGATGGCGTTCTGATGACACCAGCAGCCAGGTCATGCAGTCCAAGCTCAGTGTGATCTTCAACTATTCCAGTCTTGAGGTTGTAGAACAGAGCGTTGATTGTAGCATCGCGACGATGAGCATCCTCCTCCGGATTGCCAAACTCCATTTGCGGAATCCTACTCTCCTCGCTGTAGGTTTCCTTTCTGAGATTCACGAAATCCACTGAGAGGCCGAAAATACTATGGAAACTTCCTGTCTCTAGGTGTTTGGATTTCTTTGAGTTCTTTTTGATCTCGTGCAGCTTTGAGATTACAGTGGGAACTCCGCGGCGCCTTGCCTCCTCGATATACTTATGTTTCTCTCCCTGGAGATAATTCTCGAGTGCGTGGCCGAACTGGATTCCAGTCATGGAGCTCAGCGCCACGTCGATATCTGAGCATTGACGACCAAGAAGTCTGTCTCGAACCCATCCACCGACGAACCACATGTCCAGATTCATCATATCATTTTTGCTGGAGACGATGCTGTCTCGACAGGCTAGAAGTAGCTGTCGGAGAAGCTCTTCTGCAGGCGACAGAAGGAGAACTGGCGCTTGTCCCGTCGTCTGTTGGCGACAGTTCGCAAGGTTAGCCGCAAATTCCTTTATTTGAGTCATTTCGGGTACTTCGTTCTAGGCAGTGCTGGCTCTGAAACGGATACGAGCTTTGAAGAACTTGATAGAGCGCGGGAACTCTTAACTGAATCTTTGCAATGAAGAGTTGAGGTGAGTTAGTCACAATGGTAGGAAGAAATTTTGAAGTGTCAGCATCACATCGTCGTCATTCCTGCCTGAGGCCCCATATAACCTTACGCTCATGCCTCCCTTAACGTTTCTTTTCGATATTTGGTTAAAGCCACCGAATACCAACATGTAAGTGTCCAGGATCAACCGCTAGTAGGTAATCCGTATGAGAACGTAGCCATTAGAGGAAATGTAGCAAAGCGATAAAACGGTGGAGATAAATTAGGGCAAATGGCATATCCAGCAAGCTACGATTATAGTCACGCCAACCATGGGGAACAAATCCTTTGGCAGAAGGATCTGATAATGTACGGCTGAAGCCTCAATAGTTTAATTGAATATGACATAAGGCCACATTCTATTGTAAACAGCTTTTCCGTGTTCTTACGCAGCGCTTACTACTCACTCTGCATAGGGGGAATATTACCAAGAGGCCACTATGATATATATGAGATAGTTGCCAATCCTAGGGCCAGTCACATCCTAGCCCCAATGGGCCTTCCTTACGCCTGACTGGATGTGGTAGAAATCAATTAACAATAACCGCCGAGGTTTGCCCGCATAAGCCACCACATCTGCAGGGGTTATGGCCTCACCAACCAGTCTCAGCCTCGCGCGCCGTTGGTCTCCTCTACTAGCGGACAGGGGTGAGACCAGGAACAAAAAAGACGCACAACCCACCTGCCAGTCAATCCAATCTCGATCCTTTTCAATCCATAGGGTTCTTAATGGCCAGCCATCATGGCAAGTCCAACGCGCCAATGTTATTTTCCTAATGGTAATCCATCGAGTGACGTTCCCTGCTCCTCCGATGAAGCAACTGGATGTTGCACCTCCGGGGATATATGCATGTCCAACGGACTTTGTTTGAACGTTGCCCATCAACCTTACGTGGCGGGTCGAGGGAGCTGCACAGACAAAGAATGGGGCGATGGATGCCCGCAGTATTGCAGTAGGCACACCTCTCATCAAACACATGATCTAGTCAGTTCTGATCGATATATCTCACAGAGGATATGAATCGGGACGGAGGTTGCTCCATAATTAATGTCACCTACGAGAACGGTATAGCGACATATTGCTGCGGCACTCCTATCACAAACGGGACCGATGTCATCTGTCCAGAAGGAATGGATAGCTTCCAGATCCCAACGGGGCACGCGCTAACCGGTGTGGCACTCTTGAGCAATGTTTCGTCATCATCAGCGACAACGGCACCCTCTTCCACAGATACGGCGACGCGATCTTGTCATGACACTGCGATTGGAGCTGGAGTGGGAGTTCCGCTGGGAGTCATCGCGTTGATGACACTGGCTTGGGCGATCTTTGAACGAAGAGCAAGACGAGCAATGCGGACACAAGTACCGCCAGCCACAGTAGTATCAGACGACAAGGGCGGCCCCTATGTGCGCAGTCGTAATGGACCGCCTTCAGAGCTACCGCATACGCGCGACGTAGCTGAACTCATGGATAGGAATGAATAATGAAGAGTCAATGGCCAAGTGAATACCCTGACGGAATTACGATCGAAATGCAGTTATGATATCTGGTGTGATGTACAGCGATCGTTGACGAAAGACCGCAGGAGGTCGGGTCTTCAGAGCTCTGTTCAAAGACTCCGTCTCATGGCGAATATTATTGATGACTAAGTCCTATTAAACGCAGAGGATATGTGCACGGCTAAGTATCCTAATTTATAGCTGATACATACATACCAGACAGGATCTTGATCCTGCATGTTGGAAACTAATAGTTTATGAACCCGTCGGACGGATCATTCTTAGAGACATTCTTAGAGAAACAAGAAGAGATGATAATGAGACATTAATCACACTCCTAACTCAATAGGCTCAATCCGTCAGCCTACATAGTCACATCACAACACACCAGTCCCAGAATCCCCCTGAAGACTCTTCCGTAGAACTTGGCATTGGCTCTAGCTCAGGGTTCCCTTGCATGGAGACAGCCAATCTGAATGCTTCAGCAAAGGCGTAGTATTCAGGATTTTAATAATGTCTACCCTCTTCCCAAGTCTCCTCTTCGGAGTCCATTGATTCCCCAACGTATGTTTCGGAAATGTCATCGTCAGCAATGGAGTCCGGTTCACTTCCATCCTGAGAAGACCAAGGCCTCGAATACCGACCAGAGACCCCATATCCGACAATAAATCCTAGTCCACCAGACAAGAGTAAAGGAAAGCATTGGAGATATGAAAGATACGTCCCAAGACGGAAAGATTGCCGAAGTCAAACCCTCTTTTAGATAATTTCCTATTCATGGGGGCCCATGTGCCGCACTTTAAAATTGCATTATCCTGGAACAATACCTCACAACATGAACAAATGTGCCCTACATTGAATATTGCCAAGGTTGATACACTAGTCCTGGTATCATTGGCCACAGATGGAAGTAAACAAAAGTGTGCATTAATTTGTCATCTGACTATGCGCAGGGTCTTGTTCGATAGGATAGAGTAAGTGCGGTAGTATATTGTGGCCTGCAAGTCACAACATCTCAAGCAGGCTGAGTTGGAGGAAAGCATCGTCTACGGAAATATTGGACGAGAGTCTCCAGAAGAGGTCACGATCTGTTCCGCTCTTCGATAGAAGATTCCATTCGTCTCATTACTGATAGATGTGTATGAAGCAGGAGAGAAAAGATGATATTCTGAAGAAACTAAGTAGGTTTGCCTAGGCTAACACATTTCCCGTCGGTCCCCTCTTGCTCGTCCGACTCGTCCCTCGTCAAAACATCTGCATTCATCACTATCACAGAGTGTCTACCTCACCCAGAGCCAAGCTCTTATACATACTTAACAGTGACAGAGCTGCTGGAGGAAGAAACCGAAGTCAAAACCTGGCCGTTCTGCTGGATGTCCATAAGAGTGGCACCAGAAGGCCCAACAGTGGAACCGCCATGGGTAGCCTGAGCACCGGTGAAGGTGACAGTGCCGAAGTTAGCAAACGGCACCAGAGAACCGTTGGACTCAAAGTCCTCGACGATCCACTCGGCATTGTACTCGCACAGGTTGCCGTCCACACCACCAGTGAAGGTGTGAGTGACAGTCTTGCCCTTGGTCACGTTCTCGACAGTCGCCGTGCCAGCGGTCTTGCTGGTCGCATCAACGGTGACCCTGATCGTGTCGCCAGCGGAGATGGAGATGCCGCTGAAGTCGTACGCGTAGTCGGGATACCACTCGTACCAGGCGTCGAAGGAGACGGAGCCACCCTGGATGCAGAAGTCGACGCCGGTTTGCAGAATGGCGGAGCTGCAGGTGTCACCGTCGATACCGACCCAGGCGGAGGCGCAGTACTGCTCGTTGGAAGAGCCACCGCTTGGGGCGCGGGGTGTAGGGACGACGAACTCGCCGGTCACGGCCGTGTAGCCTGAGCCGATGAGGACGGCACCGGCCCAGTTGGAGCTGTACTCGACCTGAGTGGTATTGCTGAGCTTGATAACCTCGGAGGTGCCGGGCTTGTAGGGAGGGTGGCTCGACCTGTTGGAGTTGCGGGCCATACGACGGGCATGGCGGGCTTGACGCTGTTCTGTAAGGGGGGCAGCAATGGCAGCCGTGGCGAGCAAGCCGGAGGCGAGGACAGAAGTGAACTTCATGGTGGTGACAATGATTTGTGAGGAAGAGAGTATTGCTGTCGAGGATGAGCTTGAGGCTTGATGGTAGTCAACAACCTGCGAGTCTTGCTTGAGATGCTGGACATTTTGGACAGGGAATTCAACTTCAATTTATACTTGAGCACCGGACCACGCATTCCTTATCTCTGTGGTAAAACGACTCCTGCACAAGATGCATTCTCGCTTGATACTCTCGAACTAAGCAATTAGGATCCAAGCGTCTCCGCTCTAGCATGAGGTGAGGAGAAGGAACGGAGACCGATGGAGAATAACATTTGATTCACATCTAGTGGTCGGATTTGGCATATTCTCCGTGAGAATTGCACCCGCACTGTCATTTCGCCGTCCCCGCCAAGTTGATGGAGGTGCAAATTCAGCAAATGCAGAGGAGATCTTCTCGCCTCGCGATGGGAGTGCCGGACGAGAGTGCCCGAAGACCAAAGAACTAGATGCATCTGGACCTAATAAGCTCAGAATATCGCTTCTCTGAGAAACTTGATTGGCCTCTGGATGCAGAACGTGTGCCGCTCCCGAAATTCATTAGAGGATTGATAACAGTGGGCCTGGGGGCATGCCATTGGAACCAGGTCATGTCCACCATGACTTGGCGATCATTGCCGTAAGAGTCAAGCATTGCCAAGAACTCCAAGCTACAACGTAGAGATGTATGTGCACGCCAATGAGACCAAGACTCTGATTGAAGGCCCTGTGTAGATACTTGCCGTGCGGTCCTTCATCGCCAGCCTATGGCGCAATGTTCAATGGTTCTGCCAACTTCACTTTTTCGGTAGATAAACGGACCACCGACGGTGCTCGGAGTGCTCGGATAGGAGGATTAATATACTGAATGCCAGTGACAGTCAAGATGGACGGTCAACACTGCACGAGTAAGTTACTGCGGAGTTAGTGGTGCGGCGTGCCTCTAGTATCCAAAGGGGCTAGAAAAAGGTGGTCAGATGCTACTGTGGCGGAGACTAAGAGAGTTGGCGTCTGGATGGCGCGGTACACCAAGCTTTGGTCAAGCATCTTGGCGAATTATAAGCATCGTGGGTGAGCCAGGCGAGTATGGTCAAGAGACTAAGTAGATTAGGCTATTGTCAGCGGCAGATGGGTCGATGTAACGTTCCGGTGGAAAAGGGGGAGTACTCTATCAGTTTAAATTAATTTGATATTAATTTCTGCAGAGATAATGCAAGTGATGGCGCCGGATGACCGAGCGGGGGTATTCTCTCTTCACCTCAGTCGTCTTATCAACGACCATTGATGGCAGGTATTGTATCAACGGTCTATCCGTGTCTTCCTCCGGATATCCGCGACATTGCAGATTGTCGTAGAAAGGCGAGGAACAAAGCTTATCGTGCGGAGTTCCTTGCAATCAACGACTGTCTGAGGAGTTGTATTCTACATTCTGCTCGGATATTTTGAGTTTGCGCTTTCAATCACTGAGGCAGTCTTGAGCATTATTGGAGGCATATATGCTCTCTGTTCTGGATAGGATAAGTGCTGACTGTATAAGACAAGAAGTACACCATACCAGTAGATAAGGGACAATATCCACTGGCTAGGATGGGTACAAGGACAAACAAATAGTGAATCGATCCCTCTAGAATACCTCTTGTCCCTCCCATAAACAATGTATCAGTTCTGGTACAAAGTCATGCCAAAAGATTATTCCCGTTTGTCTTGGGATAGATCCAGTCCTCATTGTCGTTGATTACATCTTTTCTTACTTCGGGCCTTGACCTTAATAAAGTTTTTCTAGGCATTAGCAATGAGAAAGTAGTGTTTATAAGCCATTAACCACTGTACAGGAGAGATACAGACTGATGACTCCAATTCCTTGTTTGTTTCCTATTGTATGGCAGCTATCGCTCCACTCAAAGATCCCCACTGTAACCAATGTATAGCCAACAATGATTACAATGGTAGGTTGTCTTCTGCTCCGCTAATGACCGATGAAATAGCTGGAATGACAAGAGCTCTATTGACTTGATCTTTCGGGTCTATCCTCATTCAAGCTTTGTCTCTTCCGACTAAGAATGTTCTGTATAGTCTATTAGGTCACCTAGCGTATCTTAACAACAGTTGCATATCTGACAGCATTCAACAAGCCTCATGCTGCTAGTTATATACTTCCACCTAGACAATTATACCCCCCTGGGCCTCCCTATGACTGCAGCGGAGATAAGTCGCCAGGCACGTTAAGTACATGATCTACAAACATCGATGTGAATGATCATCATTGACCATGTCTCCAAAGATGAGATCTTTATCGATCTCGGGGGTTGAAATGGATGATCCGCCCATCTGATGCATGATCGACGATCGATTGGGTAACCTACATCTGCAACATCTCATCCAGCCAGAATTGATGTTTCACCAATGGCTCCTTCTCGTCCTGGACTAGTGCCTGGGATGGCATGTCAGGGTAGACTGAGCCACACTGGCGACCGTGAATTAGAAAGCTGCTGACGGACTGCTGATGTTCTGGGTGGCTGAGAGACTTGGGTGCATTGGGACATCCCGAATATATTGACTCTGGCATGCAGCGAGCTTGAACAATGGTCAAGGACAGCAGTCCTAGGAGGTCATGTAAAGACAGGATCACGGACAGATGAGGGCTTTTCAAAGCCATAGTAGTGATTCTGGTGTATTGGTAGTAATTACAGGGCAGTGTCTGTGTTTATGCAAGATAAAGATTTTCGATATATATTTATAAACTTCTCGGCGATTTCATTGGCCTCAGTACATATTAGAGGTCGGAGATGTTAGGTCAAGTCAAGTCCCATCACCACAGTCTACTCATATATTCCATATAAATGAGGTCCCTGAGTAGATTTAGTAGTATCAAAGAGTAGAGCTCTTTGTGATGTCCAATAGATACTACCTTAGGATATAATGATGTCGAACATCAGAGTTTGAAAGGAACTTGAACATCATTGCCACGAAATGTTGTGTGATTGGTTGAAGAGTCTGCGACTCCCCGCCCTTAGGCGCTTAGGTAAGTTTGATGGGTCGCAAAGCATCACAGCCGTGTTGATATTTTCCCCCTACACACTTGAAGCTGTCTTCTGGTATGATATAGCAACAGTCATTGGAACCTGCTCCCTTCATCTTCCAAATGCTCAAACTCTATGTTCTCGTCTATAAAGGCGAACCTCTTGACTACCATGAATACCGCCACACTGCTTTGTACCTGAAGCTGCCCGACAATCAAAGTTTCATCATGCACATCCTAGGCACGCAGGGAATGTTTGAATATGCTCAAATCAAGAACAAGGATCCTTCTGCTGTGGGATCGCTCGCAAAAGTCGTGCCTGTGGCCGATATCTCAGAAGTAATCGGGTCAGGACCCATCCAGTCGACTGTCGCAAAGACATTAATCCAGAACGGGCCGCTGGACCTCGACTGGAACTGTCAGCACTGGGTTGGTGACGCCTTGAGTAAACTTGCCGAGAGAGAGTATATCACTGTGTCGGAACGCGCTGAAGCTATCGATCGGATGATGGATGCGTGTCTCGAGGCCATGGATGATTGAAAGGACGATGCATCGTCCTGAACTTCATGTCTATCGAGCAAAGTCTTAAACGGCGCATGGGGCAGCGACGCTGGATTGTCAAGTATTCCCTACTTCAAACGCCGACATACATTTGCGCTCCTGTTCGAACACCTCGCAAATCTCCATACCAACAACCCCTATGAACATCCAAGAAGTGACGACACCCAAGCGAGACTAGATATCCGTCCCACAAGAGAACTCCTCCCACTCTTCCAGCTTCTTCAACGTTTCCTGACACTTCTTCCGAATGGCTGCCACCGCATCGGGCCCGAGCGCCAGCTCCTTGGGCCACTCTTTCCCCTTGGCCGCATTCTCCCCTTGACCACATCAATGATACGCGCAACGCCTTTCTTGGGGTCACCTCTCTGCTTCCCGTTCGCCTCGCGGAACGACTTGAACGAAGCCTCGGTCAACTCCCGATACTCAGGGAATTTAGTCTCAGCGAACATGCTATTCTTGGCGCTCAGGAGCTCAGTTCGGAACTGGCCGGGTTCCACTAAGAGCGTTTTGATTCCGATCGAAGCAGTCTCTTGATCGAGAGCCTCCGTTGCATCTGTTCTGTCAGCATGGCCTCTGAACCCTAGTTACCAAGATGAACTTACAGCGCAGCGCAGCCTTGGAGGCGCAGTACGCCCCGACGGCAGGGTACGTCTCCCACGCGGCCATCGAGCCAATGTTAACAATGACGCCTTCCCTGCGTTTACGGAAATGCGGCAGGAATGCTCTGGTGACGGTGATTGTTCCGAAAACATTGGTGGCGAATTGGGAGAGGTAATCTCCAGGGCTGTATGGAGGGCTCGTTAATATCATTCCTGTGCATAGAGTCAGAGACTTACTTCATGTCCTCCAATGTGCCGAACTGCGTGTATGCTGCATTGTTCACGAGAATATCAACTTTCCCGTAGATAGCGATCGCGTCAGACGCCTTATGATCCAGTTCTTCCTGGGAGGCTGTCACGTCCAGCTGCATGATTGAAGCACCTGCGTCGCGGAGATGGGCGATTTTGGCGACGGTGCGTGCTGTCGCGATGACCTTGTCCCCGCGGGAAAGGGCTTGAGTGACGAACTCGCTGCCGAAGCCTGAGGAGCAGCCAGTAATGAGCCAGACTTGAGCCATTTTAATGTTTCTGGGAGATTCGAAAGTTATATTGTAGTTTGTGTCGCGGTTGTCTTGAAGACTGATCGGACAAGAAGTGTACGGGGTTATCGAGGAATTTATACCTCGTTGGTGCTACAGGGGATGATGACAGGAAGTTTACATCGGAAATATGGCTGGAGATAATATCGGTGATATGATCAATATTAACTATGATGAGTACACCGGTATGTAGGTTCGAAAGCGATGATGCCTCTTCATCGGGGTTACTGTGGTGGCAACCAGTCTTGGCATCGCGAAAGCCGATGATTTTCGGGATTCTGATTATACACCGGGAATCAGCCATACTATCGGACTTTGGACGGATGATTCACGTTGGCATAGCCAATCGAATGGTTGAATACAACAGTACTACGATTGTGGCTTATTTTCTACCTGCTTGGAAACCAGTAATCTAAACGAGTGTAAACAGTGTAAACGAGTGTCATTCGTCAGTAGTCGCTATCAAAGCAACTATACTCTATGTATATAATTTTCTATATTTGCTTTCCATGTCATCGTAGTCCAACCGTCCAAACTTAACCACTGTAGTCAATGGTAACAGCCAGGCGAACGGCACCACCACCAGAGAGGTTTCCACCAATACCTCCAACAGCCGCCTCGGCAGAGGTATAGGCATTGTTAACGGACGCCGCATCAGGAGTGATGCTGGAGCAAGTGCCACCCAGCGCATCACAGATCTGCATACCCTGCACGGTCATGCCCGCATTCTGCGCCTGGATAGCGGAGACATCGAAACCAGACCAGCCGCCGTTCCCGGCGCTGCTGAAATCGAACTCGCCCCAGGTGGACGCATACCCGCCGTTCGAGTCCGTGGGGATACTGCCTGCAGCGGCCGCGAAGCCGCCGTTGGTGTCGTCGTCAAAGGCGACGTACTTGGTCTCGCCGGCGTTGAGGGTGAGGGTCAGAGCGGCGTTGCCGTACCAGCCGGTCATCTGGCCGTCGGGGCCGATCTTGTTCCAGAAGACGACGGTCCAGGGCTCGCTGTTCTGGCCGCTGATCTGGGCGACGTTCTTGTAGTTAGAGGCCGAGTCGGCGGAGACTTCAATGATGTTGCTACCCCAGGGGTTGCCGACGTTGCCGGCGTAGGTCTCGCCGCTGCCGCTGTTGGAGGTGCGGCTGCCGAAGCCAGCGGTGGCGTAGGAGCCTCCGGCTGGGGTTCCGGTCCAGGCGGAGCTGCCGCCGGAGGAGGAGGATGAGGAGGGAGCGACTGTGGAGGAGGCCGAGGAGGCGTACTGACGGCGCTCGTGGCCTTGCAGACGGGCCAGAGAGCTGGAGGTGAGGGCTGCCAGCAGCAGGAGAGACTTGGTGAACTGCATTTTGAAGAGAGAGTGGATGTCGCGTCAAGCGTGCTTCAGATAGTTGTAGAAGCCTGAAGGAATGGCAGTGCCGTTACTGACTGGAGCAACGACGAAGTGATAATTCGAAGAGAGCGTCTGAAGTATCAAACCCGAAAAGAATGAGGGAATGAAAGCGTGTATACACCCGGTTAATGAATGCGATGGTTGAATGGGAAGAATCTGAAAGCGTCCCTCTCGGGCCCTTTTATAACATTCTGGAAACAAAACTTTGATGCCCGCCACCCCACTGTTTGTAAGTCGAATGTGTGTTCTCGAACATCCACGGCGCTGCTGGTTGTCATTTTCCCTGGTTCGGGAGGTTGAACCTTTGGATAGAGCCTTAGAATCGAGGAAGATGGATCAGGGTATGCGTCAGCATGGACAGGTCAAGCTGATGGGACTGGGGTTCCGACAAAGGTGATGCCATGGTCTAGATCCATGCGGTCGTGTGCTCGTTGACAGCCTGACAGTAGCCTATTGGACAGTTTGATTGAAAACACTGACAGGACATCTCTGGTATTGTTTTGGGATTGGCCAGAATCCATGGGTGGTACCTGAATTGTACGCCTTTTCAATGCCATTGGCTACTTCCCCTGGCTTGTGGCTCTGTGTGGGACCCTGGCTCTGCAATACATAGAGTCTGGTTCTTGGAGGCAAGTTGCGTGGCTCCGGAGCTCGCATTATTTTGGTATGCCTTTGTGTTGATTGTCTTGTTAATATGCTTGCGTTTCAACATCGAGAGACAAAGAACATGAGACTGCTCATTGTGTTGTGAAACCTACTCAAAGGACAAAGAGCATATCACCGGGGAGTCTAGACTTTTGGGCCTCGCAAGTGCCGGGAAAGGATCAGATCCCTCAAACGGGCTATTGGCGAAAATGGAAAGGATAACGATATCAGAAGGGCCTAAGGTCTTGTGAGTGGAGCTCACCTCCACCAGTCTCTGTCGCTAGGAGAATTGTAGCTATTGAGGTCTTTCGGTCGATTCCTAGGCTTTCCCATGTTGACGAATGTCGAAATACAGACCCGTAGCCTATGTGCCACATGGACAAGCTTCCAAAGACAAATTCATTGTTCCCTGCTTCACGGGCTCTCTTTGATACTGTCCCTATTCGTGGCTGCTCTCAAAAATAGGATTTCCCTCAGAAACCCCACGAGTCCCTAAATTCATGTGCTTTGTGTGCAAGCTGGCCGAACCATGGTTCCCTTTTTCTGGGCCAGGGGCAGAAACACAAAAAATTGGGCTTTTGAATGAGATCAAACGATGAGTGGCCAGCGTTGTGACTAAGCAAGGAGATTGTCATTATTCCCACCAATCTCATTACAATCCATCTGTATTTTGTCAACACGCGAACAATGAACCATGGGATGTTTTATTGACCTTTCAAAAAGGGCATTGGCACTTTTTCGTGGTGGCTCATGCAGGCAGCCGCTGTCGTAAGTCATACGCCTACCTATGCCAGGGCATTCTCGGTGAAAAATTATAGAAGAAACTGCACAGCCTAGATAGGTTATGATTGACATTCTCATTATTAACCACGATAAAATTCAATACTTCAAGTCAAATCTCAGCCCTAAAGCTGCTGAGTCAACGCCCCGTACCAAGAGCAATGCCACTTGATCCCAGCTTATGCCACACTAGAAGAGCATTCTTGCCTCTGCACTCATTCTCGCCTCGTGGAATCGCCGAGGTTTCGTCGACTTTGTGCGAAGAATGACCGACGGCGTGCCTCTCGTCGGTAAATATGACTGTTGAAGTCAGCGCTGCCGAGAGTTGGATAGTCGAAGAGTTATCTTCCCTGGTATACAGTAGAAACTCCGAGAATGATAGACACAGAAATTTTGCCAGCAATTATTCATCAGGAGAACAGTTTTGTCTTGCGTCGCACGTGGAAAAGCAATTTTAACCATTGCTCTAGAATACTTCTCCTTGGCGGGGAGGCCCAGTATCTCGTCGTACACACAAAGCTGTACTCGCAGTTTGGAAAACTTCTTGCTCTAGGACTCCATCGAAACTCGATATGACACCTTGAATCCAGCAATCTCTGCTATGGCCTTTACCCCGGATGCTCAAGAAACCATACCACAGAGATATGGCGGCCCGCAGATGGGTTATGCTTAGTTTAGTCTACGGGGCACTGGGGACGCCCGCATTTACTTCAAAATAGCCTTGATTTTTTAAATTCGGGAAATGATGGTGATAAATTTGGTGTTTATACTGTTCTTCACAGTTGATTGAAGGAGGCGAGAGTGGCTAGAATGTATCTGTCGGGAAGATAATGACATCAACCTCACGTCGTGGTAAGGCACTTGCAGAATAATTTGGACAGGTGTGATGGCAATATTTAGCGACTAGCCCTCTAGCCAGCAATTTCAGTGTGTTGAAATTGTTTCAAACAATGCGCCGTTACGATCAAGTATTGGTTGATGAGTCAACCAAGGCATCTCGGGGTGCTATAATCTAACTATAACCATGCACAAATGACAAACATATTGCCCCTTTCCTCCGTTAGAAAAAGGATATTACTTAAAACCGCCCCAACTCCAGATGTAACCTTACGCATTTCCTAAAAGGGAAATTGGTATAGAGTCTATGCGATCGGCATTGCTGACATAATCACTTATCACGATGCCACCAGACGTCAGACTTACTCGATGGTCGTCACCGAAAGCTGGCGTTGGCCAACTGTCTCAAAATAGATGGGGTTATCCGACTATCCCCTACTCGTGTTTGTTGCCGGTACTGGCCGAAATGCTCGCAGGTATATACCGAGATCGACGCACTGAGGTAACATGCCGAACGGACGCTAAGACGACTCTGCTGCAATGCTTGCCAATGAAATCGCTGCTATCATTCAGGCCAAACAAATCGGTGTCGCGCCTGTCAGAGCTCGAACTTATGGCCACATAGAAGAGTGGCTGCTTTTGATTGGTCCTGTTCCATGATGGCCAGGACTGCAGAATTACCCGTTTGAGAAACTGGTCGATTCGCATCAATGTGCTGGTTTTGATGATGATTTTTGGAAGAAAATTATGGCTGCGGCAGGCAGAGCAATCCGCTTGGAAAAACTGAGCTATTTAAACAGCTCCATTGCCGGCTGAGTCGATTCACTCCCGAACAACAGATAAACAACCGCAAGAGCAACAATGGCCGTCCTCAAAAGCATCACCCTGACTTCCCTGGCCCTCGCTATTGGCGCCACCGCTCAGTCCGCCAACCCAGGTGTCGGTAAAAATCCAAAGGCGCAAGGTGCAACAGAAAATGTCACCCCAAGCACCGGCCCAAACGGGTACCGTCCCCTTGCCCTCCTTTACCTTTCATGTCATTGCTGATAACAGTAAAATCCAGATCTGAAGACTGGCTCAACACCGGCATCACTACCAACGGCTGGAACCCTCCCTTCCTCTCCATTGACAACGTCTACACCATCAGCCTCCAAGACTTCTACAACGGCATTGGTTCCGCCTGCGCCCAGTACGACAGCTACTTCCAAAGCAGCGCATCCAAGTACGATGTCAACCCGGTCGTTCTCGCCGTCATCGCTATGCAAGAGTCCTCCTGCAATGCCAACGCCGGGGGTCCCACACCAGGGCTGATGCAGGTCTCGTGTGACAATTACCCGAATGGCCAGTGTACGGATAGTATCCAGGATAACGTGGACGCTGGAACGCACTATCTCAAGTCGCAGCTTGATGCGTCGGGTGGGAACGCGATTAAGGCGCTGGGTTCATACAATGGGTGGTTTACTGCCGGGAGCGGGCTTAATGGGAACAGAGGGTTGACGGAGGACTACCCCTGCTCGGCTGAGGGTAAGGCGCATGGTATGCCTCAGAATCTGGATTACTTGCACCAGGTGCTTAATGGGTGGATGATGGGGTTGGATGTTTATGGAGAGGATAACTGGATTGGTACTTATCACTGTGATCAGTCGTGCAGTGATGGCAGTTTATGCTAGGAGGCTTAGCGACGTCTATAGTAATAGGGAAACCAATGTAGCTTATGTGGAATTTGGAAGGCCGTCGTAATGTCGGGTTTTCCTAACTAATGTCTCCGAGAGCAGCTTGACCAATGTTTCGCATAACGTCAAAAGGGAGAAAAACACCAAATAGTAGCAAATATAATAACAGGACAGGCAAATATAAGGTTCAATCTTGCTGTTTCGATTCATGTGTTAGAGTAAAAGAGATGGATTTCTTATACATGAAAGCAAACCAGGGTCATGAATTGCCTCACTGGCCATTCATGAGCCTTCTCTCCATGAGCTCATAGATTAGGTCCGCTGCGAAAATAGGGGTTTTAACCAGGAACGGTTTTAGTCGGTCCAACTCCGTAAATGCATCCATGTTGTGGAAGTTATCCGCGACGGTTGCCACAAAGAGCTTCCCAGATTCCGAGTCAGAAATGTATTGGCCGTCCGTCAACAGATCGTAAAGGTCCACTGGACAGTCTAAGGTTTTGACAGCGGAGGGAAGGTCCATCAGCACTTGTCCGCTGAGATCGGGGATCTCGTAGTCCTTAGCCATGTGGCAAAGTTCAAAATGGAAGGCTACCAATTCGGAAGGCTCAAAATCGAAGAGCCACCCGGTCTGTTGCTCATAGTTGTAGGTGTATATGTACTCAATCATAGTCGAGAATGTTTCCACGCTGTGCTTTTGCTTTAGATCCACGGATGCTCCTGACTGGCTCGCGTTAGATCTGTCCTTGTACTGCATTCAGATGTCTCTGCGGTGAGAGACTCACTTTCCACTCTGCCTCGAACTTGTTTGCGAAGTATAGAGAAATAGTGGACAGCACGAGCTTGCTAACATGGAATTGTTCACCCTGGACTGTGAATGTGAAGTCAAAGAACTTTCCGTCCTGATTGAGTCTATACATGACTTTGTTAGATCATCCATCCATGACTTTGCATATTGAAGAGTCCTTAATCCAGCATTTCTTCTGTGCCCGCTCGGAGCTCGGAGCTTCCTCGTTTGCATCACGCGTGCGACGCTTCTTGAGGCTCTGCGAGTTCATTGATGGGTATGCTGTGTGCTCACGATGGACTTGTAAGGGGTATGGTAGATAGTATTCCTCCAAAGCTAAGCCTGATGGATGAAGGGAGGAATGAAGACGGATTAACAAGCGAAAGAACAATGACTTTATATAGCAGGCCTAAGTGCTAGCACAAGATTACCAATCGAGATGTAGGTAACGACGAGAGGTGATAATGAGCTGAAGCTGTTGAATAGATGAAGGAGGAGTAATGGCCAGCTCACGGAGGTCAACGCTGGCCAATTGAAGATATCAAGCTTCGAGACAGTGGTCGTCTTCTCAAGACTATTCAAGCAAGACTGCTCTGAGCCGATGATCAACAGAATACTTTCATTTCAAAAAGCCTTTGTTGATGGAACGTCTCCCACACCCAGTTACCATGTAGCAGGATAGAAACCGATGCAATGAATCTCCTCAAGTTGACCTCAGGATGATGGGGGTTTCCTAGAGAATGTTTCAACCAGGTGTAAAGGCAAACCATCATAATGTCACAAATAGAGAGTTCGCGATTGAGATCGTCCATCAAGCCGGTCTGTTCGAATCGTCTACCGAGCCATTTTCCAAGCTTGCTCAACCAACAGGCTCGATCAGGGTGATCTTGTGGCGTCCACTGTCATGTTCCCTACCCCGACGGCACGGTTGAGATCGTCTATCGAGCCGGTCCGTTGGAATCGTTTGCAGAGCAAATTTCCAAGGTTGCTTAGCCACCTAGCTCGATCTGGATGGTTTTGAGGTGTAGCGTCTACTGCCATTTCCGCAACCTTGACAGCACGGTTAAGATTGTCCACCGAGCCGGTCTGTTTGAATCTTGTACTGAGCCGGGTTCCAAGGTTGGTCAATATCCTAGCTTGATGAGGGTGGTGTTGAGGTCATGTGCTGAGACACCTCAGTAGCAATGTCCATATGTCTATGTATGCTGGTGCTTTTGGTGCGTTTTCTCCTGATTCTCTCGCATAAGAATTGGGTTTTGAGAGATCAATTGGTAGCCGTCGCACCGCATTTCTGCCTTATCACATCTGCCTTGAAGCAATGGTCAGATCGATGATTGTAGGCAAGTGACTAGCCGCTGATCTCCCGGACCTCCAGAAACTGGTGTTTGAGAAGGTGATAACGCGTTTCGCGGACTTGGAGGAACTGGATACCCTTGACACACGGCCTGCTATGATTGCCTCCTCACGCTTATCATTTTGCAAACCTTCTACGCAAGATCCTCTATTGGACCGGTTGGCTCAATACGCCGCCTACTGCGATGGCAAGTTTGGTCGTAGAGAGATTTCGTGAGAGTCTCTACCTTGAGTTCAGGAATGGTGGTAAGTCTGGCATCATCTCAATGGAGCACAAAGCAACGCTAACCATGCTTACGCACGCTACTGTTAGACTCCCATCGTCTGAGTGTTTGGAGTCCATACCGCAGAGTGAGGCCAAATTACACCCCTTTATCATCATCCTCCAAAGTTACAGCCTCTTGGTCACTTGGTTTTGTCGTCTTGGTTTTGTCGTCTTGGTTTTGTCGTCTTGGTTTTGTCGTCTTGGGCGCCTCAATTTTATTTTATTTTATTTTAATTTATATTTTTTTTTGTTGTTGTTGTTTTTTGTCCCCCTTGGGCCGAGTGGTATTCAAAGATCAACAAGAGGGTGAGCTAAGTAGAAAATAAGCTGCATTAGCTCTTATTCAAATAGATTAATTGCAGTGAGTTTAGTCAGGCTAGGAGCCTAGGGCGATAGTTTGGACGCGCGTTTTATGTGATAATCCTACTGTAGCTCTAAGCTTTATTGATGGAATGCCATTGCCGCTTCTCTTAATAGGCATTGACATTATTAATTAGACAATGCAATGCGGAAAAAAGTACAAACTGCAGGCATGCTTCTTTGCCTTTATCCCTTTTCAGCTTCACGGGCATACATACGAAATCAGAAATGATCTTCATAGCATGTGCTTCGGAGTTTCATGTTGCTTCAGCCGCACCAAAGCCTATGTAGTTTGTCAATACTGTTGGCGAATTCGAGAGGTAGGAGAGGGGGTCCTTGACTCACCTCTTGAATGCAGGTAGCAACGAGAATTCCATCTGTGGACCATATCCGCTGTACAACCAGACCTCGCTCATTTCCTGCCCATGGAGTCTCCATTTCTGTGAGCATCCAGTCATCTACTCGGATCGCCTGTGGGTGATGTAGGTATATGGAATGGTTAAGGCTGGCCATCACTTCGATTTCCTCGGCCTTTTGGTTTGGCTCTTCCTGATCTGTAGGTGGTGGAGAAGGGTAAGGCGATAGATTGTAGACTCGCCACAGGGTTCCAATAAAATAGGTGTCTGTTAAGTATGTGAGTGCCAATATATGTGCGTTGGAACCGCCAGAGTTAGATATGGTTCCCCTTAATCGCACGAAACGTCTATATCTTTTGTCTGATGGACGAAGCAAGTCATCTACTTAGTGATTTAAAGCCAGAAGTCTCATAAGCAATTGCAGCATCACATTTCACAGGATATATCCGACAATACCTACCAATGTCACTGTCCAAAATACGAGATTCAAACAGCCCGTTCCCAGTACCTTCTCCTGTGATTACCGCAGGATCTTGCGGCACTGAAACATCAGGTTTCGATCTGGAGTGCTCTAGGACCTTCTCGCCCATACTGCTGTGGTTATTAATAAAGCTCACAGCTGCTGTGAATATCAGATGGTTTCTTTGTTTGGCTTTCACCATACAAGTTACCAACCTATCACCATCATTGACATGATCAACATGGTAATAAATGGGTGTCTCTGCTGTCGCTGCAATGAGAAAATGGCAATGCATACTGTGCATGTTGACAGTAGAGGGAACAGTGAGCATGGCTGCTGAGAGGGACTGGGCGATGAGAGTCCCTCCGTATACTCCACGGGATCCAGAGGGATGCCATAGAGGACGGGTGTTGGTGAAGACAGCCTGTCAGGCAGTCAGTCGAGACCTGATTCCATTTATTTTTTTCTAGAGTTAGTACACCAGACATATTAGTTGCTAAACTTACTTGGCCATCGTTGCTGGGCACAGGAGTCAGTTCAAACACATTCTCAATCAGCGCCTTGCATTCGTCTAGTGGTGGGGTTGGAAAGAGAGTAGTATGTGTCTTGGCCATCTTCAAAACGTTTACGAGCAACGACGATCGATGAATTAAAGGTATAGGGTACAGATGTGGTTGGCAGGATTCGTATGAATGTCGCTCTTTGAATTATTGTCGAGCTGAGAGGTGGCAGGATGCAGTGCAGCTGCAACCGCTTCTCACTCTGGGCCAACCGCTTGGGTAAACCTGCGGATTTACTATTTTCCAGGTTGGCCCGAACGCTCGAACGCCGTCGGTAACTTACACGTTCCGGAAACATACAGTGGCAATAATCTCTCAGTCCTGCCAAAAATACGGCTTCTGCCCAAAAGCTCAATTGGATAGTTTACCACATGCCAGCGCCGATGGTTGCCTCATAATTAATAGGTCTCTCTCCCCGCCCTAAAAGTCATCATCCAACCAAAGCCAGCTACAATGCCAGAAATAGGCCGGGGGTGTTGGTTCAAAGCGGGCGGATACCTTACTTTTCTTTGCTAGATGGTGCCTTATGTAGTAGTCTATTACCTAAAGTATCCTTTCACATATATCATTTATCTACACAGGCATATGTATGGCTTGCTTCTTAGTCTGCAGAGCAGCCGTCTAGCCAAAAGTCAGTTAGCATGGATTCAACAGAGTATAGATTTTAATAAGTAAAGGTCAGCTGCATACGTAACCTGGGCCTGGCTGGGCATGGCGTGAGATGGCCGATTTCCCCTCCCTCATGCAGTGATGAAGGACTTTCAAAAATACCAGGTATGTAGGTATGGGATAGGGCTCACAAGACCTGTATGGGTATTTCATAAATCATAGTACTCATAACAAATGTAGAGAGCTGTCACATATCATGGATGTGGTAAGTTTGTCTCTGTCTGCTGTGGGCGACTGCAGATCAGTCCTATCCCCACCATGTTTAATTCTTCTCATCCTCAAATATCCCATCTTCAACAAGTTGGGGGAGGAAAATGTCCGTCTTGTCGCCAGCACGCAACGACCTCTCTGAGAAAGAGAGGGCATCAGCTATTGTTACTCGACAAGCACAACCACCACCGGATGCCTGGTCCCCGACTCGACAGAATTACATTACGATATGGTCGCTCTCCGTCATCTCGATGGTGGTGGGGTTAGATACCACCATTTTGATCCCAGCATTGCCTGTATGTACAGTAGTTTTATCCTTCAAATGCAGCTGTCGATTGACTGATGCGAGCAGACCATCGCGGAGGATCTGAACGCAACCGCCATTCAAGCCTTCTGGTGCGCAACATCTTATGTCCTCAGCTGTACTGTGTGCCAGCTCTTCATCGCATCACTATCGCACATCTTCGGCCGCTGCGAACTATTGCTCATCTCTGAACTTCTCTTCGCCGCTGGTACGGCGATCGTGTGTTCCGCGCATGGGATCGCTCAGCTGCTGGTCGGCCGTTCCATTCAAGGTATTGGTGGAGGAGGCATCGTCGCCCTGGTGCAAGTGGTCTTCACCGATATCATACCTCTGCGCCATCGACCGAAGTATCTCGGGTATCTGCAGGTAGCGTCAGCGCTGGGAACCATCTCGGGACCCTTGGTGGGGGAGCGGTTTCGCAGTATTCTACTTGGCGATGGATCTTTTATATCAACTTTCCCTTCTGTTTAGGGGGTTTGATCACCCTGCCCCTCGGGCTGAAGTTTCAGCAATTTGAGACTTCGTTCATGTCCAGATTGTTACTGATTGACTGGTTTGGTGGCTTTCTCTTCACTGCCAGTGCAACCAGCTTTCTAATGGCCCTGAGCTGGGGAGGAGTGCAGTTCCCATGGGGTAGTTTCCACACACTCGTGCCATTGATTGTCGGCATTGTCGGTGTTGGTATAGCGTTGGTCTGGGAAGCGTATGGCACCAAGGAGCCGTTTCTCAAGCTGTCTGTGTTTAACAGTTGGTCTGCTGCAGCGGCGCAGATCTGCTCCTTCGCTCAAGGCTTTCTGGTCAGTACTCTCGACTCTTTCCTTTTTTCTTTTTTTAGCCCACTAACCCTCTCATCAGCTCCTGGGCCAACTCTACTATATCCCATTCTATTTTGAAGGCGTAAAAGGCATGTCTCCAATCTTAACAGGCGTGGCTCTCATCCCTCGAACATTCACCAACATCCCAATCGCCACCATCACCGGTATTATGATCACTAAACTCGGCCGATTTCGATGGGCCGTCTGGTCAGGTTGGATACTAAGCACGATCGGCAGTGGGCTATTAATCCTTTTCGACGTGCACACCCCCACGGCAGCCTGGGTGATTATCCTCCTCGTCAACGGGCTGGGCCAGGGACTGCTTCTAGCCTCCTTGAACGTGGCCGTTTTGGCCATTGCGGCCGGGAAAAACCCAGGTTTCGCGGTGGCTACTTATACCTTTACCAGATTTTTGGGCATGTCTTTTGGAATTGCGGTTGGGGGTACAATATTCCAGAATGCGCTTTCACAGTACCTTGCCCACCAAGGCATTGATACTGCAATCGCGCAGAATGCAGAAGCCTATATTATCGAGTTGAGCTCGGAAGCTGTGAGCACCGACTACAAGGCGAAGGTGGTGTATGCCTACGCACAAGCCTTTCGGTGTGTATTTATTGCACTTGCAGCGGTCAGTGCCATCGCGACTGCGCTAGGCTTCTGTATTGCAAGTTTTCCCTTGGGGAAGAAGACGCCTTTGGTGCCAGTTTCAGTGCCAGCGTCTCCACCAGAGGGAGGCCCGGAAAAGACACAAGCAGAAGTGTGAGAGTGTTATTTGACCCATAATTTGGGCGTGCGATGCATAGGGGAGACTTTTCCGCTCTCTTTATTTCTGTTTTTCAAGTCCCCACTGCCCTCGGATGTACCTAAACCAGAATTCCACCAAAGTCCGCGGATGGTTCACACACACTATAGCATGTTCATATCTAAACCCTAAGAAGTTGCTGTTTGCAGTCGGATCTGAACACCCGTCCCACTGCAATCCGTCAAAGTCAAGTGATGTTTGGTCTCCGTTTCCGAATCAACATTCTCGATCGCCTCGAACCGTTGAAGCAGTCGAACAATCACATACGATGCATTTGTTAGGGCAAACTTCTCTAGTTTCGGCATAAGTTAATCTGGGCATCGTTCGAAGATTCATTGAAGAAGAGAAGAGAAAAAAGAACACTTACGACCTAAACAGATCCTTGCCCCTCCATTAAAAGGCAAATAGTCCCAACCCGATTGTCGCTTGTCCCATCTTTCGGGAACAAACTCATCGGCATTCGGTCCCCAAAGGTCACGGTGCCGATGCATAACATGCACCGAGTAATTTATGACTTGACCCTTTCGAATAAAAATCTTGGAGAGTCCGTCTGCTCCACCTCCAACAGGCAGAGAGGTGTCCTTCAACGCCCGTCGCGCATTCACAGGTACCACGGGAAACAGTCGAAGGGTTTCCCGATTGACCCATTGCAGGTATTGACAGGCATGGAGCCGAGCAAATGTGATTTCAGTGGGTTGATCGAACGTCCCGAAGTCGCGCAGGACGATCTGTCGGAGCTTGTAGAAGATGGTCTGGTGCCGCGCGAGGAGGTAGAATGTCCAGCCCAGAAAGGATGCCGTGGTGTCTCGACCCGCGAGGAGGATGTTGAGCAGCTGGGATCGGAGCTCGACGGGATCCCGAGTCTGTCTGGCCAATTCATCCAGAAACACATACTTCTTCTCCTTGTCCCTTTCCTTTGCCTCCTCTTCTGCACCTTTCTCCCGGAGCTGGGTCTCGGGGGACGCCGCTCGCTCAAGAGCTATTTGAACAAATCCATCAACAAAGGAATGGACATCTGCGCAGCTTTCCCGAAACGAAGCCGGGTTATGTAGCCAATACAGTTCCTGCAGGCGGCCTCGAGTCGCCAGAGATTGCTGCGCAGTATTCACCGCACGAGCGAAAGAAGCCTCCAGACCACTCGCCCCATCACTAGCAGCGTTTTCGGCCAGCAGCGCAGTTAGTTGTGAATCAACGGAGTGGCCGAAAAGAAACTCAGTAGCGGAATCGAGAGTCAACCGGAAGAAGAGCGGTTGCAAATCAACGGGGCCAGTCCACCGGCCACCATCGTGGCAGACTGGGAGTGCACACAGCAGATTCTGCACATGGCGTTCTTCCAGGTCGAGATCGGAGATTTGGTCTCTTGCAAAGCTGGGACGCAGCAGAGCGCGGGAATGTTTCCTGCATGTAGGCAAATTTTCCGCTTTAGTATGTTCTCCCTGTTGAGTCCAGAAAAGAGAGCAACTTGGAAATTTCGCACTCACCAGTACGGCCCATCAGCTGTGAAGATCCCATCTCCCAGAAGAGGCCGAAAATTCGCCCGTCGCACTGGCCCCAGCCCAAAATCATTGAACTGCGTGCCGAGAACTGCCTGGATATTGCGAGGATCACAAGTGTGAATGGCAAATCGGTGAAGAAATCTGGTGCGATATGTCATCCGATTCATCTTCGCGAACCTCTCGCTTTGGAGTGCCAGAAATGTCTGTGTTCTGTCCGCTTGCAAAGACTGACGCATGGCGCGTAGGCCCAGCCAGCCAGATTCCGGGAGCCATGGTGGTTGCTGGGCGGCTTCTTGGATGGATTTGGAGATGATGCAATGGATCAGGGTGTATAGGGCAATAAAAACAGCGAGAGATGTAGCTAGAAAATGAAGAGCATCGTTGTCGGTGTAAGACATCTTGGTGAATCTCTCCAGGACAGATGGCTTCTACCCTGAACATGCAAAGACGTGTAGGACACCGTGATGTGAGAATCGCTGCATTTCTACAACTGCATATGATTGACCTACAAAAGACTGGAATGAGCCGGTAAGATAAGGGCACAGAAAAGAAGGTATTATACTTGTATTGGAGCTAGAGTATCATCTGCGATACCATGTGTATACACATCGTAGTGGTTGCTTTGTATCAGCAGGGTATAGTCTTCCTAGCGACGGCTTTCCTTCCAGGTTGATGACTAGACCGGCTGCAGTGAGAATTTAGCTCTTTACGCTCCGGTTGAATTGATCTTGACTCAGTCAAAGCTGCAGAACTGAGCCTCCGGATATTACCTTCGTCCTTGAGCTTACGTTGCCAAGAACGAGCTGACATGTGTCAAGCCGACTCAAGCGATGCCTTCAGCGATCTATTTTATAGAGAAGTACTCATTGGTGGGATTGATTAGCTGAGGGTGGCGCTAGGATGCAAGTGCCGAGCAAGGATACATACAGCGGGACGAGTGGATGTTGCTCCCTGGCAAAAATACCTGGATAGTCTACTATAGCAGTACCCACTGCAGGGAGTCAGTTGCCGAGTCCATAACGAGTGTATTCTTAAAGGAAGATGAGTTGAGAGTCAGCAATAGAAGACAGGGTGTCAATAAAAATCGAATAATCTCCGCAAAAGCCATGGGTATATAAAGAGGCATAAGTCGGGATCGAGAGGACGGATCTATCAGAGACTCGATACACAGGAACGAGAACATCGGAGACAGAAAGATCCTCTGCCCTCATTTCCATTTCCTACCCTATTACTCTCAGTCTGTTTCAACGAAGTAAGCCAACATGCATCTTGCCAATGGTATAGACCGCACCACCTTTGATGGTGAAAGCGATGTCCTTCACCACAATACCCTTCCGGCCGCTTTGCCTCGGACTCCTGACGAGCTTCCATCAAATAGCCTCGAGGGAACCCTGCCTGGGGTTCAGACCATCCCCGAGCCCATTGCGATTGTCGGCATGGCATTGAGGCTCCCCGGCGGAATCACCTCTCCCGAATCCTTCTGGGAACTGCTGCTCAGCGGCGGCGACGTCCGATCTCGAGTCCCCGCTAGTCGCTATAATGTGGATTCTTTCTACAGCCCATCCAGTAAGACAGGCTCTGTCAAATCCACATATGGGTATTTTCTTGAGAACGGCTTAAAGGAGTTCGATACCTCCTTCTTCTCGATGAATAAAATAGAGGTTGAGATGTTGGATCCTCAACAACGCCAGCTACTGGAAGTGGTCTGGGAATGCATGGAGAGGGCCGGGCAGACGAATTGGCGGGGAGAGAATATTGGATGTTATGTCGGCGTCTATGGGGAGGATTGGTTGGATCTCGTCTCTAAAGACACTCAGGATGACGGCATCTATCGCATCTCTGGGGCCGGCGATTTCCTGTTGGCTAATCGGATTTCTTATGAGTATGATCTGAAGGGACCAAGGTAAGCATCCTCCGTGTGCTATGCTCAGGCCATATGACCATATTAAACTGACCACCTTGGAAAAGCATGACCACAAAAACGGGCTGCTCTTCCTCCTTGATCTGCCTGCACGCAGCCTGTCAAGCTTTACTCAACGGCGATTGCGACTCCGCCATCGTCGGTGGGACAAATCTAATAATGAGTCCAGGTATGACAGTGGCCATGTCGCAACAAGGTGTCTTGTCGCCGTCCGGTTCCTGTAAGACCTTTGATGCTGCGGCCGACGGGTACGCCCGAGCGGAAGCCATCAATGCCATCTACATCAAAAAATTGAGCGATGCCATTGCCCATGGTGATCCGATCCGTGCCGTCATTCGGTCTACGGCGACCAACTGCGATGGGAAAACCCCTGGACTGGCTGTTCCCAGTTCAGAAACTCATGAAGCCATGATTCGCCGTGCCTATAAAGTAGCTGGACTACCGGCGTCGCAGACGGGATACGTGGAGTGCCATGGCACTGGAACGCCCGTTGGAGATCCGCTGGAGGTTCAATCCATTGCCAATGTCTTTGGCAATGAGGGCGTCTATATTGGTTCGGTGAGTGACCGGATGATTTTGTTCGGTGCTGAAGTTTGTAGCCGCAGCCCTAACTGACAAATAACCAGGTCAAACCCAACGTTGGCCATTCGGAAGGGGCATCGGGCATTACCAGCATCATCAAGTGTATTCTGGCCCTGGAGAATCGCGTGATTCCCCCGAATATAAAACTGACAACCCCCAATCCGAAGATTCCATGGGAAGAAAGTAAACTGCGTGTCCCAAAGGAGCCGACTCCGTGGCCCGCTGAGCGCTTAGAGCGAGCCAGCGTGAATTCCTTTGGAATCGGAGGAGCAAATGCGCATGTAAGAATGAAACCCGTCAGCTTCACCAACTTCGGTATGTCTAATACTTCAATTCTCTCCACAGGTGATTCTTGATTCTGCCGCGTCTGTCCTGCAACCGTCATCGTTGTCATCGTCTCCGCGGGATACAAATGAAACAAAGCAGAACCATCTGCTTGTCTTTTCCGCGAACCATCCAGACTCTCTGCAAAGACTCATTAGCAGCTATCAAGAGTATGCTGCCCGATCCAATGTCCTCGCGGCTGATCTGGCCTACACCCTGGCCGCCCGTCGTGAGCATCTCCCTCACCGAGCATTTTGTATTTTGAATGGACAGACGTGGAAAGAAGTAAGCCGAACAGCAAAAGCCAAATCGGCACAGACCCTCAATTTTGTCTTTACGGGCCAAGGAGCTCAATGGCCTGGCATGGGAAAGGAATTAATCCAGCAGTATTCCTCGTTTCGTAAGGACATCCATGACATGGATCGGGTCCTCCAAGAGTTACCGCATCCGCCAACGTGGACAATTCGAGGTACGCTCTTCCGACGTTGAGGAATACCTTCCACTCGAAATCCCAAACACTGACCATTTTTCCTTCTTTATTATATAGGTGCGCTTGAAACTCCTGGGACTGCAGAGTCAATGAGTGCAGAACTATCGCAACCACTATGCACAGCTATACAGGTGGCGATTGTCAATCTACTGCGGGAATGGGGCATTACTCCAGCGGCAGTGGTCGGTCATTCAAGTGGAGAAATCGCTGCAGCCTACACAGCCGGGCCCTTACAGCTCGTGAGGCCATCATAGTGGCGTACTATCGTGGGCGTATTGCAGGAAATGCCCAACAGGGCGCGATGGCCGCTGTGGGACTAGGCCGGCATGCTGTTGCCCCTCATCTTATCCCTGGGGTGTCCATTGCCTGTGAGAACAGTCCCGACAATGTGACATTGTCGGGAAATATCAAGGAGGTCGAGCAAATCATGGCCAGTCTCAAAGAAGAGCACGCTGATCTCTTTGTGCGCCGGCTGAAGGTCAACGTTGCTTATCATTCCGGTTGGTATTCTCTCACTCCATAGGCATTAAGTACGCGTCGCTAATTTGTAAATCGAATGACCAGACCATATGGCCGTGCTGGGTGCCGGTTATGAGTCCCTGCTTGCTGGTTACCTCGTCGATCGCCAGCCGAAAATCCCATTCTATTCCTCTGTTACCAGAGATGTCATCAAGAAAGCCGGTGCTCTGAGTGCGTCTTATTGGCGTAAGAACCTTGAATCGCCCGTCCTGTTCAAGTCCGCTGTCGAGCGTCTCGTCGACGGTTCCGAGAACAAGAATCATGTTTTCCTTGAGATCGGACCTCACTCGGCCCTTTCGACACCCACCCGACAGATTCTGCAGTCGGTAGGCATCCAGGCACCGTACATTGCCACTCTGCAGCGTGGCCAAGATGGTCACGAAAATCTCCTCACAACGCTGGGAAATCTGTATCTCGAAGGGCTGCAGCCACACTTTGCGGCGGTGTACGGTTCCGAGGAAGGAACCTTGCTTCACAACACTCCCAACTATCCGTGGCACCACGAGGCGCAATATTGGTACGAAAGTCGAATTTCGCGCGAATGGCGATTGCGTCCGTTCCCCCGTCACGAGCTTCTGGGCTCTCGCATCCTCGAGGGGAACGATCTCGAGCCCACCTGGCGGAATGTGCTGCGGCTGAGCAACGTACCCTGGTTGCGCGATCACAAGGTGCACGAAGACATCGTCTTCCCCGCAGCAGGTTATATTGCTATGGCTGGAGAAGCCGTGCGGCAAGTGACCAGGGGAGCGGTTGAATGTGCCAGGTATTCTCTTCGACGACTAAATATCACGAGTGCTATGATCTTGCAAGATACGCAGAAGACTGAAGTCATGACAAGTCTTCGGTCCGCGGCGTTGACCACCTCGTTGGATTCTGAATGGTATGACTTTTCCGTTGTGTCCTTCAATGGGTCGTCTTGGACCAAGCATTGCTTTGGTCAGGTGCGAGCAGACTGGGAGGGTGAGAGGAAGCAAGCTATTCCTCAAGATCAATGGAGACTACCGCGAGCGGTTCCCTCTCCACTGTGGTATCAGACCTTGCGGGATGTGGGATACAACTACGGGCCAGAATTCCAAGGACTGCAAGATATCGCCGCCGATACCTTGAAGCAGATGGCGTCCGCTACAGTGCTGGATGCTGATCACCGAGAAACATCATACCAACTCCATCCTACCACCATTGATTTTTGTTTGCAAATGATTAGTACAGCACTAGCCCAGGGAATTCCGCGCCATCTCCGTCAGCTGGTGGTTCCGACTGAAGTCGAGGAGATTCAAATAGAGCGCACTTCGAGCCCTATTCATCTCCTGGTTACCGCCCAAAGTCCCCCTGGCTCTAACGGTGAAGTGAGGAGCGATATATCTGGGTTCTCAGGGGACTCGACCGAACAAATCCACAGTGTGGTCAACTTCAAAGGAATCAAGCTGATGCCTCTATCAAATGATGGGCATACGGAGGCGATAGAAGAAGATCCTCACGCTGGAGCGCAGCTGCGATGGGCTGCAGACGTGGACTTCATTGACTCTCGCACCCTAATAAATCCGCTTGGCTTGAAGACAAGGTCAGCTCGCCTACTTTGTGAACGATTGACAGTCCTATGTATCATTGACACTCACGATCGGCTATCTTCTCTGCCGCCCGGCAGCTCCGCTCATCTCGACAAGTTCCGAGCTTGGATCAAAGCAGAAACTGCCCGCGCTCAACAAGGGGATGATGAGCTGATTGAGGATGCACAAGACCTGGCTAAATTGAATGTGCACGACCGACGTGCAATAATCGAAGCCGTGGCTGCAGAGATCCAATCCACTGAGATGGCTGCGATTGGCACCGGTATCATGCAGGTGCATGAAGCCAGTGAACTGGTCCATAAGGGGGAGAAAGAACCGCTCGAGGTGCTGATGCTCAACAATGCATTGACCAATCTCTACAATCTCTGCCACAGTCTGATCGATGTCACGCCTCTCCTCAGCGCCATCGGCCACGAGAACCCCACCCTTCGAGTCCTCGAGATCGGTGCGGGTACCGGAGGAACCACGGCGGCGGTACTGGAGGCGCTGAAAAAAGGATCCGCTGCCGAGCTGCGGTACTCCAGTTACACTTTCACAGATATTTCGGCGGGTTTCTTCGCGCCTGCTAAGGAACGCTTCAAGGCCGAGCGATTGATGCGATACGCCACCCTCAATATTGAGCAGGATCCATCCACCCAGGGCTTTGAGTCCGGGCAGTACGATCTCATCATTGCCTCAAACGTGTTCCACGCAACATCCAGCCTCCAAACCACCCTGAAGCATGTTCGGCAGCTGCTGCACCCTCGTGGCCGCTTGGTCTTTATCGAGTTGAGTCCCAGGATCCGCTTCCTGAATTATATCATGGGGATTCTGCCGGGATGGTGGCTGGGAGAAGCGGACGGTCGTGTTGATACGCCGTTTGTCTCTGTCGACCGCTGGGACCAAGAGCTACGTGATGCAGGGTTCAATGGCGTCGAAGCATCGGTTTATGATGATGATACCCCTCACCAAATTGACGCCGTCATTGTGGCACGTCCTAAGGAAACTCTTCCTAGTACATCATCATCATCGTTATCCTTGGGGATTACCCTTCTGATCTCAGACAATCAAATCCTCTCTTCTTCGACCGTCATCGAAACAGTCACAAATATCTGCTTATCCAAGGGGCTACGTGTCGACGTCCGTTCACTAGGCGAGACTCTCCCCCGAGACCAGGACATCATATCCCTTCTCGACCTCGATGGCCCATTCTTCTTGGACATTGATTCCGAGCGGCTGAAGCAATTCCAGGCCATCGCAGAGGGTCTTGTGTCGTCTGGCATGTTATGGGTAACTCGATCTGCTCAGGTCGGTTGCTCGGAGCCGGGGTATGCTCTTGTTCTCGGGCTTGCCAGGACCTTGAGGTCTGAACTCTCGATAGATCTCGCGACGCTAGAAGTAAATGAGTTCACTCCATCCACCTGGGTGATTGTGCTGGAAGTAATGGACAAGTTCATGCGACGAGACCGGAGCGGGCACATGGACCATGATTTCGAATACGCCCTGGCCGATGGAGTTGTTCAGATTGGGAGATTCGAGAAGTTTAGTGTATCAAAGGCACTGCAGCAGAAGGAAGAGTCTAGTCTATCTGGGACCACGAGTGCAAAGAGATTGTCTATTGGGAATTTTGGATCGCTGCAGACTCTTTGCTGGGTGGATGAGTCGTCGAGACCTTTGCAGGGCAGAGAGATTCGAGTGGCCACTCGCGCTGTGGGACTGAACTTCCGCGTACGTCTTTCCTTCTCCCTTTCATTCTCTTGGCCAATCCACAAATATCAGAAATTCACTGACATGGGTTCACAGGACGTGGTAGGGGCGTTAGGAGTGGTTGAGATCCCGCGCGGGTTTGGATTCGAGTGCGCCGGGATCGTGACAGAGATCGGGCCTGATGTTGAAAACTTACAACCAGGCGACCGTGTCGTGGTGTTGGATGGAGGCAGCTTTGCAACACTTGTCACCACCAGAGCTGACTTTTGCGTGCGACTGCCACAGTCGCTCACGTTTGAGGAAGCTGCATCGATGCCAGTTGTGTATGGAACTGTCATCTACGCCCTGATAGACCTTGCTCGGCTGGAAAGTGGCCAGGTATATACTCTTTTTTTTTTTTTTTTTCTTTCCTTCTTCCTGCTTTCTTTCTTTCTTTCTTACTGACTCGAGCCTCGCAACAGACGATTCTTGTCCAATCAGCCGCTGGAGGAGTTGGAATTGCAGCGATTCAGATTGCCCAGTATCTGGGTGCGACGGTGCGAAAGCTTCCATATCTTTTCCTTCCTCCTCTCAGTAGAGAGAACATTTATACTGACAGGCAGGCTGCATCAGGTATACGCCACCGTAGGTAATGAGGAAAAGGTTCAATTTCTCACCGAGACCTTCGGATTACCACGCCACCACATCTTCCACTCACGCAATACCTCCTTTTTGCCGGACTTGCTACGGGAGACAAATGGGAAAGGGGTGGATGTGGTGTTGAACTCCCTATCAGGCCAGCTGCTACATGCCTCGTGGGAGTGTGTAGCGGAATTCGGCAAAATGATTGAAATCGGAAAACGGGATTTTGTTGGCCATGGTAAACTTGAAATGAATGTGTTTGAGAAGAATCGGGCCTTCTTCGGCGTTGATCTGTGGACGTTGACTCAGACCAGACCGGCTCTTGGTCAAAGGTAAGCTAGCAAGCAAGCAAGACAAGTCGTCTTGTATTTGCGTGTGACTGAACCATATTGTTGACCACTTCCCCTAGTCTTCTGGAACGATCGGTCCGCTTCTTCGAGGATCAGATCGTGAAACCCATCTCCCCGCTGAAAACCTTCAATGCCCGCGAGATTGGCGATGCCTTCAGGTACATGCAGAAGGGAGTGCACATGGGAAGATTGTGGTGTTGATGCCCGCGGAAGCCACATCTTTGCCTTCGACCCCAACCGCCCGAAGTCTCCAGCTGCGGGCGGATCGCTCTTACCTTCTGGTTGGTGGACTTGGTGGCATTGGACGTGCCGTAGCGACTTGGATGATCGAATGCGGTGCTCGACATCTAGTTTTCTTGTCCCGGTCGGCGACCTCGCCAGCCCATACGGACTGGTTGGCCGAGCTGAGATCGCAGGGATGTGAAGTGCAGACCATCTCAGGGAGTGTGATCGATCTTGACGATGTGAAGCTCACAGTAGAAAACGCTTCCAAGCCGATCGGTGGCGTGATTCAAATGTCCATGGTCTTACGCGTAAGTCACCTGCACACGAGGGATGGACCAAGGTCTTTCTTATGCAGTACTAATGGACAGCAAAAAAACTAGGATCAAGGATATCTTCAAATGTCGCACGAGGAATGGCAGACCGCGGTCGCACCCAAAGTGCGTGGCACGTTGAACCTGCACGAGGCGACGCAAGAGAGCCCGTTGGATTTCTTCGTCCTCTTCAGCTCCATCTCAGGCGTCATCGGCCAAGTGGGACAAGCCAACTACGCTGCCGGCAACACATTTCTCGATGCCTTTTGCCAGTATCGTAGACAGCTCAGTCTTCCAGCCTCTGTTCTTGATATTGGCGTGTTGGGGGACATTGGATACGCGAGTCGAAACAGCACAGTGCTGCAGAAATTGAAAACGAGCGGCTTCTACCTCCTCCGTGAGCAGGAACTGTTGGACTCCTTGCAGTTTGCAATTTTCCAGTCCACACCCAGTTTCTCCTCCTCTTCCTCGGGCTTTCCTGAACAGCAGGGATTCTGCAATCCTGGCCAGCTCGTCATCGGTCTGCGCAGCACGCTCTCGTGGACCGATACGAAGAATCAAGTGCGCTGGAAACGCGATCGTCGCATGGCATCCTACCATAATGACAGCCAAGGGGGGGAAGCCACCACCGCGTCAACCGTCAACAACGAAGGCCTCAAACAATTTCTGTCCGAACTGGCCATGAATCCAATTCTTCTCGCGAAGCCGACGACCCATGACTTGCTCGCACAGGAAATCGGGCAGCAGCTGCTGACGTTCATGCTGCGACCGGAGGAGGAGCTGGATATCTCCCAGTCTTTGCAGGCCCTGGGAATGGACTCGTTCGTCTCGATCGAAATCCGCAATTGGATCCGGCAAAACCTCGGGGTGGATTTGAGTGTGCTGGACATTATGTCCTCGGCGTCGGTTCGTCATCTGGGCACAAAGGTGGCGGACGGATTGCGCGTGAAGTATGCGACCAGTATCGATGATGCTGGCGATACTTACCTTCTCATGAAGGCGCCATAAGTTTTTTGCAGGGCAGACAGTACTGGTGCTGATCATTAATTGTGCTCTCGAATGTTGCACCTACCATCCTGGCCTACACATTTTCTTACCAAGTATACGAGCATTCAATATGATAATATGCTCATAAAAGCGGGAACTCGCAGGCGCGGAAAGGCCACAGGTTTTTGGCATATATATAGAGAGATAGAGGCCACAGTCGCAGACAACCGTGTGGTCTTCAAAAGTAAGAACACCATACTGGGCTCACGCAGACTTTTATCGATTGAAGCACATAACACATGGCAATAGGTACATGGATCCAATAGCCTGACCTTGACCCAATAGTTACTTGAATTGAATTCTTGATAAAACACTTGACGAAGGCCTCTGCGCCTCATATAGAGATCTCTGATGCTACAGTGTAGAGCAACTGCTGATCGTTTGTCTCCTGCCTTTGAGCGATGATTTGACAGCAACTATTCGTCCACAAGGCACTGCTCTAGGTATATGCATAGTAATTAGTAAAATAGAACATCTTATATGGGTACGTGCGTATATTTGCGATCTCTCTCTAAAGAGCAAAACGATGCCTATGTTGGCTAGGATTTGCTGGACGCCATTGTAGTAACCAGGAGATGCAAGCTCTTGCCTTGCTGCAGGTGACAATCGCTGTTCAGGAGCTGGCATGGTTGGATAGACGTGCGTAGGCTCTGAATTGTAGTCTCTGGTTCATATATCTACTCGGAGTCTGGAAGAAAGAATCTTATATTTTGCAACCTGACTGTAGGTGCCCCCCAAGCAGCTTTGAAGTATGTAGAGAAGCTCCAGGGGCCATATAGGGACCAGCTTGAAGGCAAAAGCATGTAGAATATTTACAGAATGGATGAAGTTTGAGTGTTTGTGAAGGATGTGTTACTGTCTGCTAAGCCTTCAACCCTCTCTGCCATGGAGTAGTTATCTGAGCAAAAGCTCCACCCTGAAAATCAACTGACAACAGTACATTGTCTAATAAGTTAGGATGTCGCTTCATCTCATCAAGGCTAGTGTAATCAACTAGATGTTGTATTACACTGCAGCTTTAATGAATTGGAGTCAGGTGTTGTCAGAACTCAGCCATGCTGCATTTAATCCGATGATGTGGATATTCACTACCTGAGCCTTGTCAATCAAGCTCAATGGCGACTATGGCCTCACTGGCTACTAATTCAGGATCATTGGTGTTCTTTTACTTCTCCGTCCACCCCGTTTTCTTTTGACTCGCTCCTTCCCAAGCCGAATGCACCCTCAACCTGCCTCATCTTCGAATTTCAAGGTTAACCCAGGAACTCTTTTTTTGTGTTGCACTGTTGAGCAGCCATCCCATCATCTCTCGACTAATTAGCTCGCTCGCCTCATCTGAGCGCTTTCAGCCGTCATGTCTCACTGGGTGCTTTTTTCCGCCTTTGTCCTAGCTGTCTTGCTTCTCACCTGCTGGGTTGTCTGTGTTATCCGACCGGAGTAAGCTCGTGCTCATCCTCTTCTTCTCCCGGTACAGGACTGACTGACGCGTCTGTTGAATCATAGACTCGAGCGGATACTTGATCGCATGTTCCCGGAATACCGACCGAAAACATTGAAGGAATACCTCTATGCTGTCAAGCTTGTTCGAAAACGACGTAAGACGCGACTATTCTACTCTGTTTCCACGGATGAGTCTAACGAGAGGTTTTACATGACAGGTCGGTGGACATGGCCTTCACCATGGAGAAGAATCTCAGGCGCGGAAAAGGATGATCTCGAGGCCAGAATACAAGCTGCGAGGCTTGAGTAGTGCCGGTCTTGAAGTCGAAGACACGATCTCTGATTCCCAATGTCACAATGGTCCAGACGTCTCTCTGGCCGTCTACAGGTCTGCCAGGGCGTACAGTGTTTGTCTGGATGGTAGAGGAACAATGGATATGCATGAAGAATCAATTTATCCGCGCTTTGTCTACAATAAACACCTACTAGGTTGTCTGTGTGTGGTGGAGCAAGTGTGAATTAGAGTGTTTCCCATTTTTGAACGACATGAAGCAGTAAACTAATCCACAGGCTTATATTTCAGACCTCTGCCGAGGGATCAAGTACCTTTGCCCCGGCGCTGCACTCCCCCAGACTATCCTTTGTGGATCAAGACCACACCGCAGTCACCAGCAGTCTTCGTGGCAGCCTCGTCAATCGCCCTTTCATAGTCCTTGAAATTAAACTCAATGTCGTGGAATCTGGACAACGACAAGTTCCCCATCTCAATGAGCCGGATCAACTTCGCAGGAGCAGTTCCGTCAAACATAAAATTCCCCTTCACCGTGATATTACGCATCATGAGCTCTGAATAAGGCAGGCTGACCGCATCCGAAGCACCACCCATAAGAACCGCACGACCGTTAGCCTTCAACGCTGATATCGCAGAGGAGATGTGTATCCATTTCTGCCCCTCTGCAGCAGACGCTGGAGTAAAATCAAGGAACAGATCCGCACCAAGCCCGCGAGGAGTGGCTTTCTTCATCGCATCTTTCAGGGAAGTCCCATCGAGACCCTCCGTCGCAACCCCGACTACCTTTCCCTTTGGATAGCCACCCTGGATCTTCTCCAGGGAACTCATCCGTCGTCCCACAGCAACAACCCTCCCCGCCCCATGGCAAGCGCAACATCAATCGCCGCACCACCGAAATGCCCAGACGCAAAACACACAATCACCGTCTCCCCCGGCTGCAGTGCCCCCGACAGTAATCCGCCATACGGAACAAGCAGGGTGTTGATCCAGGTTAGCCGTGCCGGTGAATAGCCCATCTGCTCACACAGCAGCGATTCATCGAGAACATGCACATTCTCCAGCGGGACGATCTGTTTCTCCGCCCACGAGCCATGCCGCCAGTCGTTTTCGGATAGGATGCGCGCTTCGGGGGTTATACCTCCGAAGAGACCCTGGAGGATGGCGGTGCCTTGTTCCTTGAGAGGGTCATCGCGTGCGCGTACGGTAAGGTCGACGTACACTAGTTGGCCGGGTTTGAGAATTGTTGTGTCCGATCCGGTGGCCTCGATGCGGCCGATTGGGGATGCGCCAGGGGTGAAGGGGAGGGGAAGGGGTAGGGGAGTTTGCCGGTGAGGATTGCGCGGTAGTATGCGAGGATAGGGCTGGCGAGGACCTTGATGAGGACTTGGCCGGATTGGGGGCTGGTGTTGGGACTGAGGCGAGGGTGAGTGGTGAGTTGATTTCGGGGAGGATGATGGCTTGGTGAGTGGCCATTTCGAAAGTGTTAGAATTGCTAGGAAAGAAGTCTTTGCGATGGATTTGAGAGGTGTACATCTGGTACAAAAAAGCCTTTTATAAGCTGCTCAGACGGGAATATCGGACTTTGGCTGGTTCAGTCGAAGGGAGACTGCTTGTCTTCAAAGGGCGTGAAGAAATATCATGACTCGTATTCGGAGTAGAGATGTTATCTCCTTCTTACTTTGAAACAAATATACATGCTCGTATTCGATATTATCCTGGTGCACATTCTGACGGGATTACCAAAAGGCTTATTTACGGTTGGCATCTCCGTTCATACGCCAAGGCAGTCGATTCGTCGCCCTAAGTCCGGCATTGTCTCAAGGTGTTTAGCACCGGAGTTAACGTAATCCATAAGCGAGTGGCCTTTCCAACCGAGCGGCCACCTCATGTATTGCATATAAAATGGCACTTTTCAGGACCTCAGTATCTTAACAACGGAAAGCTAAGAAAGCCTAAAATATACAATGTGGACTAGTCTCATGGTATGTTTAATAGTATGAGGCCTAGAACTCTATATTACTTATTATCATCCATATTAAAAGAGGAGTGTCTTTCAACATAGATATATTTGCATGTGCGCTGTATTAAACACTTAAAATAATTATTAAAATAATTCACAAAAAAAAGAATATAGGTATTCCATATAGTGTATAGTGAATATAAGCTAAGCATTAAAGATAAATATATAATATTGGTTGAGGTACTGAGGTCCTGAAAACTGCCATTCAATATGCAATACATGAGGTGGCCGCTCAGTTGGAAAGATAAACCACTTGCTTGTGGATTATATTAATGGCTACCTATAATACGAGGCGTGGCTCACGCCTGAGGACGCCAATTGAACACCTGCCTAAATTGATCAAGCTGTTAGGCTGTGCTTCCTGGCAGCACCTCGTATCTAGAGCGATGGCGCCAGCCGCATTTTCTTTTTGGCTTGCTCCAAGAGTAGCTGTTCTCTTAATAGAATCTGTCAAGTATCACTCTGGCGCGGCTGGAGTCTGTGCGCGGCCGTGCGCCGCACCATAACTGTAGATTTCACTGTAACCATAGATTTCTCATTAAAATCATTATTTTGAGGCTATACTAGGTATTATTAATATAAAAAGAATCCTTATTCTCACTAGCTACCTCTGCTGATCCATTTAATACCTCATTCTCTTGTGTAGGTGCTGGTGGTGGTGGTTTACCATGCGCTTTCTCCTATAGCTTTTATAAACATCTCTCTTGCGCAGCAGTATCTTTGCCCTTCCTTGAAGCAATTGATTGGTTTACATCATGTAATTTTAATATACCATTCTGGCTAAGCGGCTTAACCTACTACTTAGTATGTTGACGCCATAGAGGGTCCTGTGCGGCCCTGATTCAACTAATAAGTTTTATTTGCCATAGCCAGGTGCTCAGCGGCAATTTAATTATGTTTAAATATCTGCAGCAACACATTCAATAGCAGTGATATCCTCTCCTCTTTCTGATTCAGCAAGGTCAGCAGCTTTACCTTTTGAACTGATTACATTCCTGGAGATGTCTTCGCCAGGCTAGAAGCTACATTCATTAAAATCATATACTAGCTATGCTGGAGTATCTTCAATCATATTTACAAGCTGATTATACCAGGTTCCTAATAGCCCTATGTCTTCAGCCTGGATATGCTTATATTCCTTTATCTTTTGCTTTACAGGGCCCAATTTAAGGTGTTCTGGGAGTTATTTCTTAAATTAATATACTTAAGCCTTACCAACCTATCTAGATATCCCTGCGCATTGAAGTGCCTGATTTGCATACTCTTCTAGCAGCTTAGGCATTAATGGCATGTTCTACTCCTGTATAAAGACTATCTACTATATCAAGACTTTCTCCTGATACCCCTTAAGGGCTTTATTGACTGGTTTCCAAGCTATATAAGGTTGACTGCCCTTATTAACGTGGTCATATAGTCATGGAAGGAACACCATATTCACGCATAATGTTAGCAATGGGTTTTTTAGGGCTTAAATGGCCTCGCAGGCCTTGACCATGCAAGATTCATCAAATTCAGAAGATTTAGGCATATTGGGTGGTGGGAATAGCTTTAAATGAACAATTTTGATAAAGTCTATGGTTACGGTGTAATCTATGGTTATAAGTGCGGCGCACCCTCACCGTGGAGGGTCGCGTATGGCATGGATAGGGAATACAAACTATGCTAAACGAAACACTGTGATAGACATGTTCATGTGCTCTGGGGAGCCCGACAAGTACAGATGTGGACTCTGAACAGACGGAGATATAAGAATGTATAAATAGTACCCGTAGATTTATGATCTACCACTGCGATATTTCCATGATCATATCTTCTGCTTCTTATGTCGCGATACTCCAAAAACTGAAGGTCATCATTTTGATCAGTAACAAGTTACCATTGTCAACTCCCTCATCCAACAGATCCATCTCTTTCCTGGACTCGAGCTGGAAAGACTCAGAATTACACAATCCAATGTGAGCCGTATATAGGGTTGACTGATGTTTAATGGCGAAAATGGAATGCATAGTCCTTGTATCCTACTACAGCGGCAACTACAAGGTTTCAAGAACATGATGCGACAGCCACGACGGTGAAGCAGACTGAATTGATAAACATATAATGTAGAAATACAGAGAGGACCACGAGAAGTGCGACACATCAGCAAAGGTACATGAGAGGATTCTATGGAATAGTATTTTCCGTCGAAATCATCAGAAGACGGCAGGGTACAGCTATATCTGCCACTGCATGGCTTGATTTGGAAACCGTAGTCTTGTATGACACAAGTTTAGCTGAGTAACGTAATAGTGTAATAGTGCCCGGGAAATATATGGTCTGCCTTATTCCAATTCATCGGAGATCCGCCTCATTAGAGTCTCATGATGGCAAACGCTACCTGGTTGCGGAAACCGATGAAGCATCATAAAGAATACACAAGATGGAACTTACATCTGCTATGATGGAGATCCTGCCCCGGGATTACCCTGCAGGACCGGGCCCAGAGCATCTCATTTTAACCTAGAATACGCCGGCTCCGGCGTATTTGTGGTCAAGGTCCCAGGCTCAAACCTGGTTTGGACTCTAGAAGGACCACAGCATGTGCTCCATTTGGAAGAGAGGGATGAGTCTGATGAGCAGATGTTCATGTTTAATTGGATGTAATGAATGGTTATATGCTATTGTGACATGTGATCGTCATACGCGGTCGCAATTCCAAGGTATAATGGGCTTGCAGGGTCCGGGATTGAACCTAAGGCCTGAATTTTATTGGAAATGATTCTGTTTAATAATGATACTCTTAACCTGTGATCCGAATTTGTCCGAAGTGAAACAGACTTGCCTTGTTGGGAGTTTTCCTGAACCGGGATAGCGCTATCTGCCCCTTATCCTCCCAATTGCGGGTAATAATTTCATGATGGAGAGATATTTAGGAGACAAGTAAGGAGGTGGAGAGCATTGGGCTACTCATCGAATTGATGCCAGATTGATCATATAGTGGACCTAGGGCTCGTCAGGCACGATCCATCCCCATAATGCCCATCTCACCATCCAGGGATCGAATCAGATCGAGCATCATACGACGCCAGGAACCCGGATCCCGGTTTTGACCAACAACAGAGTACAGAGTAAGCTCGACGAATGAATTCTGGAACATTCGTGAAACCATGCAGTCCAGAGAACCCGAAGGCCCAAAAGACAACCGATAACTAACGTATGACAACTTACCAAATCAGGAACAATTGTCACATTACCTGAAATCCTTCTGGCTCTTCTCATCCTTGCGACCAGTGAAAGCCCCCACGTGGCGGCGCAGAGATGCGGGTCTGCTCAGGACAATGATATATGTTGTCATCGATCGCCACTTTACGTGACTTTTTTCCTACTACCAATTCATCTCGACAAAGTGAATGCTCACTTATGAGCGGACGATAACACTGCGTTGTCGAGATGACGGAAGAAAAGGTTGTACCAGGCAAACTGGAAGTCGCGCTCTTTCTCGCCGCAAGCAAAGGCTACGATACGATCGTCAAACTCCTCCTCAGCACCCCCGGCGTGCGTCTCGACTTCAAAGACGAAGATGGGCGGAATGCGGTCTCCCTAGCCGCAGAAGGTGGTCACGAGAGCGTTCTCCAGATTTTACTCGAGACAGGGGCGGTAGACGTGAACGCGGTAGATGCCAAAACAGGTCAATCACCGCTGTGTTGGGCAGTTAAAAATGGACACGCAGGCGTCGTGAGCAAATTACTCGCCCTTGAAAATGTCGACCCGAATATCCCCGATGCCAACGGCGAGACGCCCTTGTACGCGGCTGTGAAGAGTGGAAACGAGTCCATCATCCAACAATTACTCGCACGGGCGGATCTGAATGCGAATACGCCGGACGCCGCTGGACAGACGCCGCTATACTGGGCTGTGAAGAACGGAAACGAAGCGATTGCGGGGGCGTTACTCGGACGCGCTGAAGTTGACCCCAACGCCGCCGGTGCCGATGGACAAACGCCGTTGTACTTGGCTGTGAAGAATGGGCACGAAGGGATTATGAATCGTCTGCTCGCGCGTGGTGAGATCAATCCTGACATCCCCGACGCCAATGGTCAGACTCCCTTTTACTGGGCTGTGGAACAGGGGAACCAGCCGTTCGTGGTGCAGCTGCTCAAGGTGAATGCCGATCCGGACGTCAAGGATAATCAGGGGCGCACGCCGTTGTTGTGGGCTGCGGAGAAGGGACATGAAGAGGTGGTTCGATTGCTGATCGGGTCGAGGAGAGTCAATGTCAATGCTGCCGATGCGGTCGGGAGGACGCCGTTGTGGTGGGCTGCGCGCAATGCTCACCTACCTGTGGTCCGACTGCTCGTGCGACATGGCGCGGACAGAGAGGCGCAGCCTTCTCCTGATGACGAAAAGGGGCCTCACGGCACGCCTCTGTACCAGGCCGGCAGAAAGGGTCATACCGACATAGTCAAATACTTGATCAAGAAAGGCGCTGACATCGATTCACCATGCGGAGAGTCCGGTCTCCCACTTCTGCTGGCGTTGGTGGTACACGATCGCACGAAGCGCGGGATGAAAATGCTCAATGTGCTTCTTGAGAAGGGTGCCAACGTGAACGCGAGAGATACCAAAGGGAGGACTACGCTTCACATATTAGCAAAGGATGGCGATGTGGATCTGACTGCCTTGTTCCTGCAGAGAGGTGCTCAGGTGAATGCTACCGCCAAGGATGGTACAACACCACTGCATCTAGCCGTGCTTCATGAACACGACGAGATAGTCGAGATGCTCATAGCCAACGGCGCAGACCCCGAAGCAGCCGACAACACAGGAGATACACCCTTGCATCTCGCAGTGTTAGGAGGCCACAGACGACTAGTCGGGTTGCTACTAGAAAAGGACTGCGATATCAACGTGACGAACCACTGCGGAGAAGCACCGCTGCACAAGGCAGTAGACCGAGGTCATCGCAAGATGGTGGAATTCCTTTTGAGAAACGGGGCGGAGCTCGAGATGGAGGACGATTACAAGAGGACTCCGTTGCATAGAGCAGTCAGAGCGAAGAACCATGTCATGAGGTTGCTGGTGAACAAGGGTGCCAACATCCATGCGGTAGATATGTACGGTCAGACCGCACTACACATCGCTGCGGAAGCTGGACTACGCGACGATGTGCACTTTCTCCTGGGGCACGGCGCAGAAACTGAATTGAAAGATCACAAGGGTCGGACACCGCTCGATCTGGCAGTCAAGGCCGGCGAGGTCGAGGTCGAGGAGCTCCTTCATGAAATGAGTCTTGTTGTCGTCGACGGATCGTCGGGAAGCGAAGAGTCAGGGGGCTAACAACGGTAGTCACCTGGTACTTGGAAGATGATCAAAAGTCTATGGCATGGTTGGACTGGCTAACTGTGTTTGTATATCATCATTCTAGATCTGCATGAAGTGTAGTCGTCATCTCATCCGTCATTCTTAGAGACCGCATGGTGGACACACCCACACAAAAGAATTGAGATAGACACCTTGGGTCAATGTCGGCACTGAATACTCTCAGCATTCTCACACCTCCGCTGTCCCATGCTGCTCCCTCACACCCAACAGCGTATGCCTTCCACTACTCATAGACCGACCCATATCCTCGGACGGCATGGACGAATGTCCTATAGACCCCTGCCAACAGGGTTGCCCCGACAAAGACGGCACGCTCCTCTCATCGCAGAACATGATGGACTCGCGATCCACCTTCAATTGGCTCGCTGATGTTCCGTTCTCGGGCCTCGGGGCCAACCTGGAGAGCGAAGATTCTTGATCAGGTTGATCCCTCGTCTCGATACGCCGTTTCTTCACCCGATTGCGGAAGCATCGCGCGATGCAGGCGCATACGAAGAAGGATCCGAGGATGCTGAAGGTTACGATGGCGGCGATGGTGCCGCGGTGGTTCCATTCTTTCAATTCAGCAGATTCGGTAGGGGATGGTGTGGTTGTAGAGGTTGTCGTTGTCGTCGTTGCTGTGTTTGTTGTGGTTGAGGCAGCGGTGGATGTCGATGAGGATGATGTGGTGGTGGTGCTGGAGGTACTGGATGTTGTCGTTGTTCCTGCAGTGGTTGTCGTAAATGAGGAAGCGGTCGTCGAGGTGCTCGATGTAGTCGTGGATTCTGAGGTTGTCGTTGCATCGGAACGGCTGGTCGTTGTCACGGATGTCACAGTCTCAGTAGCGGTGGTCGACGTAACTGCATCCGAAATTATCGTGGTATCGCGCTTTAGTATCCATTCTCCAAATCGCCTCGAGGGATGACTGCCATCAGGGTTTAAGTCTTGTGAATGGGGGCTCCTCGTAGCCGTTGACAGGTTATAGTCTCCGGCCCCGTTAAAACTAGATTGACAGACGACCGGCTGGATCGCTGCCAACGAAGCAAATACAAACGTCACTCGCATATTGCCTAATTGGATAACTTTTTCAATTATGTGTGGCTCTTTCGGGTTCGATAATTGTGGGAAAAGAAGCATTTAAATCGATTCAAACCAACGTGGATCACCGTCCTTGGCCACACGTTCGTCCGCAGTCTACTGTTCTTGCGATTCGATATAGTCTATTTTTGTCGCTACTGCCAGTCATCCAAGACTTGGAAAGGTTCCATATCCACAGAATGGACGAATCTAGCTAGGGTTGTGAGAACATACGTATCCGCCACGCGGCAACGACCCACAGGGCTGGTGGCTTATCTGGGTTTTCTATTTGGTGACGACTATAGGTCAAGCCACAAGTGTTCGCAATTGATCCAAAGGTAGGCTTAAATTTTCTCATTCCCTAAAGGTCTTGCACTTAAAAGACATGAATATTGTGCAGACCATCGAGAAATAACACAAAACTCTCAATTCCCTCACTGCCACATTGCGGGGCCATGAAACGAATTTGAAAATAGACATGATACTACTGAATAACCTACATCCCAACAGCGGCAGGCTTTAACATGTGACTGTGTGCGCTGGGTAAAGTGAAGGACTAGCAGTCAAACGCAGATGTCCCGTCCAGGTACCGCCGTGATTCATGGTGCAGCAGCCCCGAATCGCGCCCTGGGCGTTCAGCTTGTTGGCACACTTCTCGACTGACGAAAGGATAGTCTTCTTCTCCGCAGTCGTGTCACAGTTCTCACCACTCGTTGTGGCCTCGTACGCATACCCTTCGACATAGGTCCCGTCAGAGTCGGTGCCATACACGAGGGAGCAAGAGTTCTGATTTGATTTGCTCTTGATGATGGCGGCAATGTCCTCGTAGATCCCAAGACCTGCGTTCGCCGCAAGAATAACGCTTGAAATTGAATTGACGATGGTTGCTGCCGCGACGACGGTTGTGATACCGGTACGCTTCTCCAGGGTATTGTTGGTGTAAAGGGAGAGATACTCGTTGCTTACGATATCAAAGGTCACGGTCAGGTTGGTCCCGGAGCCGGTCCATTCCTCGGTAATGGGCGTGTAGGTTACTGTTGTAACATTGTCGTCCGCACAGCATCGGTCAATAAGACCAAATGCGAGCAGAGAAGAGATAACTTTGCATGCGTTGGCCATTCTCCTGACCCCAGCCGAATGATAATGGCGCTAATGTCAGAGACGAGAACAAAGAACAGGATCCAAGACTGCATTGAAGATTCTACAGAGATAGGGGATGAAAAGGGCAAGGAAACGATAATGAGGAAAGTGACTCCCAATCCAACAATAGAGGAAGGTTTGCCTTTTATACGCCAGATACCCTACTCACCGAGCTAGCAAACAAGGCGCCTGCGCGACTTTTGACATTTCTCGAGTCATGCGGCGAGCCGGCTGTGGGCTGTAAGGGCAATGGTCGATAGTGACAATTCTAGTAGACCTGAAACTGGAGTCAAGGCTCATAAGTGTAATAGTTGATGGTTAACAGATTGAGGAAATTGGATAGTAGCCCACCATCTGATAATACTGGTCCACAATGACAGCACACAATGGGACTAGCAAGTCAGCTAAGCACAAGGTAAGCTCCAAGATCTCCACTGAGAAGGAAGCGTATACGTACGCAGTTTTGGGAGATTGCGAGGCATTAAGATGGCGCCATATCTAGATAAGTGAACAATTCGATGCCCCTCTCAGAATTTCTATCACCCATCTGCTGCTGCTAGCAGCATTTTAAGTTGTATAAGCGACTCTTCTGTTGGGCCACAGGGAATATTTTATGTATTACTCCGTGCATTTCATCTGATATCCGCAATAGTATCATCTCCCCAAACCATCCTTACTGCCTACCCTACCTACCTTTTAGGAAGATTTCCGAGCCTACCTGTCGACTGAAAAGCCAGTAGGTCGTGGTAGTGGATCAGAATTAGGCCCTGTTACCTCCAGGCAGCAGCAATCGCCCAATCACGCCGGGCATAAACTAGTATCATACGATACAAATAGATACTTCTGGGGGCATTTGCTTGGGACTGTCACAGTATGAGAAATTGAGGTTTTTACCTAAAATAAGTAATCCCGAGCTCAATCAGAGCAATAAATATTGGAACCAATATCACAACACGGTGTGGTCTTCTTCATAGAACACATGGCGACTTTGCATAAACTGTTTCACTGCCCCATGTACATTCTAGCTGCATGTTTAGTTTAAGTCCGTCCTAGTTGAATGTCACTATAGAAGGAGCGAATGAAGTTCTATAATTTAACGAGTTCTTCCTGATCAGTCCTTATATCTTGTTCTTGTGTCGAGTCTCTTGGCTTTGGATACCTCAGGCGAACGTGATAACTCATGATGAGAGTTTGGTCCAGGAATGAGCAAGACCTTGGATTAGCCAATGAAATTGGAAAGTCCTATATGACGGCCCATTTGGTACCTTTAAGCTATCCTCTCGGACTTGCCCGATTAGGAAACCGTTTATGGATTCCAATGCAGCCTCAATATAGACGATGTCTTCACTGCAAATCATCGATATCTGCCACTAATCCGCCTTAGAGGATTGCATAGCCACATCCAGTAAGACTAGCTCATAGTATGTCATAAGGATGCCACTGCAAGGCAGACAAAACCTCTATAGCCCCACTGTGAATACACCGTCGAACAGAGTCAATCTCAGAGGTTCATGTTAGTCTTTTCCTCTCTCATTCAGTCGTCTCAAGTCTGCTACAATAAAAGCGCAGCTCACCCACTATCTCCCTTTCGTCTATCTTCAATCAGCCTATAGCACTTTAACCAATGATTCTCCACAAACACAACCAACACAATGGCTCCAAGACCAAAGTTGCCATTTGCCCGCGAGCTGGAATTGCTCCTTCCAGACTATGATGACTTGATCCGTGAACAGCGGCCACCCAAAGTCAATGACATACTACTTCCCGGCGTCACTTATGAACACACTTTCCTCAGCCCTGACAAAAACCGGCTGATCCTCTCAATCTTCCGCAAAGAGAGTCTGCCAGACTCTACTCCACAGAAATGACCAGTCATTTACCATATCCATGATTATGGGTGACTGCTTCTGCATCCTTAGTAGCCTACTTAACTTCATTTGTGAGCATAACACCATCTACACCATAATTGTATACCACCTTGCGCCTAAACATCCCTACCCTGCACTGATTGAAGACTGCTATGCTGGCCTGGTGTGGGTACATAAGCACACAGAGGAACTTAGAATCAATTTAACCTGTATTATGATTAATGGACTCTTAGCAGGAGCTGGGCTGGCAGTGGGCATGGCACTGTTATGTTAGGACTGAAAAAGCCTCCATTAATTAGGTAATTACTCTTTTCGCCTATGATTAATAATTGTAATGACTTGGTTTCTGTGCATGAGTTCACTAGCGTCGGCATCTAGGACCGCAATGCCAATATAGCAGGTTGGAATGTGTATCTAGGTGACTGTAAAGGAAGTGATGATGTCAGCATATATGCAGCTCCTATCAGGGCAACGAATCTTACTGGTCTTCCGCCAGCGTATATTGACATCAGGTCAACGGAGATATTTCGCAATGAGGATGTCCAGTATGCGCAGAACATGTGGAGTGATGGAATGCAGTGTGAGCTACATATATGGCCTGGCGCATATCATGGATTGAGGGACTGTGCCCCGGAGCGCAGTTATCTATAATGGCGAGGAAAGTGAGGCTGGATTGGCTGCGGCGGATTCTGTTCATTTGATGGGATGCTCATTTTGGTACACTTACTCGGGAGGAGGCTGTTTTAGCTAAGCTAGTCATGCTCGTGATCATCGGAAGCTGGATAGAATACCTGACCATGTACTCATATTTGTGGATATCACTTGTCTTAGCATCTAGCATTTTATCACGCAAAACGCTTAGCACCGGACAGCAAGGCTCTTCTAGAGGAAATTAGAACATATGTAAAGCAAAGTTGCCAGATTGACATAAGTGCCCTCTCGAGTCTACAATTTTGATGAGGAGACGCAGATCGGTGCCCTGAGCCTTCCCAGCAGATCTACAGTGCCATCATGCATACGATTGGCCTAATTCTGAGGCCACAGATCTGGTTGATTCATTTCCTCTTATTGTCCAAGCTGATCATTGAAGGCCATCGGTCAACACCAGGATTGACAATCCTCATATGTGTGTATATCAGTGGCGGAAACTTGACTAGAACGTCAATTTGCAATCCACAGCTGGCTAAGGGTGCTGTATAGAGCTAGGACTGCCAAAAGAACTGTATTTCAGGATTGAGAACCAATTTACCTAATGGTAGAAGGTCATGTCTTCTCTCAATCTCACAATGAAGGCTTTGAAGCTCATCAGCCTCAGCCAGCCCAGCGCTGTTTGTTGTCCCAATACATATAAAACAGACCGATTATGGGGGCCACTCAAGCTGACAGTCACAGCTGTGGAACCTTGATCCGAATCCGGGCTCTGTAGTGGATTCCAGTTGATAACGCCAAGTCTGCACAAAAATCATTACCGATAGATACCACGGAGAACAATGGTACTTGCCCAGAGCAGAACGGAATTGGGACATCAATTATTTATGGATTTCGCCTTTCAACAACTGGGCTTGTGGTTTAGTGGTATAATACCCCCTTAGCATGGGGGTGGTCCGGGGTTCGATTCCCCGCGAGTCCATGTTTTTTTCGTCTTTCATTTTTACCATCCGCAACGCAGCAGCATAGTAATTGTAAGGTCTATCTCTCAGAACGACCTTTTTTAAAGAAGAAAATAATAAAAACAAATAGTAAATAAGAGAGATGTCCAAAGTCTGACTTTAGCTCAGGCACCAAACGTCCGGCCATTATCTCATTGAAAACTATGCAAGTGTACCGTCGACGTGTATATATATATTTTGCGATCAAGTGGCATAAAGCCAAACAAAAAGCTTTGAGAGAAGTGAAGTCACTCCATTCGCGACCATCTTCCGCACAAGGGCAGCGTACTGCATTCCGTTCCGTCTGAAATAAATTTACAGCAAACAAATGACCGGGCATAGTCAGAGCAAGGACTTTTCCTCCACCTGCCCAGTCCATTGGACTGGTGTTAAACCACCACCAACCACAACCACTGTAGAGCCAAACTGGTTCTCCTGCACGATCTCTCGATTGTAGAGAGTAATAGAATATGATAAGTCGTCATATGTCAGATGAGCTGAGAGATGGCATAAGTGTATAGGCAGCAATTATTCTGTTATCAACTACCAATGAGGGATATAAACGGACCACTCCACCGTCTGAAACGCCGACTCGGGTAGATCCCTCAGCCCAACCAAGTCCTCAACGAGTATATACGCTCTAGAAATACAATACAAAGCGCACAGTACGGTCACAGGAATGAGCGCCAACAGCGGAATCTCCAACCGTGGGTCCTTCGAAGGATGGATATTTCTCATTTTCGTAGTGAGATGCTGCATCCGCGTCTGCGGAGTAGTCGCTTCCACATCGCCAGCCCTTCGTTTCTCAGCATGCCGTGGAAGAAGAACTTTGTAGCAGAATTGTATGTATGGACCGCCGACGATGGAGAATAGCAGTGTATAGCAGGACGCAATGCGCCACAGGATTCGCTCGAGAGAAGAGGGAAAGTCAAAGCTCCAAGCGATCATGAACATGCTGCCAAAGAGGAGGACAATCGGACAAGCGAGGGCGTCGGCTAGTGTATCTAGATGCGGGAAATCGTCGCTTGGGATGCGGTTGTAAGGTTTGCTGGTGACGGGACGAGAGAAGATGGGACAGTGAATCCGGCGGAGAATCTGATTGAAGTATCGCCAAAAGAGGTGGCAGATGTACAGGTTGGGATGCAGGAATTCCAAGGGGTTTGTGTACCATTCTTCGAGCTCTGGAGGGCAGTGCTTTTTCCCATGGTCAGTGCAATTTCCTCCAGTAGAAGAGGCGTTGGTTTACCTTTTCCCGGATAGTGCTGATATCTACCGCGAGGGTTACGGTGGTCGTACTGGTTATGTCTTGCGGTTTGTAGTACCAGCAAAAGGAGGTTGCGAAGAAGACGATGACAAACGAGATAGTAGTAAGCTCCAGTGTTGTCAAAGCAAGGTGCTGGGCTCCGCGCAGGATGCAATTGAGCAGCAACCAAACCGCCTGACACACTGCGATAAATCTGCATCATCGTCATCAGCAGCAGCGCACTGACCTCCATCGAGATCATGATCAAAACGCACCTCGCGAACCCATCTGACTTGTTACGATCATCGATATCATCCCGAGTAATTTCTGGATACTCCACATATCCCTGCTCGACCAGGAAAGCCAACTGCGTCGCATCAACCGGGAACGGAGTCTCAACCCCAGGCCCCTCAAGAAGAAACCCTCCCATATCCGCATAGAACGCGTGCGTCATGGTCCACTCCCGTTTCCCTCTTTTCTTATTTAAATTGCTAAACTCCTACACCGATTAGAGCCATCCAGCCTGGCGGTGAAAACACACCTTAACCGACTTCCTAGCCGACGACCACTGTCCCGTCGCCAACATCAAAAGAAACTCCGGGCCTAGGATCCCCATACACGCGAGGTGAAATTTATCGCGCAGGCGGGCCCAGTATCCGTCAGATTTAGCGGGTATATTGGGACAGACGGATGTCCAGCAGCATAGAGTGATGGTTAGCAGACATGTCGAGAGGATGCCCCATGTTCCGCGCCCGTCTGGTTCCTTGACCCAACCGGATGATGTTGTTGTGGAGTTGGCCATGGATACAACAACAGTCGGCCATGGATACAACAATGCCATTTCTTTGGATTGTGCCACTTGGGGGATTACAGTCTTATATCTGATTTTGAATGGACTTTTGTCACAACTAGGCAACATTCTGATTGACAAGGGTGTCGGCGCTTAGCCTCGTGCGGGGCGTCAAGGACATGCAGTTAAGTGAGTCCTAAAGAATTTAACATTACGGTGAGCCCCTCCACTACTATGGAATATCACTAAAAGATCCACCCTAACCACCTCGAAAAGGAGGTCAGCTCAACCCCTGCAGACCCTGCCACGATTACGGAGCTTTGCGAGGCTTACCCCTGTTCAGCTGAGTGGCTATGTCTAGCTTCAGCCACAATGCGGGATCTGGGCGCTTCAGATAGGAATCCCAGCGACTCTTGTGGTTGCAGTTTGTGATTTACTGAGGGTTCTGTAGGACACCGCTGTGTGGATTAAGAATGATAGTAATCTTCGAATTCAACTTCACGTTATACTGCCCATTCTATTATGATAATGCACGTTATTTGGAGATTACAAGGCGATCTCTATCCAATACCCTGAAGCGGACTCGTTGATGGAGTCAATGAGCAGACTCAGCAGACTAAGATGGTTAGGTGATGAGAACTATGTGTGGTTCGACCACAAATGTAAAGACTTTGTTCCGAACTCTACGTCTCTTCACTAGACTCCAAGTTTTGGTACTATATGTCAGCACGGAGTAATGCAACCCTTAGAGCGAGACTCTGACTCTTATGGAAGGCCGCTACCCGATTAGACCTCCGACGTCTCAATCTTCATGGTAAATCCGTTTATGTACAGCCCACCAGCAATCAGTCAAAGAGAGTATCCCGTTCTCCCGATATCTAAAACGCGCCGAGTTTGCGAAATCTATTCCCGCCGAGACATGTCAAAGTCGAGACGATGCAACCGATGCTCTCTCGTTCGGAACCTGACAACGACAAAGACAACGAGAGCGAGGTTCTCGATGATTTCCTTGGGGCTACAGTGATTTCCCCAAGCAGCTGGTGGAGGAAAAAGAGCACATGGCATATTGGACGAGATGACAGACTCGAAATGCCTAGCTCCCTCGGTGAGTGCTTTTCCTGGGCTATAACGGGATTTCCGGTCGCTAACGAAGACCAGAAAGACTCCTAGAAGATTATAACCTAGCGCTAATCGTCGAGTCCCCAAATGCTAAGCTCATCCGCCCGAGATTGGATGCCATACTGATCCAAATCCTATCCCTGGTGAAAGAAGCGCGACAAAAGTCTGCGAATGGCAGGTTCGGAATGTCGGCCATTCTGGACGCCGTTTCCTGGGGACCCCGACATAGACTCTGCATAGCACACAACTTTCAGGGCTGTAGTTACATCGTTGGCTGCATGGTGGACTACGCTCTTTGGTACGGGGGCCGACAAGACCTCGAGACCAACTTTATTGTTGTCCGGAGTGACATGCTGATGGAGGATGAGTGTTGGATGCCTCTTGCAGCAATGTGTAAGTGTCATATGCGCTTGATAGCCTGTTTTATGAGAATATCCTATTAACACGTACTGCTCAGCAATAATTCACTATGCTCGAAAGAAAGCCGGAAGGAACGCGGAAATATATGGTGTCTGTACAGATAGTTACAAATGGACGTTCTTGCACCTCAACAGCAAGAGTCAGGTATGTATTTGCCTACGGTCTAGATGATATAGTAAGCTGATGAAATGTGTGGAAGTACTCGTCGCTCCACTTGGATTGGACAAAAGGACAACAAGAAGAGATCATCAGCCAGATTGGCAAGATCGTAAAGCAGGCAATTGAGATTGCAATATCAGAAGCTCAAATGAACCGACGGAAGATGACGGTGAGCCAGATGACTGGCTGCATGGTTTTGGAGGAACAGCTGAAGGACACTAGAGAATTTGTCGGATTTAGACGATAGACCGCGACCAAGTGGGTAACTGATGTATTCAGGAGAAACCAAATTGATATCTGTATCACATACTGCTAATGCAGGAATTTTGGGTTTGATTATGTATGGTAGGCAGCACCGCAGCCTCTGCGTTGACATCACATCTGCGTCGTCTTCGACTTCATTACCCTGTCCTGACCCCAACATTTGCAAACTCTATCTGTTACCGCACTCCACCAAGCTATTCGACTGACATGGACTACTTTGAAAGATTGAGAATTCAAATTGGCAAAAGCTCAGCAGAAGGCTCAGCCATGCGGAGCAAAGCTGACATCGCCGAAGTGCCCGTAGTGTCTAGGACGGGGGGCCAGCAAGGTAAAAGGCCTGCCACTTCAAAAAATAACGATCTACCACATATCACCATTGCCGATATACATCCCCAAGATGTTCGTCGGTTCTACGCCTCCAGCCAGATCCGGATCCTAGTTCTTGCTGGCAGTTGACAGCGCAGGACAAGATTCAAGGGCCTGAGTATTTAGGTAGGCATACGTATCTACCGCTCGATTCACGCAGAGGGTCAATTTCATGCCTGACGCTAGTATAGGGTCAATCCTGTCGGGCTATTGGCGTGCTGCAGGTAGAGATAGTGAGAACAAAGCGCTTATGAGACCCCGTCTTGAGACAATTCTCGTCGCAGTCCTCGCAAGCAAGAAGCGCGAGTCCGCGTCAGCTTACGGATCCCTTCATCTTCAATTCGAGAAGAATTTGAGTTTGCCGTGGTCCTATCAGAATAGAGATTACGTGTTAGAGGGCAGGGCAGACTACTCCATTTGGTACGGGGCCCAGAAAAAGGAGACGAGCCTGCTATTCTTTTGTGCACAACGTCGAGGGAACATTGGCCGATATCAGGCATTATCTTCCATGGGTATGTGATACTGAGTCAACAAAAGAATTTACTGATCAATCTATGACAGCGATGCTTCATCATGGAAGGAAGAGAGCTGGTCGCAAGGATACTACAGTATATGGAATCGTTACTGATACCGAGGAGTGGCGCTTTTTGTGCATCAACAAGGAGTCTCGGGTGAGCTGTTCGACCAACCGCTGAAACTACTCTTGTGAAATATTGACTTGGGTAGTACTCAGGCTGTATTATGAGCTGGAACAAAGGACAGCAGGGGGATATTATATCAACAATCTACAAGATCCTCAACCGTGCTGCGGCGCTAGCGCAAGCTCTTGAAGCCCCCAGTCTAACAGAGTACAGGAGCGTCGAAGATTCCAGTGGTCTCGAATGGGCTGACTCAAGGGATGAGAGTCTGGAAGGTAACAGTTTCTAAAGAGAAGAGTTTGCCCGGCACGCACGTGTAGAGTGAAATCTTTACTTGGCCCGTGGGGTGTGATTGTTTTGGAGAACCCATCATCATCCGTAGTTCATCTAGAGAGAAATGGCGGAAGAATTTGCTACGAGGGGCCATAACAAAGATATAGCAATGTACATTTAGCAAGGTTTATGACAAATTAAAGACTGCATTCTATCATTGTCCAACCATGGTTTCAAAAGCAATTCCTTAAACTTACCTTGGCAGCATATTTGGACCTAGCCCACTATGTTATGGCTCGCTCTGTTGCATCTAGTCCAACATCATCCATTCACTTCCCAGATGCAACATTGATCATTCACTGCCCTGAACGTAATCCATAGCTTCATATTCACAGAACCTGTTTTCAAGTATCCAACAGTGAATAGAATCATAAAGAATAACGGTAAGTCCTGAGGACCCTTAGCATAAATACCCTCGACCTTCTTCCTTCAAGCTATCCTTTCTGCTTTACTATTTGAGATTGTTGATTGTGGCGTCCATGTTCAGCGAGACCAAAAGCACCACGCCAGAAGTCATGGAGTCATCGAATATCACGTCCGGACTGCCAGACGACAACGTCACCCATCCCTTTACCAGTCTCAGTAGACTGAATATCGAGGCGCAGAGGGTACTTGAGAGACTGAACCAGAGTGATGACGCACGGAATCAGTATATCCTTGCCCTTAATCTTCCTCAAGCCATTCGCAGTCAACCAGATGAAAACAAGAATGTCTTGCAGGGCATTAATTTTCGGTTGATGTTTGACGGAACCATCAAGATTGTCCCGTCCGAACCTCATGAGACCGCGACTTCACGTCTCCGCGAGAACATATCCCTCTCTGCCGCTTTGGCTGGGACATCGATGGATGACATCTTATGGAGTGGGAAGACCACTCACAGGCTAAGCTTGGCTGCAAACAAGGGCAAGCAAGCGGATGATTGTTTCATACCACCGACCCGACAGCCCAGAGGAAATCAGCCGCAAGGCTGGCCTTCGCTGGTTATTGAGACCGGCGTACCCGAGTCCTTGAACAGGCTCCGTCAAGAAGTGAAATGGTGGTTTGAGAACTCCCAAGGGGCCGTTCGCACCGTGATTCTGCTCAGCATTGAACGGACACGGAAGACCATTCGGTTGGAGAAGTGGCAGCTGAGCCCTCCCGGTCAGTCCGTAACTCCAGCCCAGGGTCTGCGCAGCCAGCAGATGACCATACCGCCAATACCACCCCTCGGACTCCAACAGGCAGCCAACCAGCCCGCCTTCATAGCGCAGATAGCTACTATTACACCAACCAATGCTACCGGAAGTGTTCCCGTTCATCTTCATTACCAGGCTCTATTCAATCGAGCTCCAGGCCCAGGTCAACCTGACATTCGCCTCGACGCAGCCTCACTGATGAGGGTTGGTGTGAGTTTTCAATAGGCGTTCTTCGAATGCTTACAGCTACTGTCAATCTTCGTCCTCAAACCCCTCTTGTCTGTTTGTCAGAGGCGTCCTGGTTGAACCGGTTTATTACGATTGCGAAGGGATACCAAATACAGACTGCCGGTCGACTACATCACTCATCCGTTCACCAGTTTCCATAGACTTAAATCGACGCGGGGAGAGCCCTCGAGTTAAACCAGAATGACAATGCTCAATCTGCCCCGGGTCATTTGCACTCAACTGGGGGAGTCCAAGAACGCCTCGCCGGGAATCGCGTTTCGATTCATGTTCGAGGGAAGCACTTGCCTCCAAAACGATTACCCCACCAGACGATTCAGTGTGGACATATTGGTTGACTCCTTTTTGCCCCGGAGCATTAAGGGAGGACATGGAATGTCCGGACTACAACTTACAGACCAACTGTGGCTGCAAACAGCAGCAAAAGAGGCAGATAACAAGTTTATCCCGTCATCCTAGCAGGGCAGAGATCATCCCGAAGTTGGCATTTGCTGCTAATTGAGACCGGCGTCTCAGATTCAATGGCCAGGCTTCGTCGAGATGCGAGCTGGTGGTTCAGGCATTCAGAGGTACAGTTCGCACCGTAGCCATTCTCACCGGTAGGCTTATCTTCCATGTTCATCCATGTCGGACCGCCCTCCTCTCGTCAGAACAGATCCAAAACCTGATCGTACACGATCAGGTGGAGATGACAGCGAATGTGTATCTCGTCCTGCTGATACAGGAACTGATTTCCGTGGTGGCAGCATATTCCACTAGTCAGTTATTGATACCACTTATATGGATGGACGATCCTCCTTGTGTGGGTGTCGATGATACAGCATCAAAGGAAAGAAGGAAAGACCCCAGGGATATTCTCTGCATGATACAGGCTTCTGTTCTTACTTCATTGCAGTCCCCGTTTATAGCACAGCCAGCTGGGTACCATTACACAACGATGATAGCAGCGGCACTATTAGAGACGCACGCCATACGCACCTCCTTTGCTGATGCATATCGAGACAAGAAGAGAAAATGACTCACAGTAAGTGCTGACAGGGATTCCAAAACAGCCAGACGCATCATCCTCGATAAGGAACACGCAGAAAACCAGCACTAGAACCTGCTTGAAGGCCTACAGCAGTAGTCAATACGATGCAGCTGACAGTTAATACAATGAAAGCCACTTTGGAACAGGCTGTCTACGAAACCCCCCGTTTCCCGCTGCCAAAAGACGGTCGAACAATTGATTAACGACAATAAGGATGACACATTGGGCGTCCAGAAAGTCACAAAGGACATGGAAGATGCCCTCCGCAGAGTCTAGCTTTTGTCGTCGCAACTTCGATTTCTTATCTTTCTACTTGTTGTCTGCTTTCACCGAAATCGGCTCTATTTATCTTCAGCGGGAGACAATAATTGATCGAGCTTCAGGCCCGGTCAACACAACATTCGCCTCGTTGCGGCCTCATTGGTTAGGCTTGCCGTGGGTTTGCAATAAGGGCTCTTAGAGCGGAAGGATAAGAGAATGCGAAATGGCATGTCCATAAGATCATGAGATCATGATGTATTTAAGTTGGGTGATGCTGGTTCTTCAATAACAATACCAAGTGCATCAGCATCCATCATATCCTGCAACTATAGTCTGCTTGTAGTTTTTGATAGACACTATATTATAATCTCCAGCAGAATCCAGAGCAGCTTCACACTAATGCTGGAGACAGCTAATCTTCCGGGTCCTCCTGCCAGCATTCTGCGCCGGGTGGTACCTCCATCACTGCTTCCTTACACCAAATGTGCGCAGCTTTCGACATCATTTCCCGCGTCAGAGCCTCCAGACAGCCACCTTTCACGCTCACTGTTTCGTCTCCATGAGTGCGATGCATGAGTCGTGATCCACATGACAAGCAGAATAAACATTCCAGCTCTCTACCTTTCGAGGTTCGCCGAGTATAAGTGCCGATTCTCGCAGTGCCATCTGGATGGACCACTGGTATTTCAAACCATGGAAAGACGGTTGTTATGCCACAGTAAGATGAAGACTGATGACGGCATTCTGTACAGTGGCAGGCGTATATCTTGTAAGGTGCTGGAAGTGGTGTCGTAAATCGGATGGCTCCACATTGACAACGACCCTCCATAATGAACTCTGAGTGGCTGGATCGGGAGCTGAGCGAGTTGGATGAAGTTGGGGGGACAGATGATCTGAGATTTTTGTCAGGTTGTGTGCAGACAGAGATACTCCCAGTAGAACAGCTTTGGCCATACTCATGGCTCGTATTATATCATATGGAGGATGACGATGCATCTACCCCACGTCCCCTCATCAGTGGATACTTCATCCTAAACTACATGTGGGTTAGTAGCAGACCTGACTTCACGAATACGTCGATGAGATCCTCTGACATGTTCTATCCGATTCAATACGCTAGCGTCTAGCACTGTCTATCTCCGTTTGGCTGAGTTATTATACCATCAAACTTAGGCGTAACTGTATTTGCACGATGAACTATATTATTTTTCTGCCCCTATTCTTCGGTTCCATAGAGTCCGCTTTCCTCATGTGAGGAGTGTATAATAGCTCACATTAAGGTTTCACCTTATCCTGCAGTAGCAACTGAGTATTGATCAAATACAGGCAGGAAGTCACTGCTGGTAATGGCCTCATACTGGCCAGCATGCTCTGCATGTAGGTCGCTTGAGCGTATGCGTCAGATGCAGCGTACACCTTGAGAAAATTTCATCCCTGTCTGCTAAAGCCTAAAGACTTGTTAAGCAGTACGTGTGCAGTTGAGACTAAAATATTGAATCCATTCTATTGGATAACAAGAGTGCCTTCTGTTTGAAATGCATTACCTTACTTTCCATAGATCTTAGGACTGCATCCCCGATGATAAATATCGTCAAAGATTGACTACTACAATCACTGAATAATGTAATGTACAGATTTTTAGAGCAGACAACAATTACTGGAAGTAAACGAGAGCCCCAGCTCATGTATGGAGTATTCACGTGCATACACAAAGCATTGATGTGAAAGTAGCGATATCAGACTAAGTTACAGAAATCATAAAGCCGAAAGCAGGGGGTACTTTCTTATGGACTGGTATTGGGAGGAATTCAAACAATCCAACCAAAGGATGTCATATAATATCTACACCACTAACATTCAGGACTCTACGCATTACACTAAAGGATACTGAACAGATACATGCCGAATAACACAGAAGTGGGTCTGGCATATGCTGAGTGTGATCACAGTCTCGCATTGACTGCCAAACATGTCAGAGCCATCCCTGGCTTGTGATCTGTCACAAATGAGGACGATGAAAAAGGAAAACTTAGGATGAGATTCATTTTTGTTAGCTTGTGCTGGTGATCATGCAAGAAATATAAATTTGTATACTAACTATATGACAAATAGCTTAGAAGTGATAATTTAGGCAGTTCGGATTTCTGTACGAGAACATGATCATTCAAGTTGTGTAACCAGTCCAATTCTTATCAGGCTGGTGCAGAATGATCAAAATATGTACATATTCCACTCTTAACATTTGTTCCATACCCACTTTCAGAGATTATAAAACCCAATAGATAATCACATTGGATCGCAATTCTGATTGCAAATACCAAAATCATCGTATTTTTGGTTTTGAATTCCATGACCTGTACTTCCGGAGTCCATCCGCGTAACTCGGTACTATCTTCGAATTTGTGTCAAGCCGCAATGGACATCGGAGTGTTGTCTAAAGTGGTGAAAAGTCCACAAAGTCGATTTTCCGGCTTCTTCAACCCTTAGGATATGATCTCCTAATGACATGAGGGAAAATTGCACGCAAGAAAAATGACGAAAGCTGTACAGCTTGCTCTCCTTTCCCTTTCTATTCTTGCACTCTACACGAAATATTACCTCTCCTTTCGGAATGGATTCATTGACCTATTATCGGATATGGCAGCTCGAAACTCACTTACGGGCCTTGGAGGGTTAAGGACGTACTATGCAGGATTACCTTTCCTCGATGAATTTCTGGCAGCATGTGTTATATTTTACTGGCCTATATTCCATCCAACTATGCCTTCTTTACCACTGTATGCTCTCGCCTTTGCTGGCAGTGTGTTGCCTATGTGGGTTATTATCATCCTCCAAAAATGCCGGAGGAAGTGTTTTAGAAAAGCCATGATTGAGCATGACATAAAGTCGATTTGCTGAGCTCTACCGTCAACCGCTATTTACTTACCACTAGGAGGTTATAGGAGTTCTCTGAGTGGGCTTCTGGTCCAGGCCATCGGTCCAGGGTTAATAATACCCCTTTTCCTTGCCATAGATATCACACCAGCCAGACCAGCCGGGCTCTCCGGAATCTCCAAAGACACCTTAATGCCTGTTAGCATCCCATTGTCTATGGCTATAGGCTACATATCTTTGCTGCTTCTAGCCTCTCTGCCCGCCCCGGGGATCATTTCTTACGATATAAAACAGCAAATTATTGCGCTATGGCAGGTGTGGCCGATTTCTGTTTCCTTGCTCATTTGGTTATTTCAGTGTCCGATTCATAAACCTCTACAGGAAAAGACGGAATCTACTGCGGCCACGCTAAAGTATACTTACGCATTCGCGTTTGGATGTTCTGCCATCCGTCACATGGTCGTGGTTGGAATATCAGTGCTATCACCCTCACAAGTGCCTCTGCCTGAGCGCCTGATCTACATCCAGGAGCACTCCTCTTTCCAGGTCTCCCGTAAGTGGAGCAAAGAGTTGAATACTTGGAGAAAGGTATACTACGTTTCCTTCATTGGGATTATAGACTATCTGCCCTGGCAACCTTGCTGTGGTGTTCGGCTGTATACTATCGACATGAACAGAGAGGAATCAACAGGGTATCCCTTAGTCTTAGTTTCGCGACTCTAGTTGTTTTGTGTGGACCGTGTAGCGTTGCAATTGGGCTGTGCTGGAGAGATGACCATCATCAGCTCCAGCACCCTGGAAAGCAAAAAGAAGGCAGGCTAGACCTGATTTCGATAGGCTACATATCGACAGTCATATCATACATTCGCAGGTAATCTCCAATAGTCTTTGAAGGCGTATCAAAGCATTATCATGGGTAGGGGCTGCGAACTCAAAGCTAATATACTTGATATGCATGTAAAAGAGACACTCGCAAAGAACAGGGTCATTTATAAAGTAAATTAGAATCTTGACATGTTTCCATTTAGCTACGATAAAGCAGAACTCACAATGACTCCATCTCCGTCTCATGGATGGAGAGGGAGCTCCTCCCGAAGAGCAACATGAAGATTGGTCAAAATATCCACGTTCAAGCCTTTTTGCTGGACTTGATGTCAAGTTTCTCCTTCCTCCCCCAGAGTTCCAACCAGTCTTGAATCGATGAGCCTGAGTTCCTGAGCTCGGCCATGCACATTCCACGGACAGTGTCACTCTGGATAACTCGAAGTGCGTTTCGAATATTCCGTAGTGATGGAGACTGCAGAGCCTTCGCAACCCAGTGGCCATCAGGCGCATTAAGAGCCAGAACGATGGGGAATGACAGCTCGGTGTTACGCAGGTCCTCAGCCACCGAACCCTTACTCTTGGCATACTCTGAAGAATAGACATTCTTGCAGTCATTTTGTAGTTGAGAGAACCAGCTAGCCAGGTCAGTTAGCCGGATAAGAGATGCATGATTGTCCTCACTGACCGACGGGGCAAGGAACGTACGCGATAAGGGTCATGGTCTCATCCATTGAATGATCCTCCAGAACAAGTTGTCCCAACAACCTGAATAATGCACCTGTTTTCAGCGAAGCCATTCTCCGGTAAGCCGCAACTCTCTCTTCTGGCTTGGCTGGGAAGCCACTGAGTCCATCCCTGCGCCATATGAGGGAAAGATCCTGCCCTTCAAGAATTTCCTCGAGATTCTGCATTAGCCATGATGCCAGATGTGGGAATTCAATCGTGGTCTTGTTGAGGACCTGGGTAACTCGATAGTATGCTCTGTTTGCGGTCTCTGACGGGCCATAGATTTTATGGGCAGCAGGACGTCCCCTCCGGTAATCGCTGTCATCCGCTATCTGGAGACAATTATTTTTCCGGTCAAGTCATTACTACCTAGTATTAGGTCAATCTACTCACATCGTCAACGAGCATCAGACAAAGATGGATCGCGTCCATAATCTCAAGCACCATTTTATACTTGGCAGGGTCCTCTTCTTTCAGTGTGGGAGACAGCTTCTCAACAAAAGGTGCCCAGTGGTAATGGCCGTAAATTTGACGAATGTAGCTATAAGGGCATTCTAGAGACGTGATATTGGCCGGCTCCTTCTGGCCTTTCAAATAGGTCTTTTTTGACCAGAATCTGATCTGTGGAAGACGATCGATAATGATAGCCGTGGGCGAGAGAACGATAGAAAGCGAAAGCACGATAGTGAGTAGGAAAAGGGGGAAATCTAGCAATGGAGAAAAGTCGCTCATCTTGATCGTCTAGGACGTCCGTGTATATTGAAATTGAGTAGATGTAAGGAAGGAAACCTGGATAGGATGATATCTACACGAGTCTCATAGTTCATTTATTCTATTACCGCTAGTGCCAGAAGTACTTTCAGTAAGTTCTCTCGGATCTGAGACTACCTTTTGGTGCTAATATGCACCTGCTTGCATAGTGACTATTAGACTCAAATATTTCCCTGTCGAAACTCAAAAAGCAAAACTCTTGACTCACATGTTGTGGTCCAAACGAAGCTCTATGCTTCTATGATTTTGATATGCTGGTCCATTCGGTTGAACTGTCTTGTGAGTCGAGCTTCATCATTGTGTGGCGTTGTCTAGGAATGGAAACCGAGCAGGAAGGAGTCTCCCCTCAATGATACTGCACATGAAGGATGGTATTTTTTATGGCAGTCGGGTGCTCCTGCTTCTACCGTGCATGCCATGCATGTGACTTGAACTATAACTTCTGCATGCTGCATATTCTCCACTGAGACAATGGGAAGGATAGCAGGCTCGAACATGCACTGCCCATGTTAGTAAAAGGCTAGTGATTTCAAGCAGCTACTATCTTTCTCAACCTCATTCTAATCTTATAACCGGGGACTGCATTGCTCAGCTGTCTGCACTTTCAGCAATCTGCAATCAGCCTTCGTTCATGCCTCAGTGCCCAAGAAAAATAGTTTAGGATAGCCTGTCACGTCCGAACACCCGGTCGGTCCACTTTGCGAAGCTGTTCAGCCATAACTACGACGCCCCCCAACCTGAGCAGAAATCCCCATTCTCGAGCTCGCTGGTGGCTTTCTACTTTGCATTGTATCGAAAATAACAAAGCATCAGAAATGGACGGCTTTGACGTTTCCAAGGCTCCTCCCGAGTACCGAGCTGTTGAGTCCATTGCCAACCTCTTCGTCCTTGGCATGGGTGTCGGCTGGCTGATCAATTATGTGGGGATGGTCTACAAGTCATTCAAAGATAAGACCTATGGAATGGCCATTATGCCATTGTGCTGCAATATTGCCTGGGAAGTTGTGTATGGCATAATTTATCCCTCCAAGAGCTGGGTGGAGCAAGGTGTTTCTCTTGCAGGCCTTAGCATCAATTTTGGTGTTATGTACGCTGCTGTTAGATTTGCACCAAATGAGTGGACTCATGCCCCTCTGGTGATGCACAACCTTCCACTTATCTTTGCTATTGGAATGTTCGGTTTCTTGACTGGTCATTTGGCCCTGGCAGCGGAAATCGGTCCCTCTCTTGCTTACTCGTGGGGGCCGTGGTGTGCCAGTTACTCCTCAGTATCGGAGGACTTTGTCAATTGCTTTGCAGGGGGAGCACACGTGGAGCTTCTTACACCCTATGGTAAATGCTCTATACCTTGGTTTCTTGCTACAGCTAACATCAGGAGGCTGTCTCGTTTTTTTGGATCGTCATGCACGGTGGTATTCGCATCCCTGAGATGGAAATACTGGCCTGAGTCGTTTGCTTGGTTGAACAGTCCCCTTGTTCTGTGGAGCTTGGCTGTCTTTCTTCTCACAGACGCCTCTTATGGTGTCTGCTACTGGTATGTGAGACGGTACGAGGAGTCACTCGAGGGAAAGAATAAGCAAATATAAGGTTAGGGATCAACCAGGTAAGGGGCTTCACGAACAGCGACCGGCTTTTCAGTCCGCCAATCACTTCATGTATGGCACAGGTTGATGCTCGCTCAACCCTCCGTGTTGCGACAATATTATGGTTATTATTGGGTTGGAAGGGTGTCAACTTCTTAAGTAGTTAGGTATACTTGCATTGCAGAAAGGGTAAAAGATTGTGTTTTTGAATGTTATTTGGTCTGTACTGTTATAAATCCCCAGAAATGCACAACGTGGTTGGTCTAATGTACATGAGTCTCTTGCAGAACTGCAGGCAGTCTCCAAGATGAACAGCCCATTGTGTAATCAATTGTCGACGACTGGTCATATATGTGCTGGGATTGCCCTGACATGGAACAACAAGGATATAATGCTAATGTTCTGTGTGATCTACGCGTAATATATGCAGTACGCCACGTCATATACTTCTACAAATACATTAACCTGTAATCAGACTCCCTAGTTTCCTAACTGGTAACGTAAGGTAACTTATATGTAATATATCATAATATCTCCTGCAAGTGACCCACTTGTCCCGCGTGTGCGAGGTCTTGCAGCCCTTCATTTCTGATCAATTGATTAGTGAGGGGCTTAGAGTCATCTTTTTTGGCGTATGTCTTCAGGTGCCTCATACTGAATATAGGCATCGATTGAACCAAGAGGAAGTCGTTCTGAAAGGCCGCACTACTGGGGCTGTGCCAATGTCTATGATTTGCTTTTGCTATCATCGTTTGCTGTATAGACTCCTCACCAGACTTCGAACACAATGACAAAGTCACACGCCCCTCGTCAGTCTTACTCGAGTCGAGAAACTGTTCAATCTGGCTGCTCGGCCATTGATCGGCCTGGGTTCAAGGTTATCGTTGTTGGTGGATCAATTGCGGGTTTGACATTGGCCCACTGTTTAGACCGAGCAGGAATCGATCATATCGTTCTCGAGAAAGCGAAAGACATAGCGCCGCAGCTTGGTACCTCCATTGGCATCTCGCCAAACGGGGCGCGGATTCTTGACCAGCTTGGAGTCTACGAGGAAATCGAAAAGTGTATTGAACCACTAAACGTTGCAACGGTGAGCTATCCAGATGGCTTCCATTTCAGCAGCCGCTATCCCGAAATCATCGGCCAGAGGTCTGTCACAGTCCAACCTCTCCAAAGCCATATTTTTGGACATAAGAATTTATGTTGGGCATAAAACAGGTTCGGCTTTCCGATAGCTTTCCTGGATCGACAGAAATTGCTCCAAATTCTCTACAACAGATACCCAAAGAAGCACAATATCTGTCTCAACAAAAAGGTGGTCAGCATCCAAACGTTAGGAGACGATCTGGGCGTGACTACCGAAGATGGAAGCATTTATACAGGGCAGCTGGTCGTCGGTGCAGATGGTGTTCATAGTCGAGTGCGGTCAGAGATGTGGAAAGCAGGAGAGAAACAGAGTACTGGTCTGGTCAGCGAGCGCGAACGAACAGGTAAGTACCTAGCACGGCATACCTGATTCAAATCGCTTTTTTTATTCCCTTGTATTTGCAGTAGACTAAAAATCTCTGTAATTTGCCCTGCCAGGTATGACTGTTGAATACAGCTGCATCTTCGGCATTTCTTCACCTATCAAAGGACTAGAGATGGGAGATCAAGTCAACGCATTCTTTGATCGCCTCACCATTATCACCATCCATGGAAAAGACAGTCGTATTTTCTGGTTTGTGATCCAGAAGCTTGATGAGAAATACACCTACCCTAATAGTCCTCGCTTCACTGATGCCGATGCCGCAGCTATGGCTGAGAAGTTGAAAGATGTACGATTTTACAGAGATATCACCTTTGGACAGGTATGGACGAACAAGGAAGTTGCTTCAATGACAGCATTGGAAGAGACCATCTTTCAAACATGGCACCATGGGCGTATGGCTCTCATGGGTGATAGCGTCCACAAGGTATGAGAAGTAAAATCTCCTACAAGTTTTCTTTTCTTGCCTCGTCTGTCTCGTCCCCTGTACTAACATCGCCGTCTCGCACTGATGACACCAAATATCGGGCAAGGAGCAAACTGTGCTATAGAAGATGCCGCTACTCTGGCCACCCTTTTGAACAACCTCGTGGATGTGGCCAACGCAAAACTACCTTCAAACGCAGAAATTGAGACCCTGCTTCAACGCTACAGGAAAATACGATACAGCCGTGTCAAGTCTATTTATAAAACCTCCAGATTCCTTGTTCGGCTTCAAGCTCGTGACGGGTTCCTCAAGGCCATGTTTGGACGCTACTTTGTGCCGTACGCGGGAGATCTGCCGGCTGAGCTAGGGTCCAAGGCGATTGCTGATGGTGAAGTTGTTGGATTTTTACCTCTTCCATCACGATCCGGACCGGGTTGGGTCGACTACAGCAGTAAGGGCAGGGGTTGGGCACAAACACTTCAATTCGCGCTCGCCATCATTCTACTGGCATTGGTTTTGCAGTGGACTGGAAATATGACGCCCTCTCTCTTCTTGTGGTCGGACTGAGGTGGTGGCCAAGATTCATTGATTAGTTGTGGTGTCAAGTGGTTTAGCAAAGATGTTGTGAAGCGAGGATAGAAAGGAAGACCATTGTGTTTTTGGCTTGCAGGTCATAATGTAGTCTATAGACTCTTTTCATCAGACACCCGATTGAAGAGTATATGCACCTCCAAGGATGTATCTCATTTCCTTGAGAGTTGATTCTGGCGCTTTAGCGTATCAGGAGGGACTTGAATTCGCTCAATGGCACAGCTGAGGCCAAGGCACAGATTACGAGTAGTGAACTAAGCGGAAGGTCAGAATGATCCTGACCTGCGTCGACATATCGGAGTCAATCACGAGAGAGCGATGATGCTGTGACCATCTTTCTATTGTATATAAAATCACTATGTCCAATGTGGAGAAGATGACCCATGGGGAGTCATACTATGTCATGCTGTGGAATTTTGCGTGGATAGAAGGGGCTCTCACTGTTGTAATCTATAATAATGGAGAGGATAATGATGGTCTTGTGGTCAAGGGTCCCTAACCCAAGCATAAATATCAGGATTAAAGATGTGAAGAGCAGCAAGAGGTTTAATGAATCAAGTATAGAATTCCATAACAGTTGTTTAAGGAGACAGAAAGTAGAATAAACCAAGCAGTAAAGTTCATAACAAGGCACAAAACTAGCATTAAGAACTTCCATGGCGAAAATCTGCCCTATGCACCTAAGTATCTGCGGAAAGCTTGAGAGGCTGGAACAACAGTACAATACATAGTTTGAAAAATACCAAATGCTAATGTTGGCAAGAAGGGTCGTATGACATACAAACATCAAAGGAATAACACATGTTGCATTTCTAATTACAGCCCATAGTAAGAGTAGATTATACTAGATACACAGTGTGTATTAAGCTTGCTTTATCTTCTTTGCCAACTCCTTAGCAGTCTGTCTGTAGGGCTACCTGAATTCCACCTGCATGAAGCAGCGGTATTCCTATCTCTAGTCTGGAAAGTAAAAGTAGCACAACATATTCTCTCCACTTTTCCTCTCAGCTTAACTTTCCTTGCAGCTCCCACTTCTGTAATGTTCTGGGCCTCTTCGCAATGAGCACTTTAACTTCAGACTAAAACTTCAACCTGCAGTAGTAGCTGCCAACTCGCCACGTCAGTACCTCTATCACCACTAAGGCCAAGTCTGTGCATTTTGCTGAAAAATGGTCTTGCAGTATTACTAACTTGAAGCTGATTGCCAAGGCTCCACTCCTGGCGATGATATTGAGCCTTCTGAGCACTAGATCTCTACAAGTAATTTCACAGCCAATGACTCCTAAGGGAAAAATGAAAATAAAAATAAGCATGCAAATGTAGTGCTTTTGCTGCTTGTTAGCTTTTTGATTGAGAAACCTCAGCGTTGTTTTAGCATGAATGAAATTTGGGTTTGACAGTCTCCACAATGTGGGGCTTTTCCTCAGATCAATTCTTCGGTGGGACATCGTGTCAATTTGGCCTGTTGTCTGAGTCTATTCATTTATCTGTTCAAATTTTGCACCTTTCTTTGCCTTTACCCTCCTTTCAGTATCTACATACAGAAATTGTGCATTTAAGTAAATTTACAACTTTCTAAGCACCTCAGCAGAGCACAGATCCATACAAAGAGTCTGTTCACCACAAGTCATAACTGTGAATCTTATATCTCAATATTATTTCGAGACAGCTACATCATTAAAAGGTCACCAGGTTCTAGTGACCAGAGACATGCAGGCTGACCATTCAGCAAGACTGTCTTCCTCTTTCTATAATCGAACATTCTCGCTGTTATTGAAAGTCACCATAGGGTAATACGTCTTGACACAACACTATAAAAAAGGGTATTGCTGTTCAGTCAACAATGACCTGAACAGCTCTGCTGTAGTTCTGTGTCACTAACTATTTACATCCAACAGATGGATTCCTATTTTTTATCTCGCCGTGGGTTTTCCTCGGGATGGGAGAATCGACGAATATCCATTGCAACTAAGGCGGATGTAATCCTACGTACAAAATGGGTGCAGACGTGGCTTATAGACTTTCGTCCCTTGATAGTATGAAGAGAGCCTTGCTTGAGCTGCATCGAACATAGTCCCTGTATTTTCAAGGTGAATTCCCAATCTAAACCACCAACGAACGAAGAAATAAACATTAAATATGCCTCATTTCAAACAATGTCAGGCGTATTTCTTTCTAAAACTGTCACGAAAAAGGGTCGGTCAGAAATGCTTATGGCTGACATGGGAATATGTGATAACTCAGCGACTGGGTCAGTTGCTGACAGCTGAAAACAAGTATTAGTATTCCATTAATTGTGCGGCAAACGGGGAGGAAGTACTGACCTTGATGCGTAGTAACAACGATGCCAGAAGCTTATATATAATAAGCCTTAAAATATTCTGCCCGACGCAATTATGGGCACCGTACGCGAAGGTAAGGATAGAGCGTTCCATGACTAGTCGTTCCTCATCAGTACACTCGAGCCATCTTTCAGGTCTGAACTTATGGACATCGAATCCAAAGCTGCTATTGCGGTGAATAACATGCTGCACACAGCGCACCGTGGTACCGGGTGGGATGTCCTGTCCATATACGTGTGGTCCAACCTGACGCTCAATGACAAACCTTGTCAGAGTTCTATAACGCATCGCTTCTTTTATGTCGGCGTCCAAATATCGAAGGTTCCGTATATCTTTCCACTTTGGTGGATAGGACAGGCGTCCATGGGCAACAGCAGCATCAAGTTCGTCCTGGACTTTAGAGAGAGAAGCGGGATGCTTGAGCAAATCGTAAGCATAAAGATAAGTGTAGAAGAAGTATTTTGCACACCACCAAGCAGGGCAGTGTAGGTCAAATCAATCACACCGTCCATACTGTATAAGTCAGGATGTCTCCGGAACACCTCAAGGAAATAGCCAAGAAGGTCATTTTGATCAGACTTCTGGGCAGCGTGGTATCGAGCATGAGCTAATGACTCCGCGCGAAGGACAAGGCCATTCCTTGGATTTATAAAGTAGCTGACAATGTAGTTCAAAGCTCTCCCGAAGGTTGGAACGGTAATGAGAAAGACTATAATAGCGGAACGCAAATATTGTCAATGTAAAGACGCCGTCGACGTCCCTACCTTGCTTCATCATGTGCGCGCCGTGGGAGAAGCCGATCCGGTTTATGGCGTCCAAGGCAAAAAGAGGGATCCATTTGGTAATATCAACATCTCTCATGCGGCTCAAGTGTGTCTCGAACTCGCTGATAGTCTCTTCGATCCGCGGTTCAAACCCGAGGACTGATTCCAGTCGCTAATAAGGTGCCACTGGTCGTCTCAGAGCCGAGTGGAACTTTTCGTCTAGGATACCTTCCCACCCCATAATTCTCTTCCCCTTAACATAAGCAATAAGCATTTGATACAAAGTTCCCTATCCGAAAGGTCAGTGTTCTCGAAAGTAAACCAGTTAGAAGCTTACCTTCGGCAAACGGTAGATGTTCTTGATCTCTGCAGGATCTGCAACGCTGACATGGTTTGGACCGACGCGCACCAATGGTCCATGTCTTTTGTGAAGCTCTAGGACAACCTCCGGTAGGTCACCCTTCAATATGTGAATGGCTTGCCAAAGGGTTGTAAAGCGAGCAATCCAAGGGCCATTCAGGTGCCGAAGCTTGAGCCAACGCTGCAGGAGCAAAGTGAATAGTACTAGGCATGTTATGAATGTATACATTGTCTGGCTAAACGTTGAACAAAAATAATGGGCTATTTCAGAGAAGGAATGTAAAGCACAGGATAATACACATAGGAGATACCAAGCCTACGCTCATTAAGAGCAAAAATTCTTTTAGATGTAGGGTGAGCTTTAGTGCCATCTAGGGCCACGATCAAAAAGACCATAGCATTTGGCAAATAGAAGTTAACAATGGCGATCCAACAGTATGAATGTTTTTCTATTGACTAACAGCCACAGCTCCTCCCTTGCATATGTACGAAAGCCGACTGATCAGGCAATTACCTAAGGGAACTGTTAGTCGTTCTCACATGTAACAGTCACAACTTAGTATATGTACCTAACTGGCCCTCCTTCTCTTTTTGCTTATTGTTATCTCATTGTCTCCGAAAAACTTTGCTTCTGCCCTGTTTTGTCAATAGCTCAATTCCTTGTATGATATAGTATCAGTACTATATCAACAGGTTTGTATTACCCTCGCGACACACCTGCCTGCATAGTGTCAACCCACGTTTTGTCATCCAGAATTGAAAATTACAGAGCTAGTACCACATCATTTATTATATTAACTATTTTCACTGATTTTTATTGTTATATGTATCCAATCAACATATCCACTCAGATTGTTATATATAGGATCTTATTGTTGGTTAGAATAGTGGATCAGAGCTCTTTGGCCAGTACAAGGCGTATATGAGTTTGGTGTCATGTTCAGAGATAGCTATATGTGGACAACCCTCTGTCTACATGTCTAAATCTTGGGTTTCCCAGCTAAGAATGCTACTGTCCCAACAATCTCTTTCCTCTCTTCTTCTCCCAGCTTAATCCCAAACACACTCTCTAGGGCATTGAGCCTCTCCTCTTCAGATCCGAATCTCATTCGCCGTGACAATTTGCCCCCTTGGAACCAAGTCATAGCGTCATTCCAGATCATCGCCCAACCAACAGGCTTCCTGTCTTTCAGCACGATCCGAAATGCAATCACTCGGTACATAAACCAGGCTCGCTTGTTACCACGAACCGCACGCTCTACGGCTTGGTAATCGCTTTCAAGCCACTCGCTCTCCGTGAAGGCGTATATGTCCGTCCAATCCGGACTGCTGTCAAACAGGAACTGCAGCCGCCAGTACTTGAGATGTCTGGCACGACCCTGGTCAATCGGGGCATGAACAAGTCTGCCTCGTCGTCCGAGGTTCCCGTCACCATCAGTAAACTCGAGTCCATCTCGAAGCAGGACAGGGCCTACCGGGCCGTTGGGGCCAAATCCTGCGTCAACGAGGAAGTCGTTCCCATCTAGCCGGACGATGAGAATCATATGTTGCCTTTTACGGTCAGCACACGTACACCGACGATGACATGGTTGAGAGAAGGAAAGAATAACCAATCTCCAAAATTCGCGCGGCCATCCTTGTCCTGCGCTGCCACGCTGGCCGATTTGTTTGTGCGTGCCCCACTCATGTACAGCTCAAACCCCAGTGTCAGCAACACTTCACCGAATAACCGAGTGATTTGAAAGCAGGTACCGCCCTGCCGGCGCCGAACAATCTTCTCGTGTAACAACGACGGGCTGAGAACTAGAATGCGATCGACGGAATAGTGAAGAGCGGTGTTTTCGAAGGGCACAGCGGCCAGATGGTGATGGAGAAGACAGGTCAGCGACTCCAGGCGATCCCTACCCGCTAATAAGGCCTCGCGGGCGTCGTTGGGTAAGTTGACACGGTCGAAGTAGCCGGTAAGTTGGGCTTGCGTATATGCCATGATGGATAACGACCACCTGAGTGGCCGGTGTTGAGTATATCAGGAGAGCAAGGTGCATGAGGTGCTAGATATCTCACGCTGTGACCAGGCTTTGATATACTTAGCGACGTTACATCGTTGCCTAGTAGTCTATGAGGGATAGATCTATCATGGCTTGTGGCTCTAGGGTAGAGCCTTGTCATTAATGATGGACCTCGCATCCAATCTCACGATTACCCAACAGAATTCAGGGATCCCAGCAAGCGGCGAATCAAAGAGCAAATCAGAAATGGTCAAAGATTATCGAGTGCCGCCAAGAGTCAACCCCTGCTTCTCTTTAGGGGGCCCGTCCAATACGAACTCACTGCTTCAGCGGACGACATGGATATCAGACTGTGCGCCGCCAGGGCTTGCTCATATAGACGTGGCGCAAGTCCTCGGCTATGGGGAATGGTGGGCGCTGATAACAGAAGCCATCGATTCAGAGAGCCAGGGGTCCACAAAGGTGAATCAAGCGTTTACCGAAGTAGCCTCCTGTCCTGCTTGCTTGATCGGGACTAACCGCCAGCACGGGCATGGGCTCACAGCCAGGTCGGTCGCTGCTTAACACACGACTCATCAATACAAGCCATCACAAACAGCAGGAATGACTTGTCCGACCTACGGTCCAAGCTGGTAATGACGTCGTGAGGCAAAAGGAAACCAGTTTCACTGGGCCGTTCCCTGGTGCCTTCTTTATCTCTTTGCACAGTCGGATGCGCTCGCAAATTGCGCTTCTCGATCAGCTTTTGACAATGATCAATGCTGATAGTCGTCGTCGACGACTGAAAGAGCATACTTTCCAGCTCAACTATGCTTTAACGCATATATGCTCAGCTTAGCGCACAGGAATCGCCTCACCATCTCTATCCGGAGTGGTGATTCCACTCCACAAACCCTGAGTCAAGACGACTTGCGCGATCAAACAAGAACCAGAGGCCGTTTGCACCAACGTTCTACACCTCGAGATCGTAAGGAGTGCTAATGGCTGGGATTCCATAGTCGCACTCTGCCTGGGGTGGTACATTCCTCATTGATCCTCCGGCTACCCCATGCTCTCCTTGGTAGCCGAACTGTCTCGTGCTCTGGAGTCAGATCTCTATCAGACTAGTCAAGGTCAATGCAACTGCCTAGCTTGAGTGAGTCGAAAGATTATGTCGCACACCAAAGTGAGACATGCAGGGCGCTAGCCGAATTGTCATGTACCATTCCGCGCTATCGTAGGGGTAACGAGCCATTCATCCTCCATTGCATATATGGCAATGTCTAATCCCTCCTAAGGCCAAGACGCCTATTGTAAGACAGCAGAGTGTTAAAGGGTTGAAGATGGTTCTGTTATGGAACACTGATGGATAGTCACTAGCAGCTATACTCCCGAACGAGACTCTGACCTTGAGCCTCTACAGTCGGCGCCAAACAAATGTGTAATTGGCCAGAATAATGTCCACCAACCTTGGCAAGTGTGTGCACAGCCTATAACAAAGCAGACTTGTATTAGTACCAAGCCAGGCTCCATTAGCCAAATCATAGAGCAATAACCCTTTCAGAATTAGCTGCTGTTTTACTGAGAATACGGCGAACAAGGTACAAGTTCTTGTAGCTCAAGTCTAAGCCACAGCCACGTAGTCCATGTGCAATGCAGACACAAAACCCCTGACATCCCCTGAAGAAGAATGTGCGGCTATTCCATATTCGTCGATATGTGAGATCCACCCGAATTCCAGGATGCCTCGATCACGAGTTCCACAATCCCCGGCGTTCATCCACCTGGCCAGCAGGCTGAGTGGACTGGCGTTCAGCATAGCATGTTTCTATTACCTGCTATATCTGGCAACTCACTGGGGCGATCGACACACCTATTTTGCCATCTTCGCAGTAAGCGACCGTTGCTTTAACTATGGACGTATCTGACCTTGCAGGTATCCACTGCGATAGTCGTCGATCTGATCGAGGTCTGCGGTCTCCTCGACGTCTCATTCACTCTCAAGCGGCTGGACGTGGGCTGGCTGATTTCCGGTAACGTCGTCTCGATGGTTCTGGGAGTTATAGGATGTCTCCAGCTGGCGTTCAGCGACTGGGGTCTGAGCAATGCTCCGTCTGATTATCCTCGTCCGTGGATGGACACGTTGGACCTGGCGTTCATTTTGATGATTCCTTTTTCCGTATGTTTGTCCCCTGGTTTAGGGATTTGGCTGATGATGTAGCATCGCGCGTTTGATTTTTTCGATACTCGAGTGTGTGATCTGTTGCAGGATGCGTCGGAGGTTGAGGGAGAAGCGTGGAAAAGAGGGAAGAGGGACTGCATTGGCGTCGATGTCTCCTGTTGCTGTGGGTGCTAAGGAAACGCCAAACGATGCTTGATCAGTGCAAATGTACTTTGCATTAATGCTGTATGCTGACGGAATGAGTATGACATCAGTTACTTACTAACTATCCAGTGGTATCAAATCATTTGACCATCAATTCAGTCTAATGAGGCACAGTAATATCATTGGTGGGGTAAGAATTTGGTGATATACCTTTGGACTGTATGTACTTGGCACATCAGGAACATACCAAATTTTCTATGAAAATGACCCACCAACAAACCTGGATAACAATATTGATGTGATGTAATGTGGGCCAACAATCTGTTGAAATTGTTGATAGTTTACCCAATTGGATCGACACGCCAGGAGAATCAACGATATCGAATGCTAATTGACTGATGTGCTGCCGAGGACCCAGATGAGATCCACTCATTACGCCATGAGCCCACAATTCGACACCAGACAAGATATAGGCCGATCTTTCGGTTTGGAGGTATCCAGTAGCCGGTAATGAATGGGATTGCGCAAGTTGCCTGTCATCCGAATGCTGTGTTCGTTAACCGAGGTTTCAGTGCGCGGAAAAGTCAATTCCTTCAGTGGATATTTTTGTTGTCTGTTTACTACTCTTCAATATACCAATTGATACTCAGATTGGCGTCACTGGAATGATCGAGGAGTAAACAACATGGACGAAAGACCTCCCAGACGTCCGCGAGCGAAGGTACGTAAAGTCTCACGACTGATGAAGTAGGACACATGTTGACAGCAAATAGTCCGAAGCAGTAAGACGACTACGAGATCCGACAGAAGCAGCCGCATCACCAACTAGGAGCACTCCAGCAGCCGGTCGTGCGGATTTCATCTCGCCCACCAGACGCGCCTCTGGCCTCGAAGGCCCCGAAGCCTCAGGGATAGCCAATTCTGGTCTCCGGCGACGACGCAGCGGAGTACCAAGCCTCACATCCCGCACCACACTGGCACAGCGAACACAGGGGAAATTCACTTTAGCCGGTCCAGAGGAAACAGCTCAACTCAGACTCGCCCACGAACCATTCGTCCATCCCGGATACACAGAGCTCAACCCTGCATATGAGCAGCCTGCAAACGCAAAGCCGGTATGGAGTTTAGCGAAGCCCCTGCCGCGGGTGGTGCGGCCGGGCATGGTTCCCACCAAGGAGGAGTTACTGGAGGCGCGGGCGAACGCGCAGTTGCCGGCGGAGAACTCGCAGAAGATGGGGCTGGAGGTTGATCCTAATGATCTTGAAGCTGGGCAGATCGAGAAGACCGCGGATCCGCGCAAGATGGCGGCGCAGGTGGAGGATGCGCGCGTGCAGCGGGAGAATAACTTTGTGAATAAGATACTGACTGGGGATGGGGGGTCAACCCGGCGGCTATCGCGTACGTCGTCGGCTCGTATGCGGCGTCCATCATATGTGGAGGGCGCGGTGGACCAGTTATCGACCTTACAGGAAGGTGAGCATCCGGCGGAGACGCAGCAGCCTGAAGTCCCCGGCCAGCCGCAGTCTCCCCAGCCGCAGCAGGATCTCACTGCTGAGGCTCTGCAGCCCGTACCCGAGGAGCTCGAGCATCATCTAGACGAGCATGAGCACGACCAGGAATACGAGGACGAGCACGAGGACAAGGATGATATGGCCGACTTTCCTACGCTCGACCACGCGGCTTACCCGGAGGACCTGCATCCCCTCGTCCAGGAGCTTGTCGAGGAGGAAGTGCACAACAACCACACAACCTGGTCCGTCATCCGCACGCACCACCGCGAGGAGCTCGCCGAGGCCCTGGCTGTCTTCGTCCAGCTCACCGTCGGCCTGTCCGCGGATCTGTCCGTCACACTAACCGGCGCAGGGAACCCCAACACCACAGCGTGGGCGTGGGGATTCGCTGCCATGATGGCCATCTACATTTCCGGTGGTGTGTCGGGCGCGCACCTCAACCCAACCATCACGGTCATGCTATGGTTCTACCGCGGATTCCCCAAACGGAAGATGCCGGCTTACTTCGCGGCGCAGTACCTCGGCGCGTTCATCGCCGCGCTGTCAGTGTACGGGCTGTACTACCACTCCATCCAGCAATACCTATCCACCAACACACCAACCGACATCATCAACAGCTTCATCACTAGCCAGCGGCAAACATGGATCGGGCCTGCGACAGCGTTCTTCAACGAGTTCATCGGAACGGTCTGTCTCACTGTAACGGTCCTAGCACTGGGCGACGACCAGAACGCTCCCCCCGGAGCCGGCATGAACTCGCTCATCATCGGCCTCGTCGTTGCGTGTCTCAGCATGACATTCTCGTATCAGACAGGCGCGGCATTCAACCCCAGCCGCGACTTTGGGCCGCGGTTGGCACTGCTGGCGCTGGGGTACGGGAGTGAGCTGTTCACGAATCCGTATTGGTTCTATGGGCCGTGGGCGGGATCCTTGGCCGGGTCACTCTTTGGAGCGTTTCTGTACGATTTCATGATCTTTACGGGAGGAGAAAGTCCTGTCAACTATCCTCTCTCCAGAACGCAGAGGGCGATGCGAAAGAGTAGGGCGAAGTGGAAGAGGAGGCTGCATTTGGGGAGGGAGAAGACCGTTGTTCAGTAGGTGAAGTCCTCATATGTATAGATACATAAGACATGAACAACATCAAATATGTACATAGTTCTAACGTAGACTACCGGCATCATGAATATATCTATCAGGCTTATACTGCGTCATCAGCCCATCGGTGACCATTTTCCCCTCAACAGTTGCGGACTTCCTTTTTGGGTAGTCAATGCATCCCAGAGGTCATATCATCATCACTTCTCACGTGATCCTCTATACACCACCATATACTAGCAGAATCAATCAAACCTATTCAGATTTAAACATCAGAGGCCTTCTCAGCCCCATTCTCGTCCCTCTCGCTCGTCTCCTCCGGGTCCCACGTCGACTCACGCATGAACGGACTGCGCCTCCGAATCTGCGGCCCCTTGAGCACCAGAACGACAGGCACAAGCGACAGAGCAGCCCCAATGAAGCCAAGCAATGAACCAGCCCATCCAAAACCAAGATTACTAAATAACTGTGGCGACGCGAGCGGGAGGAACGCTCCGAACGAGTTTCGACCCAACGATGCAGCAGACAATGCCGACGCAGCGTATTTCTCATACGCGTCGGTCAGATAGTTAACGACACCCATGTAAATTGCGTAGATGCCAATGCCAGCAGCTGTAATTCCAATCGTGGGAACAATCCAGTGGACGTCGGGCTGGCTGGCCCAGCCGTACCAGAACAGCCCGGCGGTGAAGAGTAGACTACCCGGGATGGAGGTGTACAGTCTTGCTTCCGGGATAGGACGACCGGGTTTCTCTGTGTTTCGCTTCGCAGAACGCAGGTAGAGCCAGTCCTGGAAGGGATTGATGGCGGTGGCGATGACCGCCCCGACGGAGATGGCTAGCTGGACCAGGCCAGTAGCCAATACGCCCCAGCCATAGTTAGTGCTGTACGTTTGGACCACGCTCGAGAAGAACAGGTACAAGATCCCCCAGGCGAAACTGATCCACAGGGTGAAGAACTGGACGACTGGCTCGGAGACTAACATCCGGGCGGGCCGGCCGAAGGAGATCTTGAGGAGGCGCATGGTACTCGGGGCGTTCAGCTCGGACGCCGCATAGACGTGCCGTCCGGTCTCCTTGCGGATTTTGCGCGCTCGTCGTTTGAGAATCACGTCTGGACGGGTCCCGCGGAGGATGAGCCAGAAGATGGGGATGAGGGCGGCGTTGTAGATGATCTGGACGTAGAAGATCCTGTTGCCATCATTAGAGGTTGTCTGTCAATAAAACTTGTGGTCACTTACCACCTCCACGGGTCATCCCTGTGAATCTGCACAATTGCAGATCCGATGAATGGACCCAAAGCAATTCCGATCACACTTGTAAATCCGAATAGAGACATGGGCAGACTGCGGGCTTTGCCGCCCTTCCACACATCACTGATACTCCCTCCGACAATATTGATCGAGACAGACGACGCACCACCGCCAAAGAAGCGAGTGACTACAATTGTAGCAAAATTGTGGGCGAAGGCTGATCCGAATAGCGTAGCGACGAGGATAATGTATGAGACAAAGTAGCCAGGCATGCGACCGGAGGATTCGGTGAGAGGCACGAATATCAACGGCCAAAAGGCCGCGCCCATGTTCCACGAGGTCGTAGCCCAATAGAGATTTGGGAAAGGAGAGTTCTGGACATGCCATTCGTTCTCCATCCAGTTATTCCCGGATCCATACGTTCCGGCGGGGAGACCGGTCAGGATGGAACTATAGAGTCAGCTCTTGCCCCTCTGTCTGAAATTGAGCACAGTTGCAACTCACATGAAGCAGACCGTCAAAGTAAGTAGCCATTTGTACTTGGTACTCCAATTGAACCTAAAGTCTCTTAGTCGACATTTCTTGACTTCCCTTTCTCACTTACGGATTCTCAGGATCATCCGGCCCATCCCAAGTGTGAATCTCGATATCTGTGGTATCGCGTATCTCTCCAGTGATGTCTTCAATGCCAAAATATCCTTTGATTCTGAAGATAGTCAGTATCTCAGGACTGTATCAACTGCATCAACTGCATCACACCGACCTATCCATCAGTCTCTTTTTTGGCAGTTGGGTGTTGGTCGCAGAGTTTGCGGGCATTGCGTCATCGACTGGTTGGGACGAACCCCCATTGCGGACCTCTGTTTGAGCCATCTCGATGTCAATTCACATCCAAGACACTGTAGACCCCAAATGATATAGGGATGAAGAACAATTATGAGTTGAGGAGACGAAAAGAAACGAAAGATGAAAAAAAAATTCAAAATCTACGCCCCATCGTCAAGTGATCATGACCACAGTATGTAAGTATATCCGCTTCGGCATGCCGAGAACTCCGTCCCGGCACCGTGGAATAGGCCCTACCATTGGCTCCAGTGCGCCCTATGCCGTCATCGACTGGCCTAAATTCGATGGCAATGATCTCAGGTTGGTTGATCCAGCTCTCGGGCATTTGATCATCTCGTTATTCATGGTTCATACATCCAGTGGCGTGGGTTCAGCTCTCCATGCGATCCGATTGTGGTACTCTACGTAGTAAGCAGTTTCTTTCATTGCCACAGATTATTCATATGGATGGCTTACTACTGCCTTCAATCCGTGTGTACTGACAATTCTAATTGGACTGCCGGATTGCAGGACATATGTGCTAACCTTAAATGTGCTGTACTCTTTATGACGTAATAACATGAAGAATAGCAGAGGATAGTTATGGTTGACACTGTTTCAGAAGCTCAGACAGTTAATGTGCAATGGTGGATAGAAAATTATAGTAATGCAATTCACCCTACAACACTTATAAGAGTAGGCACTCTAAAGCAGTATTACTATACTAGTCCATATAATTGAATATGTTCAGATTCGATGCTGTGAGTGCATAAGTGCGCTGTTTTTCTGTAAGTCCTGTCTAATTATCTGATATAGGTGCTGCCTTATTGTTAGAGTTAACCATGGCTATATTATCCTCTCTTAGTGGCTTCTAGCTTTGTTTACTACCTTGAGTACAGTCCCTGTCTTTTAGGTAGAGGGGACAGATGGCTTTCAAGGCAGAACATTCTTAATTTCTCTCAGGGGGTTCTGCTTCTAGTACTTCACTATATGTAAAGGGATCCCCTGCAAGGCCAAGCAACTCCGACTACCTGGCGCGCAACTATATCAAACAGGCTGGCTCAGTTACTGTCCAAGTAGGAGTTGGAGAGCTTGTTCCCTTTACTTTTATGTGGGCCAATGGTGGCGGTCCTGGTCAGGCGTACCTGACCATAACTGACCCTGCTGGTAAGGCCCATGCGGACACGACGGGCTTCTTTGTTCCAGCAAATAGCACTTGTCCTGGCTACACTGATCCGTTCTCTCCTTAATATGATTGTGGGATATGATATTCATACCGAGTATGGCCCCAGTTTATTTCCTTTCATAATGGTCGGCGGGTAGAAAACTCATACTAGACTCAACTGCGCGCTTTCAATATATTAGCTACGTCGTTTGCCTTGTTGCTAATATGGTTACGCTGCGGGCCATGCACTATAATTCACAGGGGTGTGGGCTGGAAAATGGGCAACATAAGATGTATACAATCTCAGCTCGAGGTCGACGATCCTGTCGGATCTACTGTCGCCAGTTCCACACTCACGCATTGTACTATAGTTATTCTCTGATCAAATGGGGGATGAAAGCGGAGGAACACAGAATGGATGGCTGCGGATCAGCAGGGAGTTGATCTCTTTCTCACTCGTGTGCGTTAAGTCTATGTTTTGGTTGTGCATGTTGCAGTCTATAACTACGTCTATGTGTCTCGAGTTCAATAAGACTATCGACTTTAGAAGTGGGTACCAGTGGAGGATGAGGAACCCTTATTAATTGAGTCCTGAGTGCGTGTAGATCCTGGCCAGACCTGCATGAAGGTAGATAGCTCAGGGAGACATCATATCTCTGACCTCTGTGGCTTAGCTGGAACCGGCATTCAGGACTACATTGGCCGGGCATGATATTAGACAGAACCCACGTTTGCAGCGGAGCTCGATATTGGAATACATGTTTTGGACAACCCTAGTAGATCATCTCTCGTACCCTAATATGTTATTGGTAGAACCCTCGATGTTAAATCCCGTTTCCTTGGTGCTCTCAGCTCAGTTGGCTTCAGACACTTGATAAGCAGATAAAGTAGTTTTAGTGCCTTACATAATAAATCTCTCCAGTTGCCACCGGAGGATCAATAGAATATCCTCTTGATATCTCATATCGTGAGTCCGTCCTGTTTGGGCGCTTCTCAACCTCCTTGTGACCTGATGAGCCCAGACTGCCTGCCTGCTCACAAAGAACCCATTGAAACTCCTAGCAGTGGTAAAAAAAAATATACTGCGATAGCCAGTGGTTACTATATGTATACGCAGCATAGCAAGTAGTACTAACCGTTTGTAGACAATGTAAAGAGTCAGAGATGGCAGGGATTAGCAAGTTATGCGACAAATGACATCATGGTTCTCACCAGCCATATAAACACGAGGTGTGCCTATGACTCTCACCATGCAACTTGGCTATCTACATCATTAAATAATCCCAAACTTAGGCAGACAATATGCAACCTCTAGTCAACAAACATGTGATCATCCGCGGTACGCGAATCGTCTATGGCATCTACGGAGAAGCAACCGGAGAACCCGTCGTCTTACTCCACGGGACACCATCCAGCTCCCTCATCTGGCGAAACGTCCTGCCTCATCTAACAAGCGCCCACTACAGAGTCTACGTCTTTGACTGGCTTGGCTACGGACTGTCTGAGCGCCCCTGGGATCCATCCATCGATACCTCGATTTCGGGGCAGGTGCCCATCCTAGAGGAGTTACTGGCGCACTGGGGTCTGGAATCAACCCATGTCGTAGCCCATGACATCGGCGGAGGGATGGCACAGCGCTTCGCTGTTTTCTCGCCGCAGAGGATTCGTTCCCTGACGCTTGTGGATGTAGTCAGTTTCGACAGTTATCCGTCTGCGAGAACGAAGAAGCAGATGGAGGACGGCCTGGAGGCCCTGATTCGGGCGCCTGAAGCGAAACATCGCGAGCATTACCGGGATTGGTTGCTGTCTGCTGTGCAGAAACGGGAGCAATTCGAGAGCTCGAGCCTCGATACCTTCCTGGGGTATATATCTGGCCCTGTCAGGCAGGCGAGTCTCTACCAGCATCAGGTCCGGTTCTATGATCCCAAGCATACGCTGGAGATTGCCGACAGGTTGGGTGAGCTGGCAAAATTGCCGGTTAAGCTGATCTGGGGCGCGAATGACGGGTGGCAGGTTACTGACTGGGCACATAAATTGCATGAAGCTATCCCCGGATCACAATTGGACATTATTGATGATTGTGGGCATTTTTCTCCGGAGGATCAGCCAGAGAGGCTTGCAGCGTTACTTGTCACGTTCCTGAAGGAGCATCCATAGATTGCCTTGACTAAGGGCAATTGTTCTGTCATTTACCGACGTAACCGAGTATCTGCTGGAGCCGCTACCAAATTGTCTTCACATCCCAGCCCTTGACCCGCACACGTACCCAAAGAAAGCACGCAAAAGATGCCATATAACTCAACCCAGTGAACAGGATGACACCCCAGAAGCCCCTCCTTCCCCCCTCAGTAGCGGTGATCAAACTCCCCGCAATCGGAATGCCCGTCAAGCATCCAATACTGGCAACCGTATACGCACTTGCATAATACCTCCCGTAGTCTTGAGTGTCGCACAGCTGCCCCAGACACACCGGCATCAGGCTGATATTCGAACCGCTGGCAAACCCAAACACGATGACAAACATGATAATTAACGTCTTACTCGGCGCAGTTCCCGCTAGTGCATCCGGTAGCCATAGCCCGATCACGGCAGCCAGGCAGACAAGATTCGATACGATCATGGTATTATACCGGCCGCTTTTATCCGCTACGTAGCCGATGGAATATCGTCCGAAACAGGAGACCGCGTTCAAGATCGCGAGGAGCCGGTACGCGAATGCTGCCGCACCGCTTACGGCCTCGGCGTTTGAAAGGCCCTGCCGTGTGAGATAGTAGCTGGGAACGTAGGTGAGGGGAACGAAATACGCCCATTCGATGAGAAACACCCCGGCGGTGGTTACTGCCATCGCACCGGTGCCGTCCCAGAATATGCGCAGGTCAGGCAGCATGTCGCGCCATGAAGTCGCGGCGCCTTTCTTGGGTGGGAGTCGACTTTTGCAGAGAAGAACACTGATCACGCAGAGGAAGAGGAGCACGAAGCCTACGATGCGGGTTGCCCAGGCCCAGCCCACTTTTGGGAGCAGGGATTGCATCATGAGGGGGAAGAGGACGCCGCCGAATCCGCTGCCGGTGAATGCGAAGCCGGATGCTTCGCCGCGGCGTTTGTCGAACCAGTGGGAGATGGCGCCCATTGCCGGGGTGAACAGAAAGGAGTTTCCGATCCCGCTGAGGATGGAGAAGGCGAGGACGAATTGGTAGTACTCTTGATGCTACATGTTAGCTACTTCCTTCGAGGAATCGATGTTGAAAAAAGACAACCTGTGCATAAACCTAGTGTAAACGTTCCCACGAGCAGAAAGACGCTCCCTATCATGATGAGCTCCGTAGGACCCCTGGCGTCAAATATCGGTCCGACTTGTAAGCCACAGAAGTACGAAACGAAGACATAGATGCCGAATATCCACCCCGTAGAGTCCGTAGAGGTGTTTGCCAAGAGGGTGGTCGAAACATATGCCTCCAGTACGCCAACCGAGTTCATGAGGCCTAGCCCCGCGGTCATACAGCACCAGGAGCCCAGAGCGACTGTCCAGGCTGCGATGCCTCCTTCCGGGTAGCTGATCATCTCATCCAGAGGTGCATGGACTGGTTGTGTCAAAGATTTCCCAGAGCACTGAGGTGGCTTCTCAGATGCGATGTGTGCATCGTCCATTTCGAGAACGTTGATGCGAATATACTGGAGTATGGAATTCACATGAGATAGTTGAGGGGGGGAAATATAGAAACGAACAACAAGTCTACGAGAGTGCAAGGAGGGGCAACGGCAAGTGCCGCAAGATCATGGTAAGAAAAGAACCGGGCATATTGCACTAGTGACTAGAGTGACTGGTGGGGAGGCTTCCATTAAGGACTGGACTCTATTATAGTGACCAGTCTAATCCACGTCAAAGAGAAACATCCCTGTGCGGATGATGGGTCGAATGCACCTGTCAGATCTTACTCTCCATGCAAGCAGATAGCACTAAACAGGTCTATCCCGCACACCTACTGGACTCACTGATTCTCGCAGTAATTTTCCTTCGGTTACATGTGCTTCCTGGGCCTATTGACGCGCACCGGAGCAAGCGTGTAGCAAGGTTCATGCTCCAAATCTCGGTCTGTAGGGGCAACAGGTAAAGACAAGCTTTCTGGCGACAGCCGCTGCAGGTCCCGATGCCGCGGCAGTGTCATCAGACTCCGATTCAAAGAATTTACCAACCAGCTCTGAGAAACGATTCATTTTCAAGTGCTGATAAAACTGCAATCATGAGGCCCTAATCAGCACCCAAGCCAAAAGTCTGCATTCTCAAAGCAAAGTGTGCTCCAGTATATGCGCTTTAACTTGAGTACGTTTTCAAGCAAGAGTCCATTCTCTGTATTTCTTGGTAAATATCGGCGTTATACCATTTCCTCTGCCATGGTCTCTCGGTAACTAGGCCCATGGCACGCGTCGGAGTGGCTATGGATGACAGCCTCTAGCAATGCAAATCGTCCATCATTCGTCAGTCGACATCCCCATATATATTGGATCCGGGTTCTCAGAGACAATGAAAGCCTCGCGAAATCGGAGAGCTGACATATTGGTTTCCATAACAACCATGAGGTATGTTCACATCATTGCCGTAACATACATTAGTGACCAAGCAAGCGTCTCAAAATCAGATCTATATTTAATATCCACCCCGCAGGTTTCCTGGGAATCGCCGGTATTTACCATGCGCAAGATGCTCTCTCCACTCGGCAATGATGGGAATTCTTTATGCAACATGTCAGAGTGATGTAGCATTCTAGTAAGCACTAGCTTCGCATTATCAATGCTCATAGGGTAGGCGTTTTCGTTGTATGTATGGCGTGCATTAGTGGCATAACTTCCGCGTGTCAAGCTCATATTCGACAAGGGAATTGGACCATATGTATCCTCGCAGGGACAGCAACTTTTTCCTTTTTCTCCTCAAACCCCTCCCTTATTGTCCTGGATTTGTGGTGCGGCATGTTGCGGTTTTCAGTTTTCTTGGGCGCCATCTGCGCCGCTGCTCTCGCACAAACAAACAACGCTTCGCCCAGTGTCTTTGAACCTGACAATTTCGATGTGAACGCAGCGCTTTATAATCTTGGGGTGGATGTTTCTACCATCCCTGCCCTGAGGTCGCTGCAGTCGCGGTCAACCGAATCAGCCTGTCGTGCAGCCGTAAGTACTTCGATTCATGAAGTCAGGAAATGCACATGAAGGACTGACAGGTTTACAGTGCAGCGCCCTAGGCTTTCTCTACGGGTCAAGTAGAGCATTCGCGCAGAATACCACCGCGTACGCCAATGCCACAGGATCGTACTGGTCGGTCCAGCAGGAAGAGGTTCGTCCCTACTGTATCTTCAAGCCATCAGTAAACACCGATGTTTCTATTCTTGTACTTCTGTCAAGGTACACGGGCTGCCCATTTGCCATCAAGAGTGGTGGCCATGCTGCCTTTGCGGGTGCATCGAGTATCCAGGGCGGGATTACGGTCTTGCTAAAAGATATGAATGCCATCACTCTGAACGATGACAGAAGTGTTGTGTCAGTTGGTCCCGGCAATGTCTGGGTGCAGGTATACTCAGCATTGGAGCCGTACGGTCTCGCAGCCATCGGCGGCCGAGTTTCCACCATTGGTGTTGGAGGCCTTACAACCGGGGGTGGGATTTCGTACTACTCCAATCTATACGGCTGGGCTTGCGATAACGTCGAGAGCTTCGAGGTATGACAGCCATGTTTGCACATTTTTGTTCAGAAAGCTCACTGAGAGGAAGGTTGTTACCGCGAGCGGTGCCATAGTCACAGCCAGTGCAGGCTCCTATCCTGACCTCTACTGGGCTCTCCGGGGCGGTGGGAATAACTTCGGGATCGTCACCAAGTTCAATCTCTATACCATTCCGAGCCCTGAAATGCGAGGTGGAACCCGAGTCTTTGCTGAAGATCAATTCAGCAAGGTAATCAATGCCTTCGTCAGCGTCGTCAACGACGCCTCCAATGATGGTAACGCGCAGCACTGGGTCGCGTTCGTCCATACCCAGGGCCAGAATATTGCTTCGGCCGAGATCACATATGTCAAGAACGTCAGCGAGCCGGCCATTTTCGCTCCCTACCGCGCTATTCCCGCAATCCAGGATACCACGGCAGCCAGGACTTTGGTGGAATACTGTGACGCCGTTCAGGAGGTCAATCCCGACGGACTGCGGGAGATGTACTGGACGTTAACCGTTCACTTGGACGAGGACTTTGCCAACTGGGTTACCGAGTACTTTTACTCCGTTCTTCCGCAGGTTTTGAGCATTCCAGGTATCAATCCTGCCCTCGTCAATCAGGGCATTACCGTCCCCATGCTTAAGAATATGATGCGCAACGGAGGTAATGCACTGGGTCTGGACGCCTTAGAGGGTCCATTTCACCTACTGCTGATGTCGACCTGGTGGGAGAATGCTGATGACGATGAGAAGATAGTTGCATGGGCTAAGGATTTCTGGGATACAGTCACCGCCAAAGCGAAAAAGGTTGGGGTGTTCCATGATTATGTCTACATGAACTACGCGAGTCAGTATCAGGATGTCATTGCGAGTTATGGAACTGCCAATAAGGCCAAACTACAGAGCATTGCTGCCAGGTATGATCCCAAAGGGATCTATCAGACGCTACAGCCGGGGTATTTCAAGCTGGATGGCGCACCTGCCTCGGATTCACATTAATTGTCGAAAGATACGAGCAAACTGCTGATAAGCAGAATGGTTGGGAGACTTAAGTCTGTTCAAGCCCGTATATAGTAATCATTGGGAGGAAATATCAGTCTAGGCTTCGCTTATTTCTTGGTGACAGTCTATATTTCTGGAATTTATCAGAGACTACTCTTATGCTATTCTTCACAGAATCATGTTTGAGAGATAAGGGTTGCATACTGGCAATGTCTACAATACAGGCTTGAATGTTTGCATACGGATCCCTACTATGTAGATGAGTATATGTCTATAAAGCAGATGGACCGAGCTATCCTAAGTTAGGCTAATACAACACATAGGTGCAGACTTAATAAAGCACTGTAGATCACAGTTAAGAGTCAGGCATTAACAGAACAACGAGATGGAAATATCTGCGAGTCGGGCGAGACCATAATTGGCCTGCTGAAAAGCCATCTCTTGTAGGTGAGACGTTACCTGAGAACTCATGTACATGTGGCCCCTGGTGGTTCCACCACAAGGAACGGACTGGCTATTATGTCCCCGACGAGGAGCGCAAAAGCGCAGTTGCCAAGAATGATAACTATTTCCATTGTGTACTGCATCATCCCCTTAGTCTATAACGCAGGTCCTCGGCCTACGCTACTAGTGTGGGAGGGATGCCAAAAGGTCGTCATTGGGGACGAGGAGCTTCTTAATTGTGCTTCGGTAAGCATGGCGCTTATTTACGACTGGGTAGAACGACACCATATCCCTGTTCATCCACTGCCTGATGTGCTGTTCATGAGCGATGAGCATGCTCTCAACCTCATTCGGGCAAGTTCCGAGCTTGTTGCCGTATATCGTCGTAGATGATCTCGGTGATGGTCAAATGCATACTACTGACACCCAAAAAACTCAGGGATGCTCGAGTCCAATCCCAGCTCGTCCAGCCAGTGTAAGAAATCCTCGCTTGTTTCAATCCCATCCACGATCGGCATCGTCCCACTCTGGTCGTAGACATTTAGTGACATCCCGATCGAATGGGAACCATCCAGGACTCGATCATCGCTGCTCAGCGCAGAGTGACTGCCAGTAACCGGCTGTGGTCCATCCGCCATCTGCGCACCCGACGGATAATCCAACGCATCATTTAATAGCTTGACTATGACCTTGGTAACCTCCACACGAGTGACATTAGTCGGTGGGTTGGCGCTCTCGAACCAGGAGACAAGCAGGCTTAGATCGCGGATAATTCTGGACCGAGGGATGGAACATGGTAGTGATACCCTGGAGACTGTGCAGCGATGGAGTTCGGTTGCGAGGACACCTGCTGCTGGGAGAGCGTAGAGGAGAAACTAGTTGACCGACAGGTTAGGACAGACATGGCGGACAGGTTACAGTGACTTACAATCCACGCGTACTGCTCGCGGATGCTGGCTTCTTGATTGCGGTGCTTGGCAAAGTCTGTGACTGCGGAGACGATCTGCATGGCCGAGTCCAGAAGATCGGACATGGCGTCGGGGACTTCATTGGAACGGATGCGCTCGACCTGAAACAGCGTGTGGACGTATTCCAGGTGGATGACCAGGCTGATTATGGCCAGGTGCGGACTTGAAGCCTTCCAGGAGTGTTTGCTGTAGTGGAACTGACTGGGTACTTTGTCCCACAATCGTTTACACTCTTGATAGGTAGCCCTAAGAGCATATTAGCTTTTCACCATACTGCGACAAGTCGTGTGAATCCTACTGTAGTTCGGTTTGTCTGGAGTGAACCGAGCCCCGCCCCAAGGACAGTCCCACCACCTGCTCTCGCAACATCGCTACCATGTATCGTAGCCGGATGACAGTGGCAGGGCGAAGACCACCGCTGAAGGTACCCCATCCATCCGGCGTGAGCTGGCTTATAGCCTTGTCGATGGAAAGGCGATCCAGGAATAGGCTGTCGTCATCAGTATCCAAGGGTAGCTCCACGTCACAATAATGGTACGGCAGTCGAGGTGGCCTTCCCAGAAAAGTAGCGATATTCTTGTCGGCGCGATACGATGCTGCAAAAACTCTCTTACGGGTCTCCGAGAGGAAAAAAGGAACAGCGGCCGCAGGATGTTCTGGATGGTGGAGGCCCGTGGCATAAATGCAGGAGACCAAGTCCCCAAATTGCGCGTAAATATGATGGCCTACTCTGTGTCAGCCTTGTGCATTGCAGGCCAACCTTATAAAAGTGATCGGCATTACTTGTCTCGCCCATAATATTCGATGCCAATACGAAGTAAGTGTAGTTCAGCCAAACCGTCAAGTCATTCACATTGTCGTGCTGTCTGCAGATTTCAATACATGCATGACTTGCTGCCGCCATCTCCCTGGCAAAGGCATCTGCACTTAGTTCATCCTTGCCGTTCAAAGACAAAAGTGGAGTGGCACGAGACGACACGCTGGCGCCGAGTCCTGCCAGGGCGAATATGAGACCGACAAACTCCCATCGCAAATTCACACCTGTGAACAAATGGTAAAACTGGTCCGTTGTCATGTTTGCTTCGGCATTGATCGTGTGGGTGGCCGTGTTCTGAGTGATCCGGGATCCTAAATCCTCTCGCGGCCATCTCTCCTTGTCCCAGTGGCTCCGAAGCAGCCTCAAGGGAGTAAGAATAAGAGGAGCTGGAATGACTGTGAAGGAGCTCCGATGGTATTCGTCCGCCACTAAATCTTCATACAACCTGAGCGGGCGCAGAAGCTGAACCAGTCGGGGAATGACATGTGTGGAGTGGGCAGTCCACGCCTTGCGCAGGGTAGATGCATGGGGAATTTTCGGTGTAGAAAGGCTCAAGTCCTGTTGATCATGGTCGAATGCTGACATAAAGCTGGTGGATCCCAAGTATGTTGGCTGAGAGGCAGACGTGAGGCTGATTTGAGGCTCATTTGGCACGATGCTGTCTCCACGACTGGTAGAGGCACCAGGACCCTCATCATGCTCACTCGATGGGCTAGCATGAGACACACTGCGAGGTACCTGTGCCTTCTTCCGTGCTCGGGTCAAGGGAGCCGGATGGTAGTAACACTGGTAAGCTCTCTGTCAGTCAGCGCCTTTACTGATCCTCACCATTTAACTCCAGATGCCGATCAGAATCAGTATTAGAAAAGTGTCTACCTTGGAACTCAGACCCCTAACATCACATCGTCGACATTTCGGTAGTCCATGGTCACACCGGATCTTAGAGACACGACATGGTTCGCAGGAGATTTGCTTGCCATTCTTACGGACCATGACCTTGGAAATGTTCTCCATGGCGGACAGACTCGGTCGACTTGACTAATGCCCATATTACCGCTTTTCGATGGTAGTTGTGATGGGAAGATGAAGCACCGAATGAGCAATTAACAGAATCGGAGTGCCTAACGATTACTAATCACAAGTTTATTCCGCTCGGGATAAACACCAGCGTATTCAGACATCCCAATGCATGTATTCCGAGCTCTGTCGGAATGAAAACGAATAAATGGATGTAGTTGGTAGCATACCATGCCGCACTCCTCCAGGTCACCTATTAAAATGTCACCTGCACCCTCTTTCTACGCTTTTCTTCTAATCAAATGGCTACCGCACCGTATTTGTTGTTATTGACTCGGATTCTCCTTTTATCAGTACCAAGCATAGAGACGCCTGTCGTTGCCTGCCACACCCATCATGAGCAGGTCGGACGATATCGAAAGACAGCCGGTGGTTACATCCAATAAAGACAAAGGAGAGCCACAGCAATGCCAGTTGGTGACAGGTGCGCATGACGAAGAAAATCTGCTTCCAGTGATAGACGGCATACCCTTCCCGGTATGGCTGATTGCCTTCGTGGGAGCCGCTGAGCGCTTCGCCTGGTACGGAGCGACCAGCCCTTTGCGTGAGTCTGCTGCCAAGTGACTCGTGGCTAGGCAAGGATCCTTATACCTAGCAGAGAATTACATTCAACATTCACCCTCTAGCAAGATCCCCGGCGTACTGGGCCTACGCGAAGCAACGGCGACCAATATTGTGAATGCGTTGATGGCTGGGGGCTATCTCGCAACCATCCCAGCAGCTGTGGTGGCCGACACCTGGCTGGGTCGGTACAGAACGATTCTAGTTTCTGCTTTGTATGATCCTGGGTTGATTGCTCGCATCATCATCATTAAGCTAATGATCAGACAGCATCCAACTCTGTGGCTCGGCGATTTTGTTCGCGTCCTCCTTTCCTCGCGCTGTTCAATCCGGGGCCGCGGCAGGTGGATTGGCTACCGGCATTGTGCTCATTGCCGTGGGCTCAGGAGGCGTGCGATCCTCTGTCGCTCCGTTTATTGGTATGTGTCAGAATGAGACCATCGATCACCTGAAGTCATTTTCAAGCTGACCATGCACAGCGGAGCAGTATACTGAAACGGCTCCCAAGGTCAAGGTGCTAAAGAACGGACAAAAGGTCATCACGGATCGAGAGCTCACAATCCAATACATCTACAACGTATACTATTGGTATGCTCCGCTGTGGCTTGCCTCGACGTCGAGGGGCTGCTAACTTAGGTTTAGGATGGTGAATGTCGGGGGTTATCGGCCCTAGTTACCACGATCCTTGAGAAGTATGCTGGATACTGGGTTGCATATCTTGTGCCCCTCTGTATGATGGCCCTGTCAGTTGTACCTTTGCTCGCGTGGCGACATATATTTGGTAAGCGTCGCCGCACCCAGCCGGCTAGAGCAATAGATACTCACTGTTCTCACCATCAGTTCGGTACCCATCAAGTGGCTCGATACTCCCACAGGCCGGCAGGGCAATGATGTATGGAATTCGCGAAGGGTTCGAGATGGATGGGGCCAAACCGCAGAAACAACAAGAGAAGCACCACCGACAGGTGCCGTGGACCGATACTTTCATTGACGAGTTGAAAAGTGGACTGCTCGCATGTCGTGTTTTGTATGGCCTTCCAGAATTTATGATTGATTCGAATGGACGGGACAACTGACAGGATACCATCCTCCAGCCTCCTCTTCCCCATACATTGGTTGTGCTTGAACCAAACCTTCAATAACCTCATTTCCCAGGCCGGGCAGATGGTCAACTCCGGGGTCCCAAACGACACCATCAAGTCGCTCAACCCCATCTCCAGCATTCTACTGACGCCGATAATTTCGCATGGCCTATACCCATTCTTGACCCAGCACAGGATCCGATTCGGCCCCATGGCCCGCATTGTCGTGGGATTTCTCTTTCTCACCCTCGCTATGGCCTATACGGCAATCCTACAGAAATTAGTTTATTCCACGGGCCCTTGTTACGATCAACCCCTGGCATGCCCCGAGTCGGACCATGGCCGCATTCCCAATCAGATCTCGGTGTTCCTGCAAACACCCATCTATGTTCTCGGTGCGATTGCGGAGATCTTCTGTTTTACCACAGGGACAGAATATGCCTACAATCAAGCACCCAAGTCCATGAAGTCGGTGGTTCAGTCGGTGTGGATGGCCACGGCTGGGGTTGGGGCCTGCCTGGCGATGGCGTTCACCCCTATCGGTAAGGACCCTCATCTGGTTGTCATGTATTCGTCGCTGGCGGGCGTCATGGCCGTGACAACTGTTTTGTTCGGGATATTCTTTGGAAAGCAGGATCGGGGGAAGACCGTCCTTCTGTGAGTTGGTTAAGGGACGGTTTGGTAAGCATGTTAGGGAGGGAATAGGGCACGAATTTTACATTGCGGTAGGTAGTAGCTGTGTATAGAAAGGCCAAACACGGATTTCGGAGCAGACTCCGCTATAAGCGGCGCCTCTTATGTGTTCCTGCTGTAGGCGCGGATTTCGGAGCGCAGACTCCGGTCTCCTGGATTGAAACATGCAGTGCATTTATAATCAGCAAGTATATCCTATTATACTCCCGGTGATCAGATATTGTCATACTAGCAGAATCACAGTTTCCCACGTCTTGCAATGGCCGAGAAAAGTGCCTCCAGCGATGATGCAGAGCCCAAGTACGAGTATCCGTCGGGGCTGGCGGTCACCCTGATCCTCACCTCAGTTACCCTGGCCTATTTCCTATTCTTCCTCGACCTTGCCGTCCTTTCCACTGCCACTCCGGCCATTACCTCCGAGTTCGACTCATTGGTGGATGTCGGCTGGTATGGCGGGGCCTACCAGCTTGGAAGTGCAGCGTTCCAGCCTTTGACCGGCAAGATTTACAGCCAGTTTTCCACCAAGGTATGTTGGTCTACACCGCGCGTAGAATCAACTCTAACTAGTTCATGCAGTGGACCTTCCTTGCCTTCTTCATTCTCTTCGAGATGGGGTCTGCCATCTGCGGAGCGGCCCAGTCGTCGCCCATGTTCATCGTCGGCCGCGCCATCGCAGGTGTCGGGTCTGCTGGTGTGGCCAACGGCGCGGTGACGACCATTTCCGCTGTCCTTCCAACACAGAAACAGGCACTTTTCATGGGGCTCAACATGGGCATGGGCCAGTTGGGCCTGGCGACGGGGCCCATCATCGGAGGGGCTTTTACCACAAGCCTGAGCTGGCGGTGGTGCTTTTACATCAATCTCCCTCTGGGCGTGGTCGTCGGCGGGTTCCTTCTCTTCAACACGATCCCAGAGCCAAATCCCAAGAGTCCGCCCCTGGAGATTCTCGGCACCGCCATCAAGTCTCTGGATCTCCCTGGGTTCATGCTCATCTGCCCCGCGGTGGCGATGTTCCTCTTAGGGCTACAGTTTGGCGGGAATCAATACCCTTGGAACAGTTCCGTGGTGATCGGCTTGCTGCTTGGCGGAGCCGTCACCTTTGGCCTCTTTCTAGTATGGGAGCATCGTCGGGGAGACGAGGCCATGGTGCCGTTTGCCATGCTCCGATACCGAGTCATTTGGTCGACCGCAATGACCATGTTCTTCAGTCTGTCTAGTGTCCTGGTGGCGGATTTCTACATTGCCATTTACTTCCAGGCGATCAGAGACGACTCGCCCTTGATGAGCGGCGTCCACATGCTCCCCATAACGCTCGGGCTGGTCCTCTTTACCATAGTCTCTGGTGCCCTTATCTCCGTTCTGGGCTACTATCTTCCATTTCTTCTTGCCGGCGGTGCGATCTCCGCCGTGGGCTACGGGCTCCTGTCCACCCTCAGCCCTGCGACTTCGGTCGCCAAATGGATCGGGTACCAGATTCTCTACGGCGTCGCAAGCGGCTGCACGACAGCAGCTCCCTACATCGCTATACAGAACCTGGTGCCTCCAGCGCAGATCCCCCAGGCCATGGCCATTGTCATTTTCTGGCAAAACATCGGGGCGGCCACCTCTCTGATTGCCGCAAACGCCATTTTCAGCAATAGTCTTCGTCATCAACTTCAACAGCGTGCGGCAGAGATTGGCTGCGATCCGGACGCCATCGTCGCTGCGGGAGTCCGCTCCATCCGGGACTTGGTGTCTGGCTCCCAGCTGGCTGCTGTGCTTGAGGCCTACGCTAAAAGTATCGACCATGTTATGTACCTCGGTCTCGCGGTCAGCCTCGCCGTCTTGGTCTTTTCGCCGGGAATGGGGTGGAAAGATATTCGCAAGGTCAAGGATCTCCAGGCTATTGGCAGCGAGTCTCCTGACACTGGTGATCAAGAGTTGGCTGAGACAAGTAGAGAAGTGTCCGCAATAACCTAGACAAGGTTGTAATCACTATCCCTCAGACGGATCTTCGGCTGCTGAGGTTTGCCGGGCGTTGTTTTCGGTATATCGATTCTTGCTGTACCCCACATTTTTTCTTCGCTGCTTAGTTTATAGACATTTAATATTATTTTTGGTGATTTCACGCAAATGATCCGCATACACAGACAGAATTACTGATGGGGTGGAAGAATCTCCGTCTCTCCAGTCGATTGAACTAGACTATAGACAACTTAACCGCGGTGGTTCGCCTTCAAACGTGAATTTCAACCGGAATATACAAGATAAGACAACTTTGGATTCTGTCGTGCCATTTCAGCTGTGTTGACCCTACTGTGCTATCTCATCCCTACTAGCTAGAGGGTTGTTTAGACACCTTCTTGGCTGAGTCGGAGATGTATGACAGATTCCACAGCAGGAAGCGAGGTAATAGGGTATATTTGCATAACTATAAATCGGTATCATGTGCCTGCCCTATTTCAATGCTCACTCAACTACAGCGACACGACAATCTTCTTCCCGGAGACACCCATTCTCTGGAGATCCAGAGCCTCTTGAATCTTGTCCAGCCCCTTGCCCACGACATGCGGGGGAGGTGCCGCCACAAACTGGCGCTGCGCAAGCGCCTGTGGTAGGAACTCCGTGTAGATGCGAGCCACGACGCTATTTGGATCGACCAGGCCATTAAGGAGGATAAATTTGGCTTCTACTCCGGTCCGAAGGCGCCTCGCAGTCGAGTTGATCATCCCGCCCACCATGCCCATCAAGTACGTGCCCTTGCCAACAAAAGTTGTGAGCTTGTCAGCAGGTATTATGGCGCCAGCCACCGCGATGCGCTTCCGCGTGAGGGGGACATCATGATGCCTCATCACGGCAGTGCATGCCTCGACGGCCCCATGGCCAATCGTGAGGGCGCCGACCAGCTCGTGGCCCTGTAGAACGGTCAGGAGGTCATTGACCAACGTTCTGCTCCTGTAGTCGAAGACATGGGTGGCACCCAGACCCTTGACGTAGTCGAAGTTCCTTGGAGACGCGGTAGATATGACTTGGTAGCCAGCGGACACAGCCAGCTGCACGGCGTTGCTGCCCACACTCGATGCGCCGCCGGTGATGATGACGGTGCGCGGCCGGCCCGACTTGCCCACCACGTCCGTGGGCGCCGGGACCCGAGGCATGTCGAGGCCGAGATAGTCCGGGTGGAAGAGACCCCATGCTGCCGTCCCGAGACCCAGTCCCAAGACGCAGGCCTGTTCGTCGGTGATGTCGGCTGGTGTTGGCGCCAGCATGTGCGGTCGCATCACAGTGTAGAGCTGAAAGCCTCCCTCGGCGGGGCGGTTGACCTCCTTGGCTATGGCAGTGGCGCTTCCGAAGACTCGGTCGCCTACCCGGAACCGATCCAACTCGGGGCCGACCTCGACCACCTCGCCGGCGACATCGGTGCCAAAGACGAAGGGGTACTTGATGTAGCTAGCCACCGCCGGCCCAATGAACTGCAGCACCCAGTCGAATGGGGTTGATGGCCACGGCGGTGTTCTTGATCACCACCTGGCCCGGGCCGGGAGGCGTGAGGGCGCGTCGCCGACCTGGAACGGCCGTGCCTTTTTGGCGGGAATCCAGGCTGCCTGGTTCTTTGGAGTCATTTCGATAAGACGAGGGGGCATAGACAGTGTGAAATAGACCGGAAGAAAAATGAAAGCTGTCGAACGCGAGCGCAGTTATCATGGACATGATATTAATAAAAAGCTCCAATGAGCTCAGGAGTTACACGGTGAATAGTACTGTCTAGCATAGTGGAAACAGACATTAAAACGGCATTCAGAGGTACTGAACTCCGGTTGACGCACACCATAGATGTCGGTCTGAATTCTTTTCGCGCTATTTCCCCTCCTCGTATCGTCGCATTGAAGATGTCTCCTTCCTCCGCGTACGCAGAGGTACTTTTGTATTCAGGTCGTCCTGACACTCAAAAAGAATCTGGACCTTGACCCGGGCTGTGCATTTCAAGTGGCTTCTACCCCTATGTTTGATTAGTTTTTCCTGGAACATATAGCCCTCGCCGTCTCGCTCTTTTCTTCCTGGCGGCTAGATGCGACTGTTAGTGGACGACCCTTGTTTATAAACGGACTTCGGAGGTTTAAATCCGTGGGCATGACATCGCAGGATTTAAGTAATCTCCGTGCAAGGAGATCCCTAACTTACCTCCGTTCGACATCTCTGAACATCTATCTCCCACGCGTCATCAACTGAGCTGTCGGTATTTTCTTGGATACTATGGAGAGATCGAAATCGAAGCCAGCCCCGGCCAGTCCTGCAGCTATGGCCAAGCTTGCACGCTGTGCTACAAGGCGAAGTGCCGGTGTGTGCGTGCCCCAAATGGTGATGCTTGTGAAAGGTGCCTTCGTCTCAAGAAAAGGTGTGAGCCGTCAGAGTCGGTTCGCCGACGGAATGCTCAAAATGCCCAGACTGCCAAAGTATCCGATAGGCGGATTGCTCGGCTGGAGGACAAAATGGAGAGCTTGTTGTCCACTATGCAATCTTTCATCGGTTCCACGGCGCCTTCGGGGTCTTCTGTCAACGTCCTTCAGACTCTCCACGGAGACGGCATTTCATTATCCACGTCTTCTTCGAATGCCACTCTAGCAACCCCTGCGAGCACTACTCTGGGCTTCAGTGACGGACCGAACTCCGCGACGGACAAAATTGCTGCGGCATCATCGAATCCAAATCCAGATCCGACGTTCCTGTCTCATCATTATTCTCTATCTACCCCCGCTCCATCGCCAAACCAAGCAGACGAAAGGCTCGATTTCTTCCGGTCCCGAATGCTGCCATCCTTTCCTTTCATCCACCTGGCTCCAGACATGACAAGCTGCTATCTGCGCCAAAACAGGCCCTTCTTGCTTCAAGCTATCCACACCGTGACCACATTCTCAACCCAGGAAAGACTTACTCAGGTGGAAGAGCTGAAGCATCTCCTGTTCACATCGGCTTTGCTTCAGGTCCAGTCAAATATCGACCTGCTGCTTGGATTACTAACATACCTAGCATGGAGTACTGACCCCTTTCTCGGCCGAGCTGACCTCGTCTCTCGCCTCATGATGCTCGCCATTTCACTCATCTATGATCTGCGATTGTTCAAACCATCCTCGCCAGACGTGGAACTCATGATGACTATTACCCAGGGACGGGCGGACGACAATAATCAAAGCCACAACAATGAAACGCCCCACGACTTATTGGAAAGGCAGCGGGCAGTACTGGCGTGTTTTGTTTTGAGCTCTAAGTGCGCATGCCTCTGTTCTTATGATCGAAACTATACTAACGTATGACTATCGTAGTATTGCATCCCACCTTGGGCGTCAGGACGCTCTACGATGGACACCGCAGATGGAAGAGGCGCTTCGAGTCCTCACAATAAGCGAGGCATGTCCTGCAGATAGGCTATTTGTCTGTCAAGTGCGCTTGCAGCTCTTAAAACAAAGAGCAGATGACGTACGGCAACAGGACGAGGGTCGCATCGGAACAGCTCCTGCGGCGGTTTCAGCTCCTCGTCTACTGTATCTCAAGACCTTACGAAGGCAGCTCCATGAGCTGGCGTCTACGTTTCCTCCCGACCTCCCCCAGCTAGGTAAGTAGTTTCTCAAGCGAAGTGACATGGCAGACTATCTCTGCTGCGTGATTGGCTAATACCTTTACATGCAGACATTCTGAATTCACACGCCCAATACGTCGAATTATACATCAACCAGCTCGCCTATTCCATCAGCCAAGACTCACCTCCTCTCAATCTGTCTGGACTACTAGGCTTCGAACGCCTGGAGTGTCTGTGGCAGTCAGTTGAGAACATCAGGTCATGGCTGGACCATTTCAGCCGGATCCCTTGTTCGGACCTTGTCGGCCAGCCCTTTCACTTCTGGTCCCAGATGATTCTGACAGTCACACTATTGAAATATCTATCAACACTTCAAGACCCCGAATGGGATTGCCAGGCGGTGCGGAGCACAGTTCACCTGATCTCCACGATGGATACTATGATTCAGAAGCTCAATCTAAGCAGCAAGGAGCCAGAACTCCAGTGCGACGACCATTTACTCAAGTTTTTATCCAAGCTTTTAACCAGATGCCATCTGTGGGCTGAAGCTCGCTGGCATGAAGAGGAGACCGCCGGCCACAATCACCATATCCCCGATCTAGATCGGATGGCCTGGATGCATTCGATGGACCTGGGAGACGATCAGTGGATTGAAAATGTACTGGGTATGCCCACCGCATTCTACTAGTTTGAAGGCTGTCCATACGTGGGCCGAATATATTCGATCCGTCTGTCACTTAATTGAGATTACTGGTTGCAGTTACATAGGTGTAGATAGATTGAATTTCGCAATCTGAGCTCTGATCCATGGGTCTGTATGGCTGCTTCTTGGCGTATAGACATGTTGTTCATGAGCAATGGCAACATCAATGGCCATCTCATCTCGCCCTTTGCATTCCGCACCATAGGATCCAAGCCCTTTGAAAGAAGAAACGAAAGCCTTTCATATGTCCTCAGCGTCCATTTCTCCACCAGCAAATGCAGCAGTGTCTGGCCCTCCTGGTCTCGTCCGCCCCAGCCTTCTCAAACATCCCCAGGTCTTCTTTGTCGATCTTGGCATATGGCTCATCCATATCCATCCATGCATCGAAGGTATACCACTTTTCTTGTCGATTCCGGTACCGATCGGTGTCAAATGCTGTGGTGTATAACTCGAAGGCAGATTGGCCATCCATATTCCGAGCATTTGGATCAATGCCGCGGTCCTGAAGCAGGCGGCATAGATGTCGTTCTTCTTCACCGCGCACGCCAAAGTCATCCAGGCACCTCAGAGCCAGGTAATGCAGAGCAGTATTACCCCGGGGATCGCAGACCCCCTGGTCTGCGACTGCCGCTAGGAGATCGTCAATTGCACTCTTAAGTGTGCCAGGGTGCGTAATGTTCGACCAGTAGGCTCTAATATGGGACAAAGCAGAGATAAAAGGATACACTCCTGCCTTGTCAGTTATCTTTCTTGATCAGGAGCCTCGGAGCTTCGCTTGGTGCCTGAGGCATACAAATACAGGGCAATGGAGCTCGTCGGTGTTTCCCCACCAATCATTGTGCTTCTGTGCGCCAAGAAAGGCTAAATAAATCAGCCACTAAGCCCAAAATGGTCAATTATCGCGATGTCCTCGCCCAAGCTTTGTTCAATGGCTATAGATAGTCAGATATGAGGCACGAGGCTTTAGAAAGTCATAGCCAACGCTTTTATGGACACAGTCTAGTGATTATGTGGCTCAGTGAAAATGAGCAGTATATATAGCAGGTCGACCACATCCTGTCATTTCTCACGACCATTTCCTACCCCCAACTTTACATTTAGATACAGATAAAAAAGCTCGTTTTGTCTTCCAATTGATTAAACAACCTCAACTCAGAGCCAATCACTATGAAGATCAATGCAATGTCGTCTCTCTCAGTGGGCCACATCCCCATCGCAATTGCTGAAGTGACCATCTTCTCCCTCATTCAACTGGTACATTTTATCACAAGATTCATGCAAGAATGGCAGTACTGGCACCACAGAAGGGAGAGAAATGCCCACAGATGCGTGCTGTACTCCTGGTTTGGCATGCTTGGGATTTTGGCGCAGCGTAAGTGCTAATTTACCTGCCCTCTATGGTTTCGGACAGGGCTGATCGAGGTGGGTCAGTCCGAATTGCGGGTTCCGCTATGGTGATTGCTGTTTCCAATCCGAGCAAGTCGGTCTTAACGGCAGAGACCATTCTGCAAAGCATCGGACTCTCACCTCTGTTGTTTGAGGTGAGCCTTGTCCTGTTGCGGAGGTACGTCATGTGTTTGCTCAAGAAGTTGCAAGAACTAACGTCTAGAAAGCGGACAGGCTGGACGAAGCGGTCCCGGAAACACGAGGTACCCGAAACATCTGCGTTTCCTGCTTCAGGGCTTTCGCTTCCCAGTGATATTGTCTCTGGTCTGTGCCGTGGTGGGTGAGAAAATGAATATCCCCGCCTGTAGGGACATTGGCTCGGCCGTCTTCGTCATCACCTTTGCATTCGTGATCGGTCTCGTAGTTTGGATTGCCATAGCGTACCGTACGGTTCTGTCCAGAAACGGCCACCGCGGTGTGATGCTGGTCCTTGCTACTCTGCCATTCTTAGCCGTCAGAATCGCCTACTTTTTGCTGAGCGAGTATGGATCGGATGAATTCAACGCTGTCACTGGCAAAGAGGGGATCAAAGTTGGAATGGGCCTGTTGATGGAGATTGTCGCCGCAGTGCTTCTGTTGTTATCACGAGGTACGATGGAGCCATTGGGATATAAAGCTCTCCATACAGAGGAACCCGAGAGAGGCGACAGGCCTTGAGCACGGTGCATATCTTCTCAACGTGGTGCATATCTTTCCAACATGGTTGGACATAATGACGGCCAATAAGAGAGAAAAAGGTTCAATCAAAAGGCGTGGCAAAATTCCTGGGTTGCACAGCTGCATAATACTGCGACATTTGCACCAAACGGTTCTCTATCCAAGCCTTTGTTTGGGGGTCTGCGGCCTGGTATGCCACACGCAGCGGAAATCCCATCCTGTACGGCCCTAGTGGACCGGCACCGTTGTATTCCACTGACTTGCAGATCTGATCTCGGAAAAAGGAGACCATAGCTTCATGTTCACCAGGATAACCAAGGGTCCGTAGGGCCTCGTGTATGATAGCCATGTACGCGTGGTAGGAATTGAATATTGAGGCGATATTCAGATCGGAATAATGCAGAACGATAGGATATACTCCATCATTGGTCGATGACAGCCTTTCGTATGGAGGCGGTGCCATGCGGGAAAAGCGGCTATACCATTCTAACAGTCTGTTCTGCATCTCAAGAATGCGGGTCAAGGTTTCGGACGCCTTCTTCCAGGTTGCAGGACTTGTCATATCTGATGCCTTGACATCGTAGAGCGCGTGAACAAGGCTTGGTGCCAGTGTGAATAGAGCTATGAATTCCTCTAACAAATCTTCCAGCCCTTCAGAGTAGAATGAGTTGATGCGCTGCTTCATTATGGCATGCCAGCGTTCTGAGGCTAGGAAGCACCGTTCCCCAGAGAAGAGAGAGTGCATTACCTGAACCAGTGTCAGTCCCATATCGTATTCAGAGCATAAAGGCCGGCCACCCACGATCAATCCTCTTGCAGCTTTGAGTAATGTGTTATTGAACGGGTCCTTGTAAGCGTCCGGCCCACGAATCTCCGCTAGCTGACTCACAGCCTTTGCATGTTTCATCCACGTGTCTGGATTTTGATTATTCGCAAACAGCTAAGTTAATCAGACATTGCTTCTCCCTGCGGTGGAGACTAATGGGATGCCTACCTCGTACAAGCATAGAAGTAGCACCGCGCAGAAGATATCGGCAGACAGACGCTCAGAAGCGGTGTCCAGAGATTTTCGAAGTCTGCTCAGAGCCTCGATGTACGCAGATCTAGAATACCGCGCCATCTGGGGATTCTGCAGCGCCTTCGAAATATGGTGTGCTGTAAAGCATCGAACAGTTGCATCCAGGGTATTGTTCCGTCCATAAAGACATGGAAGACTGCTGAACCATTTGGAAACAATATGGATTGAAGTCGACGAGCAGGGCTGAGAGAGGTCGTCGACTACTGACGAAAGACCTTGGAGGACATTGACTGTTGAGCAAGACAGAGTGGACATCCGTGTACTCAATATTATAGATTCCCTGTTTGCACCGTTGTCTTCTCTGTTAGGACCGCTCCGTTCAGAATCTGAACCATCGGCGCGAGGTGCGCGTCGAGAACGATAAGGTTTCCCAGTTTTGAACTTGAAGTCCCTGACATAGCCGGGGCACGGCTTTCCATATTTCTCACACCGCGCACAGCCTGGAAGTCGCTCATCACACTATATATATGTCAATGGTGCGTGACCTCCCATTCTTGGAAGACAGACAAACCTTCACGCGTCGCTGGACGCAAAGTAGGCATCCAGAACTCCGCGCACCTGCCATTTTTGATCAACTGTATATTCCACACTCTATTGATTATTAACTGATGAATCCTGGAAAGGAAAGGGGATGTGGACGTGGTCAATACGAGACTGTTGAGTGTAGCTACGGCGTGCTACAGCGACCAAAACCCCATTTGCTAGGCCAATAGGAAGCCAGCCCTCGCAATGCATCTAGCATGGCTAGAAAGGATATAATTACTACTTTTACTTAAGTTATTGGGCTTAGTGGATATGATAACTCTAAGCTTAAATAACTCGTTGTAGATCATACTGAGGAAGAATATAACTAGGTTCTAATGGTTTTGAACCTATCAGTGTGGCTTCCTCTTTCCCTAAATTATTAGGTATTTACCAATTTATTTATAGGATCATGGCATTATGTATACAGTAGAACATGGGTATATTAAGATGGTGAGTGTGTTTCCGGATGCAGTATGGATGTAGAGGCTATATATGCTGGATCTAGTCTTAGTCTCCTGCTTATCTTCTAAGTTCTAGGCCACAGAAGGAGATCATCCAAATGAATGAAGCACTGAGTCTTGGAAGTTATTCAAACAACTTGCTATGACTATGACAAAGGCCGGTATACCTCGTACTGCGTTTCAGCGCCTTGCTCAGCAGTCGTGCATTGGCGAGGATATTCTCCATGGTAACGTGGTATCCATTTAAACAGTAATTCATTAGGTTATATTGTTGCCCGATGGCAGGTGCGCCTGCTCGTGAGAAGTACAAGGTGTATGATTCCTCTGTTTCCCCAAGTATTGCAGCTCGAGTAATGAGTCCTTGGGCAGAAACGATTGATCTCGCCAGATAATCCACCCATGGCTAGCACACACCAGGCCAAACTTGTGCCGAGAAGTATTGATGGATTTCACATGAGTTACTTCAAAGTTCCTAACAGTCAGCAGGGAAGAGGCTCATTAGTTGGAGTGATGGAGGAAAAGATCACCATTTCTGTCGTGTGCCCACATATGCAAATGGCGTGACAAAAGCCTGCTTGCCATGTCGACATTAGGGGAAAGTCGTGACCGGTCTAAAGTTTGGAAATTGTCCAAGATATAACGGCCAATCGGCGTATTACATTGAAAACTATGAGAGGATAATCGCTTCCAATCCCCAGGACATTTTGTACCAACACAGTGAAAAGCTGCAATTGGATGGGATTGAAGCACCAAGTTATGCAAGTAATTTGTCCGTATTCATGACAACAACATGTGCTCTGCTTTCCCGAATCTTTCCCTGTATTTCTGCGCGCCGGCTTGCTTAAAAATTTCAATCGACCTTTTACGAAAGAATCATCTCATCGACCTGGCCGATGCACTTAGGCAATAGCCTGACCGCTTTGCGCATTTACAGCCAGATGTGAAGCCTTTTCTCTGTCCTCGGCACTGGCTCCCTTGGCCTTCAGGATTGACGTTTCCCAACGAGAAATGTCGTGGACCTGCTCAGTGTTCTCGCGCGATAGTTCGACCGCTTCCTTTCCCCGTATCCAAACGTCGGACTCGTAGTCCTGCAGTAGTCGAGCCGTAGAATTCGTACTACCGTCGAAGTTGTTGTCGAAAGCGGCGCAAATTCGGGCAGCATCTAAGATAGCGTTGTTCAGACCTTGTCCACGGTCTGACGCCTGTCAGTAATAATGAAGCTGTCTAACTAGGAGGCAAGAAGGTCGGGCCGCGACTTACGGAACGTCATCGGATGAGCCGCGTCACCCGCAAGAGTCACGGTCCCACTGCGGTTGTCCCACGGCTTCGTTTCCCAGCATGCCAACGGGATCTCCCAGATAGGCGTGTCGTCGGGGATCCCCAAAAACACAGATTTCAGAGGCTCAAAAAACGATAAACCCCTCTCCCGGACATTAGCGACTGTTTCCACACCTTTCGCGGGGCCTTTCCAGGATTGACTGAGGAGAAATTCCCAGTCTGCCGGATCTTCAGAGTCGTTTTTGCTATGCACTACGTACGGTCACTTATCACCCTCTGTTTCTTCATTGGCACCGACCAGTGTGTGTAACTTACAGCCATGCCAGCAGAACCATCCAGCCGGGTGCACCGAGCATGAATACCTGGGTGCCATTTCTATGAGTCGCATCGCAACCTCTCGGGGCAATCGCGTGACCATGTGGTTCGCAGTGTAAGGCAGCTGGGTCAAAGCAGCCTCTTTCGAGCCAAAGAGGAATTGTCGAACCCGGGAGTGAGCGCCATCACAACCGATAAGGAGATGGCCTGAGACCTCAGTACCGTCGTCAAACTCGACCACCACTTTCTGTTCGGAGGTACGGATTCCCATGGCCTTTTTATTGTACTGTGATATTTTGAAAGTCAGTCAACGACCGATGCCTGGCCATGCGTCGCTTCCGATCTGACTAAGGGAGAGATTCCATACCTGAACATTGATGCCTTGAGCAATCAGGTTGATGAACTTGCGCCTCTGCAGCCGCAGATTGTAAGGGACTGGGATATCTGTCATGACTTCTCCCGTGGCACCATTGTAGACTCTCAGAACGTCTTTGTCTGAGGGAACGTGCGCGTCAATCTGCGCATCCCTAATTTGGCTGTACAGTTCGACTGGGAGACAAGCCTTCAGAGCATCCTGAGCCCAATAGATACCAAAATTCCAATCCCTAGCTCGCGAAGCAGGGGCGCTGTCACGTTCATAGATCGTGTATGATATTCCTCGCTAATCTGGGTCAGACCCGAGTGGCCGTCGTGAGAGGTTTTCCACACGTACCTTCTGTAAACCATGTGCTATCAGCATTCCAGCTGAGCCTGCTCCTAGGATTAAAACGTGAAATGATTCTCCCGCCTGGTTTGCCATCGTGCTAGCTTGTTTGATCACTTCCAGATGATTTTGCTTCCCTTGTGTTCCCTGATCAGCCGTGACAGAGGATCTGTTCAGGGCATCTTATAGCCGCGGCTTTTTCTTTCTGCTATCAATCGCTCTCGAGAATTTCGACGACTCCACTCCATGTTTCCTTCCTTCAATTCAGCCAGCTGCGTTCGTTGAAGGCGATCTTTACCCCTCACAGAAAATGCTCTCTCACGACTCTTCACTTATGGACCACTTACTTTGGAGCAGTCCAGCATGCAAATACAACCCAGCCTCAGTTGCGGAGTCAAAGTGAGACTATACTATACCTGCTGATACTCCAAAACATAGGGTAGATTCTGCGCTGCAGCCAATGATAGCCGAGCAGGTCGAGCTCTTGTGCGCTCCCAATAACTGGTCATTTATACGAAGTGGGGAGGCCAAACCGGGTCTTTCCGTCTGGTTGTGATTGGCTGCAGCGCGGAATGAACCAATCCTCTAAATGATCGGCAGTGGGTTCTTTTGCTACATGTATATCGTCTTAGATACCCCCGAGATGTCTCGAACATTTGTCAGTTAGTGTGGGGACGGCGATGCTGACGGCGATCCGAACGCCATGCAATGGTTTCCTAAAATGTACACGCCGACTTAAATGTGCGGTTTCAACACCCAACATATCCCTAACTCTACGTGGTGGAAGATGTGCGATGGTCGAACCTGGGACGGTACGGACAGGATATCCTTTCTGCATGGGCGGAAAAGCGGAGTGCCAACTCTCTTCCAATGTCCGGGTGGAGTAGGAGGTGGTAACGAACGCCAAAAGAGCTGCTCCCAGACCAAACAATTTCGAAATCGGGAGGGAGGCTTTGTGCGCCGGTATTGGCTGCTCCTGTTAGCAGGATTTCAAACGCTGGCCTGTTTATATCGCGTGGCATTTTCCCCATCTCTAATATTTGTAGAAGCCACCTTCAATCAGAATCTCATCTTTCTCGTCGTTCTCAACTTCGGTTGCTTCTGCGTCTCGTACAGTATTATCCCAAGGATCATTAGCAATCTACGACCACAATGAGTCTCCCTGAAGTCCGTGTCAGCCACCAGACAGGCAAAGCCAACAAAGTTGTCGTCATTGGAGCAGGCCCGGTGGGCCTTCTGACGGCACTCCTCCTTGCTCAAGCAGGCATCGGCGTTGATGTCCTGGAGAAGGGCACTACCCTAGACGAATCTCCGCGAGCAGCGGGCTATTTTGGGGGCGCTCTTTTGGCTCTTAAAAGAGCAAAACTGCTGGAAAAAGTGACTGCTCAAGGATTCACGTGCCGAGGCATTGTGTGGCGGAAGCCGTTAGCGGATGATGGGCGCGAGTCGAAGCGAATGGGGGATGTTATCGCCCATCTTTCCTTTCCCCAGGATACTTCCAAGCTTCCGGGGATGGATGCAATCGTTTCTCTAAGACAGTCCGAGCTAGTCAAGTTAATCTTCGCAGACGCCATGGAGACTGGCTTGGTCCGCGTGCATTTCGATACGGAACTCGTCAATATTCATGACCACGGAGATTCTGTCACAGCCATTGCAAAACGCCCTGGCGGTGACGAACAGTCTTTCAATGCCTCCTTCCTGGTTGGTGCTGACGGAGGAAGGTCTGCGACGCGGAAGATTCTTGGGATCCCACTCAAGGGTCACACATGGCCCGAGAAGCTCATCGCGATTGATCTACTGACCCGCACAGAAGGCCTGTACGATATCAATTTCCCCACAACCATGGTTATTGATCCGATTCATTTTTGTGTGATGACGCCACTAGAGAAGCCCCAAGAGGGGAAGATGACTTTGTATCGCTGTGCGGTAGCACTAGACGCAAAAGATGATCGGCCCGACGAGGTATTGATTAGCGAGAAGAACTTGCTCTCCCTACTGAGTCGAGTGCTTCCCGGTGAGAGACCACTGCAGGTCAAAGTGGTTCGTGCTTCGCCCTACAAGATACACCAGCGATGTGCCTCGACATTCCACCGCGGCAGGTGCCTGCTGGCGGGGGACGCTGCTCACTTGAACAATGTAGGTTTTTTTCCACGTCCTTCCTCTTTGCGCATAAGGCCATTCCTCCTTCAAGTTACTGTCATTAGGAGACGAAATGGATTACCATATACCTGACTGACCTCTCTATTAGCCGGTTGGTGCGCTAGGCCTAACTACAGGAATCCTTGACTCCGAAGCGGCTGCCGATGCTCTGGAAATGATAATCAACGAGGGAAAGCCACTCAAGGTTCTGCAAATTTACGCCGATGTCCTCCGTATCCTCAAATACCCGAATCCGGTCTTCTCCTTGCTCCAGGAGGTGAGATCCGCTGTGCCGATGGCATTGCCCTTGATAGCGTGCAGAACCAGGCTCGAGGTTTCGGAGCCTCTGACTCTAAGAGCTTCATACAGTCCGAGTCTATGTAATAACCTTAGTCCATTAGACGGAATTCCAATTGCGCCGCCAAGTGTCGTTGGTTCTGGGCGAATTTCATATACCACCACGGACATGTGGTTATACTGTTGGAGACGCAGTGCCGCGGCCAGACCAGCCGGCCCGGCTCCTATGATGATAGCCTGGAATATATTCACATTAGAATCTGATCAATAGCCTGCCGGCAGTGAACGTCTGGAGAATTCCATACCTTCTGAGGTGACTCCATCCTGGGACTCGATTTCGCCGTGATGGTGCAAAGGACCGTTGGAGAGGCAAATACAGAAATCACTCGTACTTCTGAATGTGCTGCACGATCATAACGATGTGGGTGAATCTAACTTAAATATGAAGTAGCTTTCTTGGCATTGAGTTTTTCGCACTCCGTAGAGTCCATACACTTGCCTCACTATTGCATTCAATCGAGAATAGAGTTTAAGCGGGGTTTCGGTGTTTCGGTGTTTCGGCATTTTAAACTTTCCACTTGGTGCAGCAACTGTGCCTACTACTAGTAACCATCTGCTCCGATCCAGGTCCAGGGTACACCGGAATGAGAATTGAACCCGGAAAGTCTCCGGCGCTGCGCTTGCATAGTTGGAGTGCCAGCTACTCTACCGGAGTTTCCTGTCCGAGCCTGCTTATTCTCGATGAGGTATTCGAAGGACATAGTTCCAGACTACTACCCAGTCAATTGTAAGAATGGATGAAAGATTGCTCCAAGCCTTAGGGATGACATGTGAACAGAAGTGGTAGGCCTACAGCTAAATGATGTCCAGTAGCCGTGCTAATTGACCATCTTTGATCGCTCGTATCTGTCCGTTAAGCGGAATCGATCTGCGAGTAGTACTGCATACTGTCTGCGAAACCACCCGCAAACAAATCCATGAAGTCGACGCCACCTGATAACCTATCCAACGAAGACAGATCCAAATTGTCCATAGGGTCAGAGAGATACTCTGATCCCGGGTTAGCTGCAAAAGTATCATCTGATTGACCTGGCTCTCCCTTATCAAATCGGAGCATTAGAACAAGGTACACTCGAAGTATATCTGATAAACTTACCAAGCCTAACAGAGGGTCTCGATGTTGCGGCGAAATCGTCATTGGTTGCCGAAGAATATCATCAAGAGATTCGCTACCTGTCGTCCCACCAGCGCTGCCGTACTCTGTGTCCCGGATAAAGTCCCGCGCAATGGACGCCATCCCAGAGAGAAGTGAGGTCGGGAGGGTGCCACCAGAGGCGTATTCCAAATGGCAAAAGTAGCCCGCGGCAATGCTTAGTAGGGGAAGCTTGCGCTTCGTGTCTGGATGGGTTGGGTTGTGTACAATGAAGTCGAAGAGTATGAACGAAGCTGACATAGGCACGGAGAGCATGACCCTTTGCCAAAGTCAGAGCATATTCGCACGGCCGGACAAACGGAGCCTTACCAGATCGGAGTATAGCTTTCTAGGTTGATATATCTTGTCAGCTCAATGATCCTACTGCAGGCTGCCAGTAACACGTTCTTGCTCTCCGTTACTTGTTGATAGAAGTTGGCGGGTGGCAGATTCAGGCGGAGCCTGGATAACGCGATCACGGCACTGTAGTAATGGTAATTGAGTCTTAGAGCCATCGAGATGTATGTATCGTCTGAGATCTTCGACGGCGGGAAAAGGTTGCCAGGGCGAAACTCCTCTGGAATAGACTCCCTCCAGCCTTTCAGTTCGAGTACATACGCGTCAATGGCAGCATGTAGTGCGCTAGCAGGCACTAAGGTCGTACTTATTGAAAACAGGGAGACGCATGCATTGGACAGGAGTCGACTAAAGCGAGCCATCGCCAGAAACCAATCGAAGGTTCCGAATATTGCCTCTGGAGCATATGGGACAGGCGTCCCAATATCGGCATCAACGAAGACCTTGTTCCGTAAGCAAAACCCTATTGGGAGAAGGACAGAAACGTACAGAAGGCCTGCCACAAGCAAAAGAGAGCGTCTTTTCCAGTATATATGTAACCCAGAAGGTTTTTTGGTATGCAGCAACATTTTCACTGTCGCAGGTTGCTCTGCTCAGGCTGGATGACTGTGCCATCCTAGCAGCTTCGGCAGTCAACATATGACTGATCTGGACACCGCACGAGGAATGTGCAAATATAGCCTGGCACCAGTTAGGACAACGGATTAGATCAGGAAATTTGCAGTCTTTACCATCGCAGTTACTGCCTTGGTTCGAGTTAGCCTTGCATCGAGACAACTGTAGCAAAGATTAGCGCACCTGAATGTTCAATAAGGCCTCTCGCGGAACCAAAATCTCCGGGAATAACCCCAACGCAACCTGATAAAGCTCCCACGATGTGCCTGAGCCAGGTTCAAAGGAGCCACCTCGATGATACTGGCAGCCGAGCGCAAGCACAGTGTGATACAGAGCCGAGAAAGGGACATTTGTCCGAAGTATTTCGCCTAGCTGCTAATTAAACGCGTTAAACTCAAACTCTCGCCGGTCAATGAAGGGATAAATTGGGTGTATGTGCTGAAAGTACGCTGGGAGTCTTTAGTATCTAATTCAGTCACACTGCTTCTGGGCTCTTCTGACCAGCAACATATAACTTTTTAGCTTCCACTGATAGCTGTACAGGAGCAGCAGGAGTGAAATATTTCATAGGGGCTGATGAAGGAGGGGATGTACGATTCATCCGCGTATTGATAGTATTCGCAAGCTTGTCAATAAGATCGACAAATTTTCTGTGGCCTAAGCGCTCGGAGATGGAGGCTATCCTCCTGTCTGAGAAGAATGCAATTCCAGAGCTCCCTACTAAGAAAGTAACCGTTAGGTCCCGTCTGTGTCGTCAAAGATTTCATAAGACGGAACTCACCATATTGATTATGAGCCTATTCCGTCAAGAAAATATCAGTTTCTTGTAAAATGCTGGTTCAAGGAACGATCAAACCTTCACGAATGAGTTTTCGCCCCGGCTTCGGGCAGCTGTCCTTCGGTCTTCAAGCAGATAGTCTACATATAGTTTGGCCGGTCGAAGATCCAGTTGCTGTTGCTGGGCATGTGATCGTATGGAGTGTGCAGTGGAAATACTCGCCTCTCGGTCAGTGCGGAAATAAGGTGAGTGATCATTATTCACGGCTGCAGATACTGGGCGGGGGACGGCAACCTGGGTCGGCTCTATGGTATTGTTAAAGACCTAGGGTTAGGGGACAAAAGGAAATTCTCCCAACCGTACCGTATCGATGGGAAGGTGAGCCAAGTTGTCCTTCAAGCTGGACCACCTGTCTAGCTCGACGTTTCTTGAAACTGAAATGGCAAGTAAGACCGCGTTTCTGCAGCCAAGTAAGAGTCTCGTCTGAGCATCACAATGCCGCCCAGAACTCACATGGCAATACTTGCATGCCAACCCATCGGAATCTTGCGTCTCTAAAAGCAGTGAACGAGTAAACGACCCAGGTTCATTGTATAGGAAGAGTACGATACTTACTCACACATCGCACCTTGCGGGACTTGCATTCGTCACAGGTCTTCGAAACATTTGGTCGAGACCCACTGACTTTGTCTGCTGCCTCATCCATTGGGGGATCAAGATCTGAGATGTCTGTGTAGCTTGGGCGTAGATCTTAGGCAGTACGCCGTATGGAGTGTGGGAGTATGATGGGACTCATGGGAGTGATGTGATGTCGGGATAAGTCAACATCCAAGATGCACGTGACTTATCAGTTACCGGAAGAGGCATAGCATAATTACGATATCATACCATATCATATTGCAACTATACCAACAGCCTCGGCCTTGGCTTATGGAGGATGAACAACCCCCCAACCTACACATTTCAGTCCATCAGGAAAGCTCAATCAGACTTCGAAAATGGAAAGCTTAACCCAATCTATTCTGGTACTTTTAGTAGTACATTGTCCCCTCCTGCCGCTGTCCTTATTGGATTAAATTTCGGTAGCCCTCCACCAGCGGCACAACGGGGCAAACAATATAGTTTGGCCGTCCATTTCCGACGTGGATCGCGTTAACTCCACCATCATCATGGTGCATCTCACCATACCATTCCCGCATTTTAGCAGGGTTATATCTAGGAATATTCGGCTGATACTCTGAAGGACAGATATCCACGCGAAGGCTCCACCCTTTGCGGATTCTTGCGGCGGCTGGAAGTACTTCGATGTCGAGCTGGACCACCTCGTTCGGCTGCAGTGGGGCATTGTCCTCGCGAGTGTGAGTATGCCAGGGCCGCTCGGGCGTACTTCTCAAAGGATCAGTCTGCCGATGGCTTGCTCGAAGAAAACCTTTGGCGAGGGGCTCAGGCTCCCCCTTGGAACTATAGGGTACCACGCTTCCATCTTCGTTCACTGCCCATAGCATGACCACGAAGTCTGCATCCGGGACATTTGCGGAGATACTTAAGACTGCTTTGAAATGACCGGCGAATTCGATGTCGTCCTCGAATGGGGCGGAGTGAAAGCTTTCCCCGGACTTGCCACTTGGTGGGACACGGGCGGCATAAGCAAATTGGACTTCTGGGCTATTTTCCGCTTCAGTTGACACGGTGCCGTCGGATCGAAGGTGCCATTTGGAGTAACGAGTGCCAGGGACAGGCCAGTCGCTCTCTTTTCGCCAGTACCACTGTTTGTAACCGAGTCGCATTTGAATGCCAACCCGCTCTGGAATCGGGTATTTAGTTCCCTTGAGGTGATGGTCAAGAAACTGCAAAATCTTCCCTGATGCCTCACGGCTCGGCAATGGATAATAATTGCAATCCACGAGCTGAAGATGTGTATTATCAGGATTTCGGCTGCCCCAGGCCTCATAGGCACCTCGACCATGAACCATGAAAATCTGAGCAGCAGCAAGAAAGCAAGGGACGTCCATTGGCCCTGGCTTTGATTTCATCATATCCCAGAGTCCATCATAACATGGGTGGTCCTTCATAATGCTTAAGATGTCCTGATGATCGGTCCACTTTGGGGAGCAGAGTTGAACTCGACGGTACCAATCAGCGATATAATGGCCGGCCGGAACGCCTCCAATATAAGCTGCATCGCGGTATAGATCAATATCGGCTTTTATTATTGATTAGCAGCGACCCCCACTGGCTCGTCCACGAAGGGATTGTTTGCTTACTCGCATAGGGTACGAAACATTTCAACCCTTTGGGCCTTAAACTCGCGACATTCCACTGGACATTTGCTCCGTATGAACTCCCAACCAGTGCAATGTTTCCATTGCTCCAACTCTGCTCGGTGGCCCACTGAACAGCATCATAGAAATTTTGTGTTAGCTCTCCGGGTACACCTCTTATCCCTGGAGTCTGCGACACGCCCCTAGGATCAACTTTGACCATGGCATATCCATGGGGCACGTAAGTAAATGTGTTGAAGGTTGCAATATTCTCAAACCCTCTCTGCGCCTCCCACGAGGGGCTCCACGAGCCTCGTGGGACTCGAACAGGAACATCTTCCGCGGTCGAATGCCACTCATCCTCTGCCTTTTCGAAGGCAGCGATGTCATCCTCGTCGTCTAGATCAGGACCAGAGTAGAAGACGCGTCTTCCGTAAATCGTACAACTCATTAGAACGGGAAATCTCTTCCTATGCTGAAGTGGTAAATAAACATCGCCGAGTATATTGCCACCGTCGCGCGTTGGGATGGGAATGTCTCGCATCACCTTGAAGCCGGCCGCAGCCCTTCGCAGGTGATTCCGTGTATGGGACACGGTTTTATATGGGATGTCGAGCTTGCTGCAAATGCAGAAGAGGGCGTCATCGAGATCAGATGTGTTATCGGAGTCTAAGTTGATCTTCCAAGCATATTCGCCAACAACATCTCGAGTCTAACATTGAAAGAGCCATTAGGCAATGAAAGCCTCACAAATGGTGCCCTATAGGTGTTACGTACCTGTCCGTCGATGACGACTGGGCTTTCGAATCCCTGTGCAGAGGAAAGACTGAAGAGGAGCCTCGCCCGATTTATCACTTTGGGATCGAACGCTGGAGTTCCAGGAGGTACAAGATCGAAGACGGAGATGTAATCCTTGCCAACACTCTCACCAAGTACAATATCGCCAATAGAGAATGTGATATTAGCTCCTGGTTCGTAAAAAATCTTGAATAGGTCGGTTGTGACGCCTTCATGGGTCCCAGACCGATATGAGAGCCCAACCACGTCCGGAAAGATACCTTCAACGCACATATTAACGATAGGTTGGTTGCACAGGCAAGCGATTCTCCAGTACATGTATTATGATAATCTTCAATGGGGATTGTTGTGCTGTCTTCCCATTGCATATATACACGGAGTAAGGCAAAAGATACAGTACAGGTGCCATATATCTCGGCATCCGACACTTAGCACATAAACGCATTATTTGCCATTAAAGAGCTCCACTTTGGTGCCATCAGAGCTATAGTTGCGAAGAATAACCTTGAGGTTCGGAGACTGAGTGGGCATCTCGCGCCTGTGATTTACTCTTACACGGATTCCTACGGATTCCTATGAAAGCCGAGGCGCTTTTTCCCTATCACATTTCACGTTACGGGGTGAACAATGGCGGGATGGCGCATACCACAGTTCGTGTGGCAGCCGATATTATTGGGGTTTGGTTGATTATCCGATGCTGCGCCTCCTTCCCAGTACCCTAACCTCCGAAACGCCGCAGCCGAAATTCCGAGAAACCTTGTGAACCGCCCATCACCATTGAGGCAATTCCAACGACGAGACGCAGGTGGATACTCTAATTGTAATCAAAGAAAGGCCCTCCTGTTTGTCGAACTGCTGATCTTACAACTCGATGCCGATCACGTCCCACAGGCTCAGGTTTTTGAACCACTGAACTTGGCCTCTTTTTCCGAGATGTTCACTACATCGACCTATATTGAGGATTTTATGAAGACTGAGTAGTTGATACTGAGTCACATATACTATGAAAAGCCTTCACTTCCTAGGCGTAACCTAATGCAGCAAATATCATGTCGCTGAACAATGATAACGTTATGGAAATGTTATTCCATGGCATGCGTGGGAGGAAGACACCCAGATCTTCACCAGTCAACAGGTCGAAGGACCAGCGCGGCATCTCATTCAGGTTGCCCAGCTCCCCAGCTCACGGATCCTGGGTTACCACACAAGTGACCTAGCCCATATCTAACACCTTATCTTATAATCTACCCAGAGACCATCGATGCATACCGGGCGGGTGTGATATCTGTCGAAGATGGTGCGATGTGCGAAAAGATGAGGAAGAAAGATTGCCCAAGATTTCATTAAGCACCTTTGGGAACCAAAATGAGCCTGCACTGAAAGACGCCAATCAAAAGCAGGTAGTGGTAGTCCTGCAAATGAAGCGCTGTGTTTGACGGGCCCCGGAGATTGTTGAGAGGTACACTAGGTGCTGAATCTCCCGTTTCGAGGCGAAGCACATTCTTCGGCAAGGCCAGGAGACTGCTGACAAGCAGCGCTAGCTACTGGTTGCCCCGGTTGTTCTGTAGATAATGCACTGTGTGGTCTTGATATTGAAATGAAATGGGACGACTGTGCATGCTCTTCTGGTACGGCAACGCAATGGCTTCTTCATAACCCTGTAGACCAGGAATTGCAATGTTCCGGGTTGTATTCGAATAAGCATCCATGTGCAGATACGTTTCAATGACACTGGGCTGCACGCCCGAGAAAATCAGGAGGTCTCTAAGCTTTCTGTTCTCGGCCTAAGTTTTCTGCACAAGCAACTGGAGCCCAATATCCTTTCGATTCCCAGCTTCTTTGCTAGATGCAAGCCACTGCTCGAGTTCCTGGACGTGATTCCGTTTTCTAGCACGACTTTTGCGTTGATTTTCACGAACGCGGGCAAGTCTGGAAATGTTCTGACAGTGTTAACCTCGAAAACCACCGACAATTGAGGCAAAAACCCAAGAGGTTAACCTAATCCTAGACATGTAAAACCAACATTCTTTTATAGACTTATATCCTAGCAGCATACTATCTATCGAGATATTAAACACAGAAATATACAACTCCTTAAAAAGTATAGAATAGGATTAATTAGAGACTAGTTTAAACAAGGCCATACATAAGGATAAAAAGACATATAGTAATAGACATCCTGCTAGATAATTTACTAAAAGAACTAAGATAGACCTACTAAGTTATAGGATCAACTATAAAGGCTACCTCTAGAAAGGTTATCTTATAGTTATCATGCAAGTCTCCGACATCCACACCTCTATATGCCTCCTACTCTATTAATGGAATATATTCACACTAAGCAATATTAGGTTCCTTCAGAATCTTAACACCCACTGCCCTTAGCCGCTCAACCATAGCTCTAATATCTGGAACCATAAATCCTAAATATCCAAATCCCATGTTTGGTGCCTGAGTGCCATTATAACATATCCATCTTCCTCCACAGGCCTCTCAGACAGATTCAAATGATACTGTGGTTTTTGACAACCGCCCTTTCAGGTATACTGCCCTCTGGAGCAAAGATGAAAGCCACAACTCTCAACCCTGTGAAACTTGTCCGCGGGTGGAACAAGTTGTATGACGTTTCATTACCACAAATCGGCGCTATCATCACTGATGTTAAGGGCTGGACAAAGCCCTTAACACTTAATGACCGCATTTTTAAGGTCCTTGGATCCTATGCATACCGCGGAGGCATGTCACTCCTTCCCAAGGACATGAACAGATTCAAACAGCTTATCATTATTAGGAAAATGCCCATGAGCCTCAAAACCTTTGGGAAGTACTTAAAAGCTGCTGCGGATGATGGCGATGAGGAAGCAGTCAAGATGATGCTCAGGGTATTGCAAAAGGTAAGTGCTCAAGACCCTCAGATAAAAGGTCATGTCCTCGCCAGAATTCCTGAGAGGCAATCACTGAGCTCTAAGGCGTAGACAATCAGAGTGTTCAACTATCTCAATGATGCTGGCCTGGCGAACTCTTTTAATCAGGCGCGTCTACTTCTGGCCAAGGAAATTGAATATGCAGATCAATATATGCCCAAGTTGAAAGGTATTCTTGCCATCTGGAAAGAATTTGAGCCACCCTTGGTCATAAAATTCGGCAGACCAAGTCAGACGATGACTTTGCTTTCAAGCTGAGCAGCCTCCCTTACTTCCAAATTCAGTCAGTATGAGTCGACACTTTGGGTTGGAGAACCATTAAGCCCCGAAAACAAGTAAACTAATGTTGAGCATCCTGGTGCCGTCTATAAATCTTGCTACATTGGCTGTTTCACTTCTATTCTTATGCCTGTCAGTCTAAGCCTAAAGAGGCATTTTGCCCTTAAGCCTAGTTGCGTCACTGCGTGCTTAAATATTCAAACTATCAAGGGGTGCAGCCCTCTTTCTTTCCTGCCATAAATCTCACCATTCTTCCAATCCAAAAAGCAACAAAGAAAGGAAACCCCAGAATTATGAACAGGCTTTGTTTTGTAGCCAACAGAGCAACCTTAAGGAGACTAGGATCACTATTTACCCTACATTCCACCACCCACTGCTTCTCCTGCTGCTTGGCAAGACTGAGGTTCTCTACTCAGAGTATAGACTCTAAGCCTTAATTAAATGAGATAGCATCACTGGATTTCTATCTATCACTTTTCAACCTGAAGCTGGATGTCCCATGGGGCTTTAATATCTACCGCTGTAGCTACAGCAATGATAAGGCCTGGCAGCGTATGCTGCACCTTATTAATGAAAGTGTCCAAGGAGACCTGGAGTGCAAAGACGCAATGGACCTATATCCACATCACAAGCCAGTTATAGTAGAGGATAAGGAGAAATTTGATAGAGTAACATCACATAACGTCCATGATCATTTCATCACTTAGGTCTCTGAAGAACTGCCACGGGTCATAGCACAACCAGAGAAGTTCTTCGCACAGGAAGAATTCAGCTTGACCAGCCTCTGTTGAGAATGGACTTTGGGCGCGAGATATAACTTTTATCTTTTTATAGACAACATTTGCTTGGAATCACTGGATGAGATATCATTTCCTGTGGTGAAGTTGCTTTAGGGACAATAGGGACCCCTGGAGCCCCATGAACGAAACTATACTGTGCATCCAGACTATGAGGATGGTGAGATAGAGGAGTATCATGAGGATGTTGGCTGGACGTACATGAGCGTAGATGAATATATGGGATACTACAGGGATTTGAATGAGTACTACTTCTGGGATGATCTCTACGTGTGGCCCCCACACATGGCCAACAAGTATGACAAAATTCCAGGATCTTGGAGGAAGGAATGAAGCATCCATTTAGTGATTGTTTTGTTTGATTCAATATAAGCTATAACTTCCCGGCAGTGCAGCCTGACAACATGAAGTATGTGACAATCTGTCACCATGTTCCCCGCGGACCTCCTTGCACGGAGCTTTCTGCCCATCTTAATTACTTACCTCTCCAGGGCTGTTTGGATTGTTTACACTATTCCACCCTCTATTTATATATCTCCCTACTATGTACATACTTCTTCCCCCTCTTCTCTATGCTTAGTTTTTTATTAAAATACTACCATACTATTAGAATATGAGCAGTGCCATCATATAAAACTAAGCATTACTTCCTGCATCATCTCTTTTATTAGAAGGTTCAAGATCTAGTAATAAACATGTTCTTTTTCACATTAAGTACTAATCTTACCTCCTCTTGCAAAGAACCCTTTGCGTGCTAATGATGCTAATAGTTAGAGATAATGACATGATCTATTGACTGAGATCATGAAAGAATAAATGATGGCTAGACCTATAGCTTCCACTAAGGAGCCTGAGAACCAGTAAGGAGCTGGGAACAGAACCTATAACCCCTCTACTCAGTGTACTAGACCAGGCTTAGGTTTTACTAGAAGGCTGACTGCCCTACTTAACTAGACAGAGAATGGCAGCCTTAATGAAGACACCCATAAGCCAGCTAACAGCATCTCCTATAAAGAATTCACTGCCCACTAGGGAATGGACCCTGAGCGCTGCTAGGAAGCTATCTCCTAAATCTATATTACTTTAGATATAAAGGTAAATTAGAACTATGCAGAGGCAGCTCTCCTAAATAAGTAACTTATTAAGAGCTAGAGTAAGGCTGATAATCTTAAGCACTAGAATAAATAGATCTGTTAGGAATATGAATAGACCCAGGCCCAGCTCATCACTGCTAACCTAGAATGTGATAAGGCCTAAGAGAAGCTTAAAGAGGTAATCTATAAATAAAATAACTTCACCCTGCAGGTAGCCTGCAGATCTAGCATTAGAAACACTAGTTCCTAGGCTTTAGCTACTAGTAGTAAGTTAGTAAAGATTCCAGACCCCCTCTCCTTAGCAATGGAAAGGACCCTTATTTTAAAGATTAGTTACTAGCTATTAAGTAGAAGCTTATTACTAATGCTAACCACTTCCCCAACCCTATAATAAGAATTACCTATATAACTAGTTATACTAAGGGTAATACCTGGAAGCATATTACCCCTTATTTATGAGAAGACACTATTAACCTATACTAGGACTCTACCGACCTCCTTAAGCATCTAGAAAATGTATTTACAGACCCTAATTATAAGTAAGTTACTAAGCAGAAATATAACACCCTCTATATAAAGCTATTAGTTAAATAGAATGATTTTATTTCTGAGTTCCTATACCTTATAGCAGAAGCAAGCATCCCTAAGGAGACCTAGAAAGATAACCTATATAATAAACTATCTCTCCACATACAAGAGCTCACTATGCCTATATATAATAATAATAATAAGACTTTCTAGGAGTTCATAGACTACTGCAGCTGTATAGTAATGAATATTAAGAATATAGAGAGAATTAAGGCTTATTTAAACAGCAGTACTAATACTTAAACTAGAGGGACTGGAGTAATATCTTATACTACTACCCTAGCTGCAGCCACTCCCTCTATAGATAATACTACTACTTATAGCTATACTGCTACAGCTTCCCTAGCTCCTAGTAATCTTGATGATAAGACTAGGAAGTATCTTATAAGTAAGGGTAAATGCTTTATATGCTTTTAGATTAGGTATACTAGCTATAGCTGCCCTATGAAGCAGGCTGCACAGCTTAAAGTATTAGAATAACCTATTAAGCCTACTCCTGAACTAGAAAATAAGGATGCCTAGGAGAAGTCTCCTTCTTAGACATAAATTTAGTTAACTTGTGTAACTTGGACTTACAGAATCTATTAGATAATAAAGAAGATAGTTTTAAATTAAAATCTCTTATCCTTATTAATAGATTCTTAGTATCTATAAGCTCTCTAGTTAATACTAGAGTAAATGCATATGCGTGCATGACTACTTCCTTAGCTATCTAGATATCTTAATATTTCAGAATACCTACTATGCCTCTAGAAAGGGAGTATATAGTTATAGGGTTTAATAGAAAGTAGTCTATTCCCCTTACCTATATTATTATATTAACTATAGCCATAGATAATTACATTATAAGATAGATGCCATTTCTTATACTAGACCTAGGACACCATAATATTATACTAGGAAGGATGTGGCTTGCAGAATACTGCATACTAGTGGATTGCACAGGGAAATAGTTAATCTAGTCTTCACTACCCACCTACCAAGATAAGATAGCTATATAGATGAACTGGGAGGTCCTCATAATTTCCTAATTAGGCAACCTATTAACCAAGATCACTAACATAATATGGTGCGCCGCGCTAGGTAATAGGCAGGATATAAAAGGGACATCTTCCCTCCCTTAGCTCTATCTTCTCTTCTCTCCCTAACTACCCCTGGCCTTGTGGTTCTTCCTAGGCAGTAACTAAGCCTTTAAATATGCATAGCTTAATAGGAGAACCATAGGGCCATAGTATAAGGTTATAGAGTCTCTTTTTCAGAATAATCTAAGGGTCCCTAGATACCTCTAAATACTCATACATTCAGTCCCTAGTGTTTCCTTCTATAGCTCCTAAGGAGGCACCTAAGCCCTATTCCCCTAAGGAGCCTGACCTAGTAATACTAATAACTATTACTTTACCTTTCTATAAGACTAGATGATACTAACCTATAAGAATAAAGGAAATTAATTAGCAGCATTACATCCTTAAGATAGAATAAGCCTTATAAGGAAGAGTGTTGGTGAGAACCATGGTATGGTTAAACCTTAATAAGAGGCAAATAGTGATCTCACTATGACAGCATAGTGATATCACCTAGCTACCCACTGCCTATAAATATGTCCTCAAGGTCACTCCTCACCTAGTTTTATAATTAATTAAGCAATTAAGAGAAATCAAGGAATTAAGACATTTAGCTAAGATATCCTTAGCTACTTCCTTCTACTATTCTTCCTTCTTACCTTGGCAAGCTATCTATTCCCCTTTGCTTTAGTGAACTCTACTAGCTAGTTATACACTACATACTACTTATTAATTCACAGGTTATGAGCCGGCCTTGCTCTAAGGCAATCTCCTATACCAAGATCTCTTCCAGGGATCTATACTATTGATTATTCATTAATCAATACCCTTCCATATACTAGGTCTAACCTAGTACTTGATTGATTATCAATCGATACTCTGAGTCTAAAGAAGCTATATTTAATATGGCATCTATTGATAAGATTAGCTTGCCAAAGCTACATGGCTCAGATAACTATATAACCTGGTCTATTAGGACTAAGGCCACCCTTATAAAGGAAGATCTATCCTCTGCTATTGAGGAAGATGTCCTGGGCAAAAAGAATGATAAAGCACTAGCTATCATAAAACTATTATGTGAAGATGGACCTCTTCTTCACATAAATAATATAGCTAAGGCTAAGGAGGCCTGGATAAGGCTTCAAGATCTCTATAATCCTAAGGGATTCACTACTGAATACCTCACCCTAAAAGATTTCTTTAATACCACGTTGGATGATTTCCAAACGATGGAAGAATATCTTAATAAGGTTAAGGGATTAGTGGATAACCTAAAGGAAAAAGATATCATTCTGCCTAACCAGGTTATTATAGCCTGGGTACTGAATAGCCTTGGTCATGAATATGAAGGGTTTATATCTAATATAACCCAGTCCTTAAGGAATGACCCAAAAGCCTACACCATTGAATCCCTGTTTTCTAGCCTTGCAGATGAGGCAAGAGGAAGGGAAAATGGTCATAATGATAGCCATAGGCTATTATATACTAAGGCTATGGGTAAATCCTATAAAAGGCATTCCTTAGGCAAATACTGCCAACATTGCAAGCTTACTAGTCATGATACTAGTAACTGCTATTTCCTATTCCCTAATAAGGCACCCAAAGGGTGGAAAAAGGGGAATAAGAATAATAAGATGAATCAAAAGTATTCAAAGGTTCAGAAGAATCAAAAGAATCAGAAAGGACTAAAAGAAAAGGATGCCTTTCAAGCAATCCTATCTAGTCTAGACTCTGATATCTTAAATGATTCTCCTAATATGAATCATCTAAATCATGATTCATCTAATAGTCATGAATCTGATCATTCAGATCAAGATATGACTAAGAATCCTGAAATATATACCCTTCATACTATGGATTCTGATCCATGGCTAAATATGAAGGACATCCCTGATGATCAGCTATTTGATATAGCTGAAGATGAGGTACGTCCACCTCTGAAAACCCCTATTACTAGGGCAGTCACTAATAACTCTTATAAACTAGATCATCTAGTCATACCAGAACACTTATTTCCTCAGAAAGGATCAAAAGTGGATTTTATCATTGATAGTGCTGCTACTATAAATACTGTTTACAGAATGGAATATTTCTTTAAATATAAAGAAATAAATAAAATAATTTCATGGGGCAAAGCAAAAAGCCTAAGGGCTAAATATCAGGGTGATATTCTTATTAAATATCCCTCAGGATATATAAATATACTAAAGGATGTCTATTACATCCCTGAATTAGGGATTAACCTTATAAGTGTGGATAGAATATCTGAGGCACTAGGGATAACTACTATCTTTACTAAAGATAAAGTATCCCTATATCTTAAAAACCAGACTATCATAGCTGGAAATAAGAAAAACAGCCTCTACCATATCCTATTCACCATCTTATATCCTAAGGAACATGTCAATGCCTGCCTAACTAATTCAGAATTATCTGAATTTAGGAAATGGCATATGAGATTAGGGCATATAAATGCTGTACCCCTAGGATTGCTACTTGGCAATATGGGGATAGCTATATCTAAGCAAGACTTAGAAGAATTTAAAAGTAATAAGTGCCCTACATGCATCCTTGCTAAGGATAAAAGATA